CTTCTGCTACTGCTACTGCTTCTGCTTCTGCTTCTGCTTCTGCTTCTGCTTCTTCTTCTACTCCCCCTACCAGTACTACTACTACTGCTGCTGCTGCTGCTACTACTTCTACTTCTACTTCCAGTTCTACTTCTGCTTCTACTAGTACTACACTAATGCCAACTCCGCCCCCCCCCCCCCGGTACGTCCATCATTTGCCTTTCTTGTCGCTTGGCTGCTATGCTACTTCCGAGGTGAAGCTGGTAAAGGCCGTGAAGGCCAGGATTCAGGGATCAGATTTAGCAGACGGCCAGAAGCTTGCGCACATGAACTCGTAACGACTCCTGTCACCGGGCTCGTGATTTCAAATCTCAGGCTGAGGGAGTTCCAGATCAGGTCATAGGGGCTGTTCGCTTCTTGCTAACATGAGCACATCTGGAAGTCCTTTACTACCATGCCCAATAACCTCGTTTACCTTATGATTCCCAGGCGCTTCGGCGGCTTCGGACAATGTTGCTGGGAATGACATTGGGCGGTGATGATGGCGACGATGATGGCATCATTGAAGAGGTTATGCCGCTGATGCTACTGGCACTGATACTTGACGGTGATGCAGATGTAAAGGTGGTGGTGAAGCAAACGATGCTTGTGTTGTTGGCGCTTCCGTTGATACTTGTATCGACAAAGACAGGGACTATTGAGATTCACAGTGACACGGACCATAGACTGATTTTTTGACTTTCTCATGCAGGTGTTACTTAGTGCACGCATGCTGTGGCTTTAGATCTTTTCATTGTGCCCGTTGTTGGTGTTGGTGTTGCTGCTGCACTGTTGACGGTGATGTTGGTCATGGTCTTGTCAGCGGTATGCTCTTTGGGCTTGCGTGACCGTTTCGGCAGCACATTTCGTTGTATTAGTCGTTAGTCTTGTTATTGTTTGTTCATTCCTGGTGCTGCTGCTGCTGCCACTCCTGCACACGGAGTTCCGAAGCATGCTAGCTAAACCCCTTCATCTAACAACCCACGCCTTACAAAGGTGTAGAGCTCGCCGGTCTGGGGTATTTTCGAGAGTCGCGTGGATATCGCACGCAGCGTTAATCATTATCAATACTATTGTAGGGGTCCTTATTAAAAGTTTAGTATAATGTACCCCAAGCCTTATTCTATTTACTAATTTCCCTGTAGGAGGCCCTAGGCTCTCTATGCAGGAAGCCTTTTGACGGTACGCAATGTTCGCCCTGTTTTTTCTGAATTGAACATGCCCCGCCCAACCCATATGATCGAAACTGTTTAGGCCTCTATACTACCGAGTGCGGAGAGTATGGAGATCGCAGTTGCTCGCCGAGGATATTCTCGATCGCCAACTCGTTCATCGACCTCATGTGGGCCTTCCTTGTGGCCGGAGCGTCAGCATCCACGAAGACTGCCCCCGGCCCCCCACCCACACCCCAACATCCCGAGGTTATCCTGATTCTGTTTATTTTCGGCATCATCTTATCCAACTCAGCTGCCGCTTGGCTTGCAAGGCATGCAGTCCCGTGCTACATGTGCCTTTCGTTTGTGAGAGGGCATCGCAAGCAGAATGCAGTTGATTCGCATCGCTTCCAACTGCTACACCGGCTGGCCCAAAAAACCTGCACGATTCCAGTGCTAGCCATGCATAACTGCATAACGTGCTGGAGGCTCACCGAGCGACACGCGCGAAACATGGAGGATCATCTGATACTGATAGCAACCTCGAGTCTAAGTACTTGGGCATCGTAGACTTGTCCTTGTCCCTTTCGCTTACACCTGCCATGGCTGTTCTGCTGATCTGGCCGATGTGTCCGGCCGTTCAAATCTAGGCCTAAGCCCAAGCTGAAGCTCTTCAATGCTATCCTTTGAGGTGGGAGTTTCCGAAAATACGGGACCCCAATCTATAGTACCCTAAATAGTCTAACAGTACTCGGATCCTCGCCTGCTGGTCTAGTTGTGAGTGCTTAAATAGTCTAACAGTAGGGTCCTGATAAGAAGGGCCCCAAAATAAGGTACCCCTAATGTTCGGAAACCGCTAGGTGTGGAAGGATCCGAAGAATCCAGGCAACGGCTGCTTGTATTGCACATCGGACAACGCCGGTGGCCTGCAGCGCAAGGTCACCGATGGCGAAGCGATACGGAAGTTTGCCGAACTCAAGGACCAAATGCCCCAGTTCCGGGCCCACTTGGAGTTGCAGCCCCCTGTTCCTTTGTACCTGGCCCGGCTAAGTTTGGCGAATCACGAGCTCGGCGACCCTTGGTCTTTTCTTATTCACCGAGCTGCAGTAGAGAAGTGTGCTTCTTTGTGTGCTTTGTCAGTTGTGCGAGCTGCGTGGTTTTGGCATCTTGCTCATTCCCTGCCGTCAAGTCGAGTCGTCAGCTTTGCTTATCGGTTTGATGGTTTATGGGCGAAGGACTGCCTTTTCGATTGTTCATGCCCTTACCATTGTCCGGGGCACGATTGCCCAAAAAGAAGGTGTCAATCCGCATCGCTGCTGCTGCAGGTATCTTGTGTTGTCGGCAAGCAGAACATCATGGCGTGACGCATGTTGAGCCAGTGCGAGACAAAGTGATATGTACTGTTGCAAGGCATCGGTGCTTTACGGTAAGGCGGTCTATTGCTTCATGCATGATGACTATCATGCAGAACCTGCAACTAGATGCATGACAATGATGAGTAGAAGGTCCATTATGTGGTCTGCGTTACCAGTCCTGCCGAGAGTCTTGCCTTAGTATGCTGCTACGCCAGTATAGTACGCCGAGGTGTTGCGCAGCTGCATTCTTCAAGTGACTATTCTATTGGCTACCAACTAGTGTACTCTTCTGTTTCACATAAACTCTACTGGATTTCGGTTGCACGGCATCGATCTGCATCTTCTTCGTGTTGCAGCTGGTGAGTCTGTTGTTGCTGGTAATGGTGATGGCAGCTGGGCGCGGGTTCACACATGTACCGAGTGTTGAATCGTGCGATGCTCCTGCTGCATGTGGCCACATACATAATTTCATACATAAAAAACGTGCGCACACACACACACATATGTATATATATATATAAGAATATATGCATGTAAATGTATATGCATATCTATATATATACACACACCTTTTTTTGCACCCACACATATATATATATATATATATATATACACACACATACAGATACATATACATACACTTTGCTGCACATGCATGCCTCCGGCCACTTGTGTGATGCATACCAAATGCCTGAGCATCCAAGGACCGCGCGGTCCGCCAGCTGGTGGAGGCGCTGTTGTCAGGAACGACACTGGTGGAGGTGTTGGAGCTGTACAAGAACCGACTGGGCGATGCCTCGGCACAAGCGCTTGCTGTGCTGCTCGAGAATTCCCCAAAGCCTGGAGTTCACGGCTTCCACCTGTCCCATAATTACTTTACACCTTTGGGCGTGGGCTTGCTGCTGGCTTCTGCAACTCGCAGCAACTTTTATCCCGCGTGGCGAAAGTGGCGTGGTCGCAGCTTCCTTTGCCCACTCTGGCTAAGAGTCGAACAACAATTGGTGAAGTGGGATGTTTTAGCAGGTCTGGAAGAAACGGAGCAGAAGAAAAGGGCGGATCTTCTGTTGGCAGAGAAAGCCGCCACCCTCACCAAACGCTGCCAGGCAAACGGCTGGCTTCTGCCGGAGTCCTTGCCTGAGGACTTCAGGTTGCTTTGCATGCCCGAGGGCTTTGATGAGCCAGAGGATTGGCCGGAACATCTAGATCGCCCGCCAAAGACCTGCTCCAAGTGGTATTGCGCCCACATGCATAAGGATGGCTGGCCCATGGTTCACCTGCCGTATTTCTGGTCGCAGAATTCTCATCGCGCTGCCGACGCCTGTCCAGAGATTGGCAGCCTGCACCGCTCGGACAAAACATGGCGCTCCTGGCGGCCCAGGTTGCCCGTGAGCGTCCTTGGCCGAATCCCTGCTCTCAAAGGCCCTCCAGCACCATCGCCGTCGGCCTCACAGGCTGCCCCGCCCTTGACGGATGCTGCCGCCTCGGAAAAAGCCGAAGTTCGGCCGCCTGCGGAAGCTGGCCATGCCAAGCAGGAAGCGAAAAGAGAGCCAAGTAAGCCGCGCAAGGAGGCCAAGAAGGCAAAGGAGCACAAGAAGAGCAAGAAGTCCAAGGAGGAGAAGGAGGCCAAGAGAGCCAAGAAGCAGAAGAAGGAGAAGAAGGACGGGCTGAAACGCAGCGCAGAGGGCCCGAAGCTCCGATCAAAGAAGGAGAAGAAAGCCGAGGCCCCGATCGTGGAGCCTCCGGACCCGGAGGAAGAGGAGGAGGAGTTCTCGGGGTCTGTGGAAAGCCCAGAAAGCCCGGGACCCGACGAGTACGAGCTCGGGAAGTTCTCGATGGAGCTGAAGCGGGAACTCGAAAGGACCATCGACCTGGAGTAGCGCCAAAAAGATGACCGGGATGTGCACAGGTACTAGTATAGTTTGTGTTTATGGTCTGTGGTATGTCATGGCGGGTCCAAGCATCATCGGATCAAGCCCCGTGCAAGGCTACCTACTTTGAGTCCATCAACCTGGGAAGCAGTCGCTTGCTCGCGATTCATTCACAGTGACCGGCAGGGACGGACAGAATGATAGATCGACAGGTGCACCCGCCGCATGTCTGAGCGAGGCTGAAAGAGGCGGAACTTGAGACTCTTAAGGCTTTATTTTTCAGGCATTGTTGTGAGTTTCTCGTGGCAGAGAGAATGATCACTTGTCCCTTAGAAGCGAAGCAGCAGTGGCCCGAAACAGCATGGACATGACTAGCCTTAATTAACCTATACCGGATTGCAGGTGGGAGAATGGACCCCGAATAGGGGCCGAACAGACTCACCGTTTCGGGAGTGAGCCTTCGGGCCAGGGGGTTGTGCGCAGCCCTCACACCCCTGCGCACGAGCAAGCAAGAGAGCGAGAGAGAGAGAGATCAAACTAACAAACCAGGGGGAAACATTCGCCTTTTCGCACTCCTCCACAAGCCCCCTACAAACATCGACGGGCCTGCAAGGCCGAGGGGTTTCGCACTCCCCTCATGCCCCGGGGAAGAAGAGAGAGAGAGAGAGAGAGAGAGAGCGAGAGAGAGAAACAACAACGTGTAGTCTTCAATTCCCCTGGTTGTGAGGTGACGATATCGACGAAGCCGTTAACGTGCCTTCGGCTGACAGTGTAACGTAATGCAGCGCCTGAAACACTAAGACTACCTGGACCCTAAAGAACCTACCTTTTTAGGGTTCCTTGTTATGATTTCCTTATACTAGTCCATAAAAAGGTAGATTATTCGGGGTTAAGGTAGTTTCGGCAAGTGTGAGTGAGAACACACCGCTTTCGGCTCAGCAGGTGATAAAACCGCTCTTCGGGAGCCTGCCCGTGACGATGCTGTCTTTGTGGTGTGCCATCAGTGGTGGCAATGCTTCTTGGCATCTTCAAGCAGCGCTGGGTTTCAGCTTCTTGCCCTGTTGTGTCGGTATTGCGGGACACCGAGGGCTTTTTGGCATTCGTGCCTTACAAGTTTGTTTATGCCTGGCCGTGGGACTGTTTTTACATTAGTCCAACAAGCAGGTGTTCCTGGGTAAGCAAACGTTTCCGATCTGTTATGTGGGTGGTTGTCAAAATTCGGGTCCCTTTTTGGGTCCTTATTATAATACGGCACCTAATATGTAGGGTACCCAAAAAGGGACCCTAATTTTGACAGCTACCCATGTCCATCCTGGGACACCTTCTGCATGAGAAGGGCGCCACAACGCTCTAGGAGTTCTCGAAAACTCGAAAAGTGCGCAGGCGCGCTCGTATCTCAAGACCTTATCTCAAGCAGCTCAACGATATATGCTCAAGTGATACCTTCCTTTAAAATTTATCTATGCAATCCTAGTCCTAATGCTTCCTAATGCTTGTGTGACAGTCTTGCGGCCGGTTTGGCCTGCTTCGCTCATGATGGTTCGGCTGCTTTTTGATGAGGGGAGGTTCCATGCATCGTTGCTCCTGAAGCCCTGGCCTTTCGAAACACCGAGGGTACACCATGCATGCAGACATACTAGACAGGTTGCTCGTGTGAACTATGTGATTGCTTCAAGATGCCTGGTTGATCCTGGGTCTGCATCCCCAATGTGCCCTTTGTGTCTGTGTACACACAGCTCAGGACTGGATGGTGTATGCAGAAGCGCTGATGGTGATGGCAGCCTGGCTTGATCGCCGCCTGCTGCGAGGGCAGGTGTTCATGAATGATCTCCCAAGGACCGTGACAACAGCTACGTGTACGTTGCTGTTTTCCTCTTCTACACAGCCTTCTGTGTTGTCGAACTCTTAGCTGTCAAATTTCATGACCTGGATGCTCGATTGGCCGTCCGAGCACGATGCATTTCCATAGGCGAGAGCGGGCAGGGGTGACACCGGAAGCTAGTGCTTAATGGCTTAATCCCGACCGTTGCCCAAGTCGATGCCACAAGTTAACTTGGCAAGTGAGCTGCATTTTCAGTTTTAGTGCATATTCATTGCCTGGAGCACGCATCTCCGCAGTGGTTTGCAGAAACCTAGGTCGGACTATTCAACGTTGTGACAGGCCATTGCAGAAGGATATTGCAGCACTTTGTGAATAAGAGCTTTGCGTGCCAGGAGTGTTCGTGGACAGCGCTGTCTGCTGCAGAACGGAAGATGAAGTTTTGCAGCGACTTGGCAAAAGCTTTGAAGTTGCAAGTCCAAATATGAGGAGAAGGGTTTCTCACATAAGACAAATGTAACATGGGGGCCTAGATAGTTACCAATACTACTTTGGGGGTTCCTTACTACAAGTATAGTAAAATGGGCCCCAAAAAGGCCCCTACATTATGCTAGCAAGCCTAGACGACCAGCCCTGTTCTTCCCCTCCCTGTTGGCCAGGAGCTACATGGACGATCTGAAGCACACGACTGCTGAGATAAAGAGGCCCAGCTGCAGCCAGTCTGTCGGAGTCTCCTGCTCAAACCCACGTGCTTTGATACAAGGCTGATACGAACGGAGCCTGAAGGGTTCGCATCAGCCAGCATGCTACGTTGAGACACAACGTCACGTCATACAGAAGCTTTAGGCAAGCACACCATGCATACATACGTACATGCACAAGTGTATGAGTACATACTGGCAGGCATGCAGACTCCTCTCACACGGACATGCTCAGACAGGCAGACAGACAGGGTTTGCCAATCTCTGTGAGTCGAAACCCAGGAAGTTCTTCGAGACCGCGGACTCCGATGGTTCTGGCACTTTGAGCTACAGAGAGCTGCTTCCTCGCACATCAGCATGCATAGCTTTCTGAACCGACAGTGCATCACATGCATTGAGATCGTCACCATATGCGTTCACGGAATGCCGATCCGGGGGTGTCGTGCAGCACCAATTGGCAGTTTCCACTTTACAGGTGGCACAGTTTGAAGTTACTGAACTCACTAGACATGCTGATGTTGTACTGAGCAGTATATACGTGGCAGCATTGGTTGAGTATGATGCTAGATGAGAACAGGTGGCCATGTATGTGCCCGGGATTCAAGTAGACATTGGACATGCTCGTCTGTTAAGCAGAAGACCAGTGTGCGATGCGGCAAAATCCAGCAAAGACGAACCGAGGTTCTGTGGCCACCTGAGAAACCCTACGGTCAAGGCAGCAGAGCCACTGGCTTTACTCTTGCCGTACGATAGCAGCAGGATTAACCGGATCACAGACATGCACCTCTGTGGGCAGGCGTTCTTTCATGGTCTGGATATTGATCCGGAAGAGGCCTCGGGTCAGTGCTTGCAAAAGCGTGCAAGCTACTAACCTCTTGCACCCTGGAAGTGGGAAAGCCGAACATCACAAAGCGTCCGCGAATGGACGATCAGGGAAAGGCTTAGATTCTGCCCACTCCTTCTTCCCTGTGAGGCCTCCATCATTTTCCGAATTCTTGACGATGACAAGAACGACGAAATTCTCATAGAAGAGTTCATAAATGGGACAATGAGCCTTGCTTGCTATTGTGCTACAGTGTGTTGGACCGCCTAGTCCAAACTTTTCTCTGCTCTCTCGACAGCGATGCTGGCAGCTCTGGGGCGCAAGGAAGCTGAAGGGGCATGCCACGAAGCTCGAGATGATAACTCTGATGTACGACAACACCAGGCGCGCGGCTCTGCCAGACAGGTCCACTGCTCACGAAGGATTCAAGTCCAGCGTCACGCATTTTGCACATTCGGTCAGACATCATGGCGCAGGCAAAGCATGAAGCTGGACTCGTCAGATGCTTAATGCCACGGTCCTGTGCCGCGAAGTGACGATGTGTGCACAGAAAAGCTTCAGCCCCCTGCCTAAACCCCGGCTCGGCTCAAGTCGCAGAACCGGCTCGACTGGGTGGGAAGTCCTGCTTTTCTAGAGCCCCGGCAATGAAGCTCAGTGTCGGCCTTGCCATTTTGGCAAATTTGGCGTCTGTGTGGGGAGCAAAGCTCCACACCCACGGAAGTCATGAAGACGTGCCCGATCCACCGAATTGCACCACTACCTTCAGCAAGACGTGGGTCGAGAAATGCGAGAACGTCTCGCTGGCGCAATGTGAGGCTTCTTATGTGGGCTGGGGCGTGCACTACCTGCAAGAATGTGCCATCAGCACCTCGAAAACTTTTTGCTTGCCTACCGGAGAGCGCTGCACGCGCACTTCAGAGCTCTTCGTGGAGTACCTGATTGTTGCAGGCGGCGGTGGCGGAGCGTCGGGCGGTGGGGGAGGCGGCGGTGTCCTCACCGGCCAGCAGAAGCTGGATCCCAGCAAGGCATTGAAGGTGGTGGTTGGGGCCGGGGGCAACTTCGGCGGCGGCGGACACACCGCAAACCTGATTGCCACTCCTGGCGGCGACTCTCAGCTCGGTGAGGTCTTGGCCAAGGGAGGAGGTCAAGGAGGTGGAGGTTCGGACATCAACAAGCCTGGAGGGTCAGGGGGATCCGGCGGTGGCGGGGGCCATGATCGGATTCATGTCGCACGGAGCAAGGGCACCGCAGGCCAAGGGCACGGCGGAGGCATCTCGAATGTGGCCGCCTACGGCGCCGGAGGCGGTGGGGGCGGTGCTGGTGAAGCTGGGGCGGATGCCCCTCAAAAACACTACGGTGGCAAAGGTGGCGACGGCATCTCCTCAGACATCACTGGCGCATCCAAGTTTTACGGGGGAGGCGGAGGTGGAGGAATCAATGACAATTCAGGTCAGCCTTTGACAGGTCGTGGTGGACTTGGAGGAAAGGGCGGCGGAGGACGTGGAAGTGACTTCGCCAGCAAAGCCCCCGCCTCCGATGGTTCCCATTGGGAGTTCACCGGAACAGATGGCGAGGCTAACACCGGAGGAGGTGGAGGAGGCACTGACCCGGAGTCAAAGTATGCAGGCATGGGCGGCTCTGGTGTTGTCATCGTGCGCTACCCGGGCACCGTCCCTGTTTTGGTTGGTGGGGAAGTGTCATCGGTTGCAGGCTACCAAGTACACACCTTTGCGATTCCAGGAGAAGATGCGTTGGCCTTCGGCAATGTCACAGAAGCTCTGCCGGTCGACTTCTTGGTCGTGGCCGGCGGTGGTGGTGGTGGCTCTGGAGGCGGCGGTGGCGGCGGCGTCATCAAAGGTTCCAAGATGATGCAAAAAGGGGCTGAGTGGGGCGTTGTGGTTGGTGACGGTGGACGGTCCGGACAGGGCGGTAGCACCGGTGCCCGGGACATGCAAGAGCCCAAATTGGCGGCGAAAGGAGGAGATTCCAAGCTTGGGAGCCTCGTCGCTATCGGCGGAGGTCATGGCGCAGATCAACGGCGAGTGCCGGGTGACGGAGGGTCACTGGGTTCTTGTTAACAATTTAATATGTAAGTTACCATAGCATAGCTATTCTAGCCCGCGTTTTCGTGCCCGTGCATCGCGAGACTCTATCTAGATGATGGCACGGCAGAGAGAGAGAGAGAGAGAGAGAGAGAGAGAGAGAGAGATTGGCCGTTGTTTTACCAAGAGCACAGACCCCGTGGACTGAATCAAATCATGATGCTATGTGTGAACGGTAATTCACACCGGTTAGGTTCATCTAGCAATGCGGCTCTGTACTTTGAACCATCATGTAAGAAGGTAATCTAAGAATGAACCGGGGGAAAACCATCACAAAGCTTTCACACCCCTCCAAAAGCCTCCATACACAACGGGGGGGCCTTTAAGGCCGAGGGGTCTCGCACTCCCCTCATGCCCGGGGGAAGAAGAGAGAGAGATAGCATAGGGATCTATGGTACATAGTATGGTTTGTTTATTATTCTGGCAACTCAAGTGAAGCCTCTTATAAAACACGAAGCCAGGTCAGGCGGTGGTATCTCTTTCGATCGCATTGAGGTGGAGCCGGGTCGCGGCACGCCAGGCCAGGGCTTCCCAGGAGGCCATACCTTCCGTGACGGGTACGGCTCTGGGGGCGGCGGAGGTGGCGCCGGTGGTCGTGGCGAAACAACGCTTCAGTTGCACTTGGGCGGCAAGGGAGGCGACGGCGTGTCTTCAGAAATCACGGGGACGCTGAAGTGGTACGGAGGAGGCGGAGGTGGCGGCGTGAACGACAACGGCAAGGCCGCGGTTGAGAACGGTGGAGGAGCTGGTGGCAAGGGCGGTGGAGGCAAAGGGAGCGATTGGGGCAGCACCACCGATTCGAACCCAGATAAGTTTACAGGAACAGACGGAGAAGAAAACACCGGAGGTGGTGGTGGTGGAACCGATCCTGAGTGCAGAGTGGCTGGTAAGGGTGGTTCCGGCATCGTCGTCGTCCGGTACAAGAGCCCGAAGCCCTTGCTTACTGGCGGCACCATAACGACATCTGGTGGATATCAGATTCACACCTTCTCCACAGTTGGCCCGAGCACCCTGAGGTATGACTAGTGACTGTAAAGACCCAGCCGTTTAAGGGTGTCCCCAAAGCCCCGGCTTTGGGACATCTTGGATGGTTTGCGCAGGGTCACTGCGCCCCCGCTTCTGCCCGCCAATTGGCGAGCTCAACCTCAAACGAGACCTCGCATCTCACAGCCAGCTTTGCGAAAAACAAGGCGATCGCTTGCTGCAGTTGTGTCTGAGTGAAGAAGCATTGGAACTGGTGGCAATCTTGAGAGCCCTTTCAGTCCTGGTGTCCTTCTGAGCATTGTCCTGTTAAGGCTTTGCGAGTTCCTGGAGCAAGAGTTTCAAGAGCTACGGAGAGTGAGCAGACCCTGCTCCGGCCAAGGGCTACCGCAGGCCTGGGTTGCTTTGAGGCTAAAGATTCCCGGTGGACCCTACAGCGTGTTTCATACGGCCGGACACCTGTGTCCTGGGCGTGTCTTGGGGCTTCTTGTCTGCTCGGTTTCCTTGTCTGTTCCCTTCACTCCCGGCCTTTAGACCTGACAGAACTGGCACAAGTGAGGGAACTCGGTGGCTGTGCAGCTCCGTGGAGTGCCCAGCCTTGGTCTGAGGGCCTTCAACACCACAACGCCTGGCAAAGCCGTTGTTTCGGGCGGGTGGGACTCCTGTGCTTTCTTGCTTGCTCTGCTCTGTTTCAGTCGTTCTCAAAGCCGGTGTGCTCGTATGGATGCTGCGAAGGTAGCTCAGCATTGCAGGTCACACCGTGAGGCTGCAAGGAAGACTAGTGTTCATTGCTGTTGTCAGCCAGGGCATGGATGAGGACAGTATGCACACGCCTCCATCATGACCATCCCAGTTTCCATCAGTGAGAACAGAAATGAAACTCCATCACATGTCCATTGCAGGGTGCATGGCCTGCTTCATCGTTGACACTTGGACTGCAGCTGGGATCAGTTGCTCATTCGTAGCCTCTCCGTCACAGTCATGGCTTCATCATACATATTCTCACTGTGTTAACTTGAGGGTGTGTTGCACTTGCGGCAGGATTTGGTAACAATTTTCATCCAGAAAGTTAGAATGTGTTGGTCTTGTCTTCCGCAGTGATTCGGGATCCTTTGAAAAAGGGGCCTCAGGCATCGCAACTCCTTCTTGGGGGTTTCCACTTGTCGGAATGATCTTGAAGTTGTCCGTTGGACTGCGCAGCTTCGACATGTGTGGGTGTCTGCGAACTCTGTGAAGCTATAACTAGTGGGGTCATCGTGTCAGCACTAGTTCAATCCTAAAGACACTCATCCAATAATCAGGCCCCCAGACTCCCAAATGAGATGGTTAGCAGAGTCCCGGATCAACTACTGGCCATCGCCTATCGCGCCTGCATGTCAGGGCGCAGGTTTTTGCCTTACGAACCGCAAGAATGCTATACGAGCCGTCAGCATTGCTTCTCGAAATGGCTCCTTACAGTAGATTTCATTGACGTCTCGAAAGATGCAGCCGTTCCGCGTTATGGAGTTTTTTGGGGGGATCTTACTGAGGACGACAGTCAGCATGCATCCTTTTCGTCCTTTTGTTCGGAGAAGCGCCTTGGACAGGAAGACGAACCAGAGCGGGACAACTTGAGCTTCCGATGAGAGTCGAATTTGACGTCTAGCCCAAACTGCATGCGCCAAACTGCTGGCAACTCATAGGACAAATGTCGCGCACCATGGACAAGGCGCCAAGCCTCGCACCGTGTTCATCACTGCTACTATGCCCGTCGCCGTCTCCATCATCATCCTACTGGACATGTACTAGTAGCGCTCGGAACTGGTAGCTAACACGATCGTCAAAATGTCAAGAGGCTGCCCGTAGATCGTCTTCTCGAGCCACCCGGGGCCTGGTTTCCACTGCAGCGAAGCGGGCAGAAGCTAGTAACGAATGGGTTCGAAGCAATACAGTACACTTTCAGGCTTGAGGTTTGTTGTCTGTGAAGAGATTTCGGGCATTGGGCTGCAGCATTGGACCTTTCAAGCTTGTTGCAAGACGGCATGGCAGTACCATGTAGTTGTTCGGGATGTGGCTGGGCCTTCGGAAACATCAGTCAAAAAGATGGCCTGGGCGCATTCTTCATGCCCGCAGCTGCGCGTGAAGTGGATGCCAGCCCCAAGGGACACAGCAAAGTAATAAAATATAGTATTTATATGTAATTATTATAAGGCAGTGTACTTATAGTATGACTTATAGTATAGTGTATAATTACAATAAAGTATGCTATAGCATAGTAACGTACATTATTGCACGAACTCCTTGGCTTCCCTGAGGGAAGCGACTCCTGGCGTGGGCCGAAGGAAAGGGAAGCAGCTCATTCCTGCAGCTGATGTGGTTCTTGCATCGAAACCATGGAATGTCTAGTGTAAGCACCTTGATTATCAGAATAGGGTTTGGGGTTTGGGGTATATTGTCATATCAGCATTGATAAGGATCACCCGAAACTCTATTCTAACTATGAAGGCCCCTGCATCAAATAGCAAGGCCCCTGTAGTTGACGGTGGATGATAAACAGTAGTACTGGTAGCAACTTGGGAGGGCCACTCTACAAGTAGCAGTGTTGCCGTTGCAGACTTCCGTGGCCACTGCGGTAGGTGCGCTTCTTGTGCTTTTGCTACGACTGCGACTACGAATCGCGGTACCCGGTTCAAAACTCGAGGGCGACTGGTGTCCACCAGGGGGACTTAACTACAGCTAGCTCCCACCATCACTAGCAAAGACGGACATTCACCGTCCCTTGCTGCGACAAGTGATACCACTACCATCATTTCCTTCTGCGAGTTCGATCGCAGCGGCAATTGCTGCTGCCGCTGCTGCACCTGCTGCTGTTGCTGCTGCTGCTGCTTGTGCTAATACTTCACAGAATTGCCAGACTTGCGGCCGTATACGTTTTCAAGCTGCTACAGTTTTTGGCTACCTGAGCTGAAATGTATTTAGGCATGCATGAACATCGACATCGCGATCCGTTGCTAGGGTCAGCTGGGTGTTTTTCTGGTAAACAAGACTTCGGCAGTGTCTGCAAGCCTTCTCAGCACCCCTGTTGTTCATGTGGTTCTTTGCCGATGGCGCCGCGTGGATTCAAGCCAAATCCAGCTTCGCAGAGTCAGGGCACGCAGGTGGACTTGCTTTGGTTTCGTCAAAGATCCATGAGTCCCAACCGCAATCCGGGCTCGCCCAACAAATAGCAACAATGGAGTGCTACAAAGATCTGTGCGTGTGCACATGCAAGCACGGCATGCTATCAGAAGACAAAATGCAGACTACGCACATAGTAGTTTGGTATTGAAACTTGTCAGGCAGATTGATCGATAGATCAGTAGGTACGTAGACAGGGAGATAGGCAGATATCATGGATAGGACGGATAGGATAGATGGATGGATAGATAGATCGCTCGATCGATAGACCAATAAAGCGAATCGATAGACATGTGCTATGCCGGCTGGTTGTGTCGGCTAGTAAGTTGATAGACATATTATACGTCGACAGACACTGTTTTCTTCGCATGCCTTGCCAAGCAGGTGGTAGATGTCACGAGCCCACGGCTGGCTACCAGGGAGCTGGTGCGACTCGGGGATGCATTGCAATGGGCTGCGGCCAGCCGACTCCTCTTCAATCTTGCAGGACGGCCACAAGATCGCTGTGACATCGCCATGAATCTAGTCGCTTGCTGTTTTCATTCGGCTTCGAGAGGGTGTTGTAGTAGTTGCCGGCAAGAGCCGGTGGAATCTGCCGTGGGGTCATGCCGCATCAGTTGCAGATATGCATCACTGCAGTGGCAGTGATGCCGGAAGGACTGGTCTTTCTCAGTTTCTTATGGTCGTGTAATCTGGTTGCAAGCTTGTATCTTGGATCCTGGCGAAACCGGCTGATGTGCTACGCTTTGAACTGTGTCTTTGTAGTATAGTGAACGGAACAGGATCGTCGATGTCTGCTAACGCTGTCAAGTCGGCTCCAATGTGGGCCGCCATGCCTTATGTAAAGTCGTGAGTTGTTCAACCCTCGTCTGACTTGTCGAGCACGAGTGACAAAAATCTGGGGGCCTCAATAATTTGAATCCGGTGCTGGGGGATATTCTACTTTCATTATTTATAATCAGGAGCCCCCAACACCCTCTTGTAATATTCAGGCCCCTGCCTGAATCTGACCTTTTCAGCATCAGGAGCAGGGATCGAAGTGAATCAGTTCCATGTGACGGCGGCCATGCGTGCCTGCGGCAAGGCCGGACAGTTGAAGCAAGATACCCCTAGCCTAGCGTCCGCAGGAAGTGCCAGCGAGACAGTTCGGAAATCTGATGTGATATTAATATATGCATACATTTGCTTGTAAAAGTACTGTCAACGGTATGTAGACATACAAATTACACAGTCCTCTGTCTAAGGTACGTGCTTATGTGTCAAAGGTGTCATACCATTGTTCCCCTCCCATCTGAAGTACACCCATTCTGTTCTCTCGGCACCAACTCGAGGCTGGGCAGTGGGAGACGGCGCTAGCGCTCTTGGAGTCTGTGGATTCTCTGCGAGTACCCCAAGAGACTCGGACTCCACGCGCAGTAGTCAATCTACTGACCAATTACAATAATCGCTGCTGGGTTGTGCGTTCATAGGGGCTCAGAGTGTGCGATAGCTTGCTGTACGGATTTTGTTGACGCTCGGATGGCATGGCGGACCTCGTCGCAAGCTTTCGAGGCTAAAATCGCGAAGCCAGAGAGCTCAGCTCATCCCTGCACCATAAGATGAACACTGAACCCTGGTCTTCTTGAGCCCCAGTCCAGGAAGAGAAAATCTTCGGGGCAGTTCTCAGCTGCTGCGAGCGATGTGGCAGATGGCAACAGGTGCTGGCACTGATGGCGTCGATGGGTTCGATGATCCCCGGCACGGCATGTTACAACTACGCAGCTGCTCGGGTTGGATTTGTTCTGTACATCTTTTACTTTTTGTCTGTCTCAAGCCTGGCTTCGTTTGTTCGTTGCAGCACCAGCCAGTCGTACCTACGAGCAGTTTCAGGTCAGTGCCTGCGAGCAAGCGACACAGTGGGGGCAAGCAGTGCAGTTGTTGGCAGACATGCATGCAAAGGGCATTTACATGGATGGAAGTACAACTTGCAGTGTGCTGTCCGCCTGTGTCAAAGCCCAGCATCTTCGCGAAAGCACCAGTGTCCTGAACCTCATGCGGAGAAATGCCGTGCAAGGCAGCACCATAGCCTGCAGCGCGGCCATCGGTGCATGCTCTCATGCTGGTTTGTGGCACCTGGCCGCCGAGCTTTTAGACCACATGGCTGCCACACAAGTTCCCCGAAACATCATCACTTTCAGCTCTGCAATCTCTTCGTGTGCAAAAGCTGGGCAATGGACTTTGGCTCTGCAGATCCTGGAGCAGATGTCGTCATGTCACGTGGACCATGACACCATCAGCTGCAGTGCAGCCATCACTGCATGCGAGAAGGCCATGGTCGTCCTCTAGATGTACCTATATGTTTGCTGAATTGCCACCGGTATTCGCTCTGTAACTGCTATCCTGCCCCGAAGCTATAATGAGTGGGTTGAGCGAGTCTGTTGCCGTCTCTTACCTTCCGCTTTGCAGCCTGTCATCTGCACTCTTGTAAGCAATTTCGGTCCCGTCGCGGTGTCTCCATGCGATCAGGATCCTAGCATTCGGAATTCCATGTTTGCCACCTCAGAAGTTCCGCGAGGCTGGCCAGTGGACAGTCGCCCTCGATATCCTCGGCAGCATGCCGCGCCTTCGGGTGCTCGCCGATGCCGTCACTTTGGCCTCCGTGATCAGCTGCCTGGAGAAGGGCGAGCAGTGGGAGAGGGCCCTGCAACTCCTCTCACAAGGCTCCCGCTGGGCGTCGAGGGATCAGGGGGCCTCTGTAGTACCGAGAATCTGGGAGCTTGTTTGTTCCAAGAAAGTCCCCAAGAAGGGATCCTTCCTTGGGAGCATCGTGAGGTTGTGGTGAAGAGATGGAAGTCAACTACATCGGCCTTTCAGCGGCGATTTCCGCTTGTGAGAAGGCTGGGCAGTGGAAAGCCGCCTGTGAAGTGTTGCGCTTTTCGGCGACTGCGCACATCAGAGTAGACATCGTTGCCTACAGCGCCGCCATAGCAGCATGCTCTCGATCTGGGGAGTGGCAACAAGCTTTTGGATTGCTGGAAAAGATGGCAGAGGAGCAAATCCGCCAGGACACCGTGGCATGCACGGCGGCAATAACTGCTTGCACGAATTCGACCGAATGGAAAAGCGCACTCACTCTTCTGAATTCAATGAACCGCCGGCTGCTGTCGCCAGAGTTATTTGCATACACTACAGCTCTGAGTGCGTGTGATCTCGCGGAGCGCTGGGAGGAAGCATTACTGCTAATGGAGGATATGCAGCAGAGCTCAATGGTAATAGATGGCATGCATGTGGGCTGCGCCATCAGCGCTGTCCAGAAGAGGCGTGGACGCCCGGCTGCTATCCGGCTTCTCAAGGCACTGCGTGCGACATGGCCCCCGTTGATTCCGGAAAGCAGAAAGGCTGACATGGAAGGTTTGGAGGTGCTTAGTCTGCATCCTGGACTGCTTGTTCTCAACAAGCCGGCTGGTGTGCGGACGGAAGACATGTGGCTCGGAGAGAATCTGTCAGAGTAAGAAGGGCATCTCTTGGATTGGGAGCTACAGTCCGTAAGCATCTTGCAGACTTAGATGTGGTCAGGGCTTGCTACCCTTGCACAGGGCTTGCTTCCATCATCCATGCTGTGCTTCCGTGAAGGCTTGAGCAAGTCGCCCGCCTTGGCAAAGTCACGGAGATATCGCGCCTGGACGTTCCCACCTCGGGGTTGCTACCTGTCGTCCTCGATGCGGAGGGAACGACAGCTGCCAGGTGCCTGGGCTTCGAGAGATTCTGTTGGAGTCAGTGGCTTCGGAAAACTTTCAAAAGAGGTTCTTGAGGTTTGCGCTCAGGAGGATTCCAAGTATCATGTGGTGGAATTCACTTCGATCACGTAGACTGTTCCGGACTGGGGAGGGTGGCTGGGAGGACAGATCTTAAAGCACTTTCCAGCTTCTGCCGGTGTCAGTGTGCTACTTGGACTTATGTAGGTGCGTTTTAACGAGGGGAGATGACAGGAGATACGGTTGAGCGGTTTAGAACTTCAGGGTTTGAGATCTCAACTCAGCAGGAGTAGGTGTAGACTGTAGACTCTTAAGCTTGTCTGCCTGGGAAGACTTAATGATTTGCATTCTACTGCTGAGTAAGTCTATGTGTCTACGTTGTATTCATTCCAGTCCGACTGAGCCGCTTGCATTTTGCCCACGATGGCACATCTTTGACACTCGCATTCCGCTTCGATACTCTATATACCCCTTTTTTCTGAACCCTCACGTGAATCCGCCGAGGTGGTACAAATCGCAGTTTGCGGGCCGTCTGGCCAGGAAGGAGTACCTTTGCCTCTGTGAGGGCGAAGTGCTGCCTGCAGCGCCGTCTGCACTTTGCAGGGCTTTTCGGAGAGATAGGCTTGGTGCCGGTTCGTGGCATACAATGTGTCATGAATATCTAGATGAATACAGACTCTCCAAAGATACGTGGACATGTGTATGTGTGTATGCACAGATGCTTACATGTATTCATAATGCATCCACACGGTTTGTGGCTTCGGTTTCTGGGTTCAAGCTATTTCGGGCCGCAGACCGGGGTTTGGAAACTCGTCAGGAGCAATTAGTGTTTCAGGTGCGGGAACAGGGCCCGTGTTTGCCTTACCGTTCTGGGGCTGATAAGTTGGGGCCCAAAGAAACTGGCTGCAGCCGAATCGTCCCAGTCAGCCCGGAAGTCTCGCCAAGGCTGAGGGCGAGCAGCGAGTGGAGCTGCCCTTGCGTATCATGCCAAAGGGGCCGGGTAGTGCGGCCCGTGCAGCCGTGGATCCCCTCGGCCGGGAGGCTTTAACTTGCTACGAGAGCCTGGCCGTGTACAGCTCGGATGACAAGATCTGGTCGCTGGTCTCTGCCAGACCGAAGACGGGACGAGCCTCGAATTCAGGGCAAGCTTTCAGTATGCTAGTGCAGCCTGGAAGCCTGGAACCATCCTTCCTTTGCTGCGGAACAAGGAATGCACCAGATCCGCGTGCATCTGGCGAGCGTAGGCCTGCCGTTGGTGGGTGACCGATGCTTGTCTGACCAACGAAAGAAGTGACGTCGGCACATCGCTGCCTTACTGTAAGATTCCCCCTAGAATCTTGTGACAGTCTCGTAGGCCTAAGGTAGTCGTGTCCATGAGCCCTCTCTATCCATACGGATGTCCAGGTCGTTTTCCCTCAGCCTGTTTCGACCAGTGCCAGTGCCAGTGGCAGAGCAGCATAGCCACAGTAGCGGCTGTGCCCAGGAGTTTATGGGCTACCAGGACCTTCTTGGTGTCCTCGGTTGTTCCTGCACTGCCGCCGCTTGACGTTCCTCGGCTGGACCTGACTGAAATAAACGAACTTGGAGCCGGGCTTTCGAAGTATACCAACATGGGAATTTCCGAAAATTAGGGGTATATCATTCTGGGGTCCTTAAAATAAGGATCCTACTATTTATTACGGTATTATATTAGGGTCCCGGAAACTCCCCACATTGACATAGAGTTCCTATACTCCTTGCACAAGCATGTTTGTTTCGCGTGGCCGTTGCATTCCAGGCTTCTTGGCTGGGATGGGAAGGAGCTGAGCCTGGACGCGCCACTTCCCGCTGAGCTTCGGGCAGCCCTGGAGCACTTGGAGCGGGAAGCCTGCCGGAGCGGGTCAGAACAGAGCAAAAGTGAAAGTGGTGTTCTGAGAGAGTGCTTTTCGACCACTGACCAGTTACCAGGTTCAGACATGTTCCGGCTGTTCTGGGTGCCAGTTCTGACCACGCCTTTGTTTCGCTTGCAGTGCACAGCAACCAAATGTGCCGCTGCAAATCTGTACTGGTGTTGTCATCCAGTCTCTTCATGGAGTTTGAAATTTCGAGACAGGGGAGAACTGCTGTTCGCAGCAGCCGGTGCTGGCTCAAAATTTCTCGGCTTGATGGTGGTGGCGGGGCTGGTATGTGGGTGCACCCGTTCCCGCCTCCACATCTCGCCCCATGGCTGCAGGTAGCTGCGCGTGCCCCTGTGATCTCAGCACGCTGTCTGCCAATCCTCGGTTGGCAACCCGCTTCTTGGTGCAGCTTGGGGATGCAAAGCAGTGGCCTGATGCCGTATCACTACTGCGAAACCTTCGAGGTTCGACGAAGTAGACGAAACAGCTGCGTGTTAGCAGACTGTCCCAAGCACTTTTGCCAGCTGTCTTCGTGAGGAGAGGCGGTGGAGCTTGATCAGATCCACTTCAGCGCTACCATCCGTGCCTGCAGTAAAGCTGGTGCTTGGGTCCCGGCATTGGCACTGCTGGATCTGATGGCTGACTGGCAACTTGACAAGGCTTGTCCCGGACTGAAGACAAAGAAGTCTGCTGTGAGTGCTGGATGCTGTCTAGAATTCACTTTTGCAGTCACAGGAAGTCGGTGAAGACTAAAGGTAAGCCAGAGACACCCTTTCGCAGAGTTGGAAGGATCTTAAGTGCTTCGGTGCAGCGCTGAGCGCCTGTGACCATGGCCGCCGGTGGCAGGCGGCTCTTCTGCTGCTTTCTTCTATGGCGCATGCAGGCGCTGCGCCGGGTCAGATTGCCTACAACTGTGCAGTCGCTGGGCCCTGCCTATCACCTTTTCGCTTATTCTTGCGTTTTCGCACGCGCTGCATCGTGAAGCGCCACTACAGTGTCTTTCTGAAGGTTTATGCAACCGTCTGAGCAGCGCACAACTAGGGTGGGGGGATGGTTTCAGCTCTTGCGACACGCCTGCTCTGGTTGAGCCCTGAACTGAACCTCCGTGCAGGGAAGTACAGAAGGCTTGGGAGTCAGTGCGAAGGCATCATCGAGCATGTTGAGTTTTGAATGGGTCTTCTAACTCAGGTAAGTGCGTGCGAGCGCTGCGCCCAGTGGTCGCAGGCACTGCAGCTCTTGGAGGACATGAGCCTCAAGCAAGTGCCTGTGGACACCATCACCTTCTGTTCGGCCGTCTGTGCCTGTGGAAAGGCGAAGAAGTGGCCCCAAGTTCTTTGGCTCCTGCAGCGCATGGAGCAACAATCTATAGAGAAGAACACCATACTTTGCAGTGCTGCGGTAAATGCAGCTTTGTCATGGTTGGGTAACATGTTTTTTTACGGGTACATAAGGAATACAAATCATCAGATTACACATGTTCACATAGACGTTAATTTATCATGTTAAACACGAACCATGGACCAGGCATGTGCAAAGGGCAGCCTCTGGACCATGGCGATGGACATTTTGCATTCCATGGCTCTCGCAGGCATCGAGAGAAACACCATCACTTTCAATTCTGCGATCGCGGCTTGTGAGAAGAGTTCTGAGTGGGAGCTGGCCCTGGAGATCTTGAGAGAAATGGACAAATCTCGGGTGCGCAGTGATACGATTTCATGTAGCACAGCCATCAGTGTTTGCGCAAGTACTGGCCATTGGACGATAGGGCTGGATTTGCTTGCACACATGTTTGCCCAGACCATTCCGCCGGATGCGATCGCATTCTCTGCGGCGATCACTGCATGTGGAAGAGGGGAAGTGTGGGATCGTGCATTAGTGCTCTTGCAAGATCTTTGGTCCCTGTCCAATGGCGTGAGCAGTATCAGCTTTGCTGCCGCCATATCAGCCTGTGAGCGTACCGGGCAATGGACTGCAGCATGCCAGCTTCTCGAGACGTTACTGGGTACGAATGTCGCTGTGGACGTTGTGCCTTTCAGTGCAACGATTGCCGCTTGCTCGCGTGCGGGAGAGTGGGAAATAGCATTGAATCTACTTGACCAGATGGTGTCCAGGAGCACAGGCAAGGACACCGTGTCATGCACAGCGGCCATAAAGGCTTGTGCAACATCCGCCAGCTGGAACGCTGCATTATGTCTTCTCGGAACGATGCTCGCAGAACAGGTTCCTCCAGATGTCGCCACCTACAGCGCAGTCTTAAGTGCTTGTGACCTCGGCGAGCGATGGGAAGAGGCCCTCGTGATCATGCATGACATGGATCGCCGATCCGTGGCCATAGATGGTATACATGTCGGCTGCGCAATCAGTGCCGCCTTGAAGAAGGAGGGACGAGAGGCCGCCATCCTGTTGCTACAGGCCTTGCGCACATCTTGGCCAGCCGTAGACCCCGGAGCAGACCCATCGGCAGAGGTCTGCACTGGGGACATTGAGATCATATGTCAGCATCCTGGCCTCTTGGTCCTCAACAAGCCAGCCGGTGTTCTGACCGAGGACGCGCTTCTTGCATGAAAGGTATCTCTTCTTGGTTTTTGTTGCCCGCAGCGGCGCCCGGCGTCCGGCAGGACCAGCTTCAGTAACTCGAAGTCTGTAAAGATGAAACCATGATCATGAGCCCGATGCTCGGAAAACGGCCCTTCTGACCCACCACCTCGCAGGCTTTCCTGGGCGCAAGGATGGGCTGGGTCTCGGGTGACGGCTATGTCTCGCTTGGATGTTCCGACCTCCGGACTGCTTCCTGTGGCACTCGGCTCGGAAGAGACGGCTTCGAGCAAGTGGTTCAAGGCGCAGTTCGCCAGCCGCCTTGTCCAAAAGGAGTACCTCTGCCTCTGCCATGGACGCATAGAAGTGCCTCCTTTGCAGCTTATATATATATATATATATATATGTAAGAGAAACCTTTATGTATAATGTGGCGTTCCTGTTTGGGGTATATAAGCCAGAAGGGGATTGGATAGTTTAGATAGTTTGTGGGACGCCGGGGAGGGCACAAACAACCCAAACTATCTAAACTATCTAAACCCATCCCGGTTTAGATAGTTTAGATAGTTTGGGCCTTCCCCCGTGCCACCCAAACTATCTAAACTATCTAAACCCCTCCCGGTTTAGATAGTTTAGATAGTTTAGATAGTTTGGATAGTTTAGATAGTTTAGATAGTTTGGGGGTCTCCAGTTGGTCTGGAGAGAGAGGGGTTTAGATAGTTTAGATAGTTTAGATAGTTTGGGCCTTCCCCCGTGCCACCCAAACTATCTAAACTATCTAAACCGGGAGGGGTTTAGACCAGGGCAGCGGGAGCCCCCAAACTATCTAAACTATCTAAACTATCCAAACTATCTAAACTATCTAAACCCCTCCCGGTTTAGATAGTTTAGATAGTTTGGGCCTTCCCCTGTTCCACCCAAACTATCTAAACTATCTAAACCCCTCCCGGTTTAGATAGTTTAGATCGTTTAGATAGTTTAGATAGTTTGGGCCTTCCCCCGTGCCACCCAAACTATCTAAACTATCTAAACCGGGAGGGGTTTAGACCAGGGCAGCGGGAGCCCCCAAACTATCTAAACTATCTAAACTATCCAAACTATCCAAACTATCTAAACTATCTAAACCCCTCCTGGTTTAGATAGTTTAGATAGTTTGGGCCTTTCCCCGTGCCACCCAAACTATCTAAACTATCTAAACCCCTCCCGGTTTAGATAGTTTAGATAGTTTAGATAGTTTAGATAGTTTGGGGGTCTCCCGTTGGTCTGGAGAGAGAGGGGTTTAGATAGTTTAGATAGTTTGGGCCTTCCCCCGTGCCACCCAAACTATCTAAACTATCTAAACCGGAAGGGGTGTAGACCAGAGCAGCGGGACCCCCCAAACTATCTAAACTATCCAAACTATCTAAACTATCTAAACCCCTCCCGGTTTAGATAGTTTAGATAGTTTGGGCCTTCCCCCGTGCCACCCAAACTATCTAAACTATCTAAACCCCTCCCGGTTTAGATAGTTTAGATAGTTTGGATAGTTTAGATAGTTTGGGGGTCTCCCGTTGGTCTGGAGAGAGAGGGGTTTAGATAGTTTAGATAGTTTGGGCCTTCCCCCGTGCCACCCAAACTATCTAAACTATCTAAACCGGAAGGGGTGTAGACCAGAGCAGCGGGAGCCCCCAAACTATCTAAACTATCTAAACTATCCAAACTATCTAAACTATCTAAACCCCTCCCGGTTTAGATAGTTTAGATAGTTTGGGCCTTCCCCCGTGCCACCCAAACTATCTAAACTATCTAAACCCCTCCCGGTTTAGATAGTTTAGATAGATAGTTTAGATAGTTTTAGTTTGGATAGTTTAGATAGTTTGGGGGTCTCCCGTTGGTCTGGAGAGAGAGGGGTTTAGATAGTTTAGATAGTTTGGGCCTTCCCCCGTGCCACCCAAACTATCTAAACTATCTAAACCCCTCCCGGTTTAGATAGTTTAGATAGTTTGGATAGTTTAGATAGTTTAGATAGTTTGGGGGTCTCCCGTTGGTCTGGAGAGAGAGGGGTTAGATAGTTTAGATAGTTTGGGCCTTCCCCCGTGCCACCCAAACTATCTAAACTATCTAAACCCCTCCCGGTTTAGATAGTTTAGATAGTTTAGATAGTTTGGGGGTCTCCCGTTGGTCTGGAGAGAGAGGGGTTTAGATAGTTTAGATAGTTTGGGCCTTCCCCCGTGCCACCCAAACTATCTAAACTATCTAAACCGGAAGGGGTTTAGACCACAGCAGCGGGAGCCCCCAAACTATCTAAACTATCTAAACTATCCAAACTATCTAAACTATCTAAACCCCTCCCGGTTTAGATAGTTTAGATAGTTTAGATAGTTTGGACAGTTTAGAAAGTTTAGATAGTTTGGGGGTCTCCCGTTGGTCTGGAGATAGAGGGGTTTAGATAGTTTAGATAGTTTAGATAGTTTGGGCCTTCCCCCGTGCCACCCAAACTATCTAAACTATCTAAACCCCTCCCGGTTTAGATAGTTTAGATAGTTTAGATAGTTTGGATAGTTTAGATAGTTTAGGGGTCTCCCGTTGGTCTGGAGAGAGAGGGGTTTAGATAGTTTAGATAGTTTGGGCCTTCCCCCGTGCCACCCAAACTATCTAAACTATCTAAACCCCTCCCGGTTTAGATAGTTTAGATAGTTTGGATAGTTTAGTTTAGATAGTTTGGGGGTCTCCCGTTGGTCTGGAGAGAGAGGGGTTTAGATAGTTTAGATAGTTTGGGCCTTCCCCCGTGCCACCCAAACTATCTAAACTATCTAAACCGGAAGGGGTGTAGACCAGAGCAGCGGGAGCCCCCAAACTATCTAAACTATCTAAACTATCCAAACTATCTAAACTATCTAAACCCCTCCCGGTTTAGATAGTTTAGATAGTTTAGATAGTTTGGGCCTTCCCCCGTGCCACCCAAACTATCTAAACTATCTAAACCCCTCCCGGCTTAGATAGTTTAGATAGTTTGGATAGTTTAGATAGTTTAGATAGTTTGGGGGTCTCCCGTTGGTCTGGAGAGAGAGGGGTTTAGATAGCTTAGATAGTTTAGGCCGCAGGGAGGACCAGACTCCTGGTGTCAAGCTGTGAAGTTTGGAAGAGCTCCATTTTTTCTTCTTGGTCGTAAGCTCTCAGTGTTTGGGGGGCTCTGTCCTCTCTTGCTAGGAGTGAGGTCGCTTCACTCTTTTCAAGACAGCGACGCGACTTACCAAGAAGTAATGGAGCTCTCTTCTAGAAAGAAGCTCTCTTCTCTTACCACGAATAACTTGGGGAGCTCTCTTCTTGTTTTAGAGCATGAGGTGCAAGACGTCTGTTTCGTTTTCAAGGTTGAGGGAAAGGCCAGAGCTCTTTCTTCTTGGGCATATTCTGTCTTCCATCTTTTTAACTGGTAAGGGGTATAGGCAGGGTCTCGTTCCCTTACCGAGAGAGAAGGAGGTCTCTTCTTGGCGACTGAGGGGCAAACGGAGCTCTCTTCTTTCTCGATATCTTGGAGGGCCGGCTGTCTTATTTGAGGATGAGCTCTCTTCTGTCTCATTAGATTGGAGGAAGCTTTCAGTCGCTTCTTATCGAGGATGAAGTAAAAGGGGCTTTTCCGTTTGGAAGCTGGGGGAGCTCTGTCCTCTCTTGCCAGGGGATCTTTCCCTCTACCGAGAGGTGAAGGAGCTCTCTTCTAGAAATGTCTCCTCTTACCAAGAGTAACTTGGATTGAGTTCCCTTCCTGTTCAGAGAGGGGGCTTCTCATTTCGCTTTGAAGGCTGAAGGTTGGGTCAGATTTCTCTTTTGAAGGTTTGTAATTTGGAAGAAGTCCACCCTTTCTTCTTGATCGCAAGCTCTTCCATGTATTGAAGAGGAGTAGATGGTCAGGAGCTCTCGCCCCTGACCAAGAGAGAAAGGAATCTTCTTATTGTCGACAGAGAGGTAAGCAGATGTTTCTCGAGAAGTTAGAGCCCTCTTCTTTCTTGTGAAATTGGGGGGAGGTTTGTTAGTTCTAGAGAGAAAACATACATTGTTAGGGGGCCTCTGTCCTCTCTTGCTAGGAGTGAGGTCTCTTCACTCTTCTCAGGATGTTATGGAGCTCTCTTCTAGAAAGAAGCTCTCTTCTCTTACCACGAAAAACTTGGGGGAGCTTTCTTCTTCTTTTAGAGCATGAGGTGGAGGAGTTCTGTTTCTTGTCAAGGTTGAAGGGGGAGCTAGACTTTGTTTGTAGGGTTCCGCCCTTCCTTCTTGAGCGTATGCTCTCTTCTTCTTTTGAAGAGGTAAAAGGGATGGTCAGGATCTCCTTTTTTACCTAGCGAGGAGGAGGTCTTTTTCTTCTTCCTCGATATCTTGGAGGGGCCTGTCTGTGTTTTTTGAGAATGAGCTCTTCTGTCTCATTAGATTGGAGGAAGGGTTCAGTCTTGTGTTGTCGGGGATGAGGGAGAGGGCTTTTCTGTTTGGAAGCTAGGGGCTCCGCCCTCTCTTGTCAGGGGGTCTGTTCCTCTACTGAGAGGTAAAAGAGCTTCTCTTCTAGAGAGAAGTTGTCTTCCCTCACCGAGAATAATTTGGATTGGGTTTCTTTCTTGTTCCAGAGGATGAAGTAGAGGGCTTCTCATTTCGCTTTGAAGGCTGCAGGTTGGCCCAGACTTCTGTTGTTAAGGTTAAGTTTGGAAGAGCTCCATTTTTTCTTCTTGGTCGTAAGCTCTCTTCCATGCGTTGAAGAGGAGGAGGAGATGGTCAGGAGTTCTCGCCCCTGACCAAGAGAGAAAGGAATCTTCTTGTTGTCGACAGAGAGGTAAGCAGATGTTTCTCGAGAAGTTAGAGGGGCCTCTCTTGTGAGTTGTTGGGGTAGAGGCCCTGCCAGGAGATCTTGTCCTCTACCACGAGGTAGAAGAGCAGCCCTCTTCTTTCTTGTGAAATTGGAGGGAGCTTTCTTCCTGTTTTGGACGATTAGACAGAGAACTCATACAGTGTTGGGGGGGCTCTGTCCTCTCTTGCTAGGAGTGAGGTCGCTTCACTCTTTTCAAGACAGCGACGCGACTTACCAAGAGGTAATGGAGCTCTCTTCTAGAAAGAAGCCCTCTTCTCCTACCACGAAAAACTTGGGGGAGCTTTCTTCTTGTTTGAGAGCATGAGGTGGAGGAGTTCGGATTCTTTTTCAAGGCTGAAGCGAGAGCTAGAATTTGTTTGAAGGCTTCCGCCCTCCTTCTTGAGCGTACGGGACAGCCAGGATCTCCTTTTTTACCTAGCGAGGAGGAGGTCTTTTTCTTCTTCCTCGATATCCTAGAGGGGCGTGTCTGTTTTTTTTTGAGAATGAGCTCTCTTCTGTCTCATTAGATTGGAGGAAGCGTTCAGTTTTGTGTTGTCGGGGATGAGGTAGAGGGCTTGTCTGTTTGGAAGCTAGGGGCTCCGCCCTCTCTTGTCAGGGGGTCTTTTCCTCTACTGAGAGGAAAAAGAGCTTTTCTTCTAGAGAGAAGTTGTCTTCCCTCACCGAGAATAATTTGGATTGGGTTTCTTTCTTGTTCCAGAGGATGAAGTAGAGGGCTTCTCATTTCGCTTTGAAGGCTGCAGGTTGGCCCAGACTTCTGTTGTTAAGGTTAAGTTTGGAAGAGCTCCATTTTTTCTTCTTGGTCGTAAGCTCTCTTCCATGCGTTGAAGAGGAGGAGGAGATGGTCAGGAGTTCTCGCCCCTGACTAAGAGGGAAAGGAGTCTCTTCTTGCCGACAGAGAGGTAAGCAAATCAGGCGTCTCTGCTGAGTTGTTGGGGTAGAGGCCCTGCCAGGGGGGTCACTTCCTTATCAAGAGGTAAAGTTGATAGTGGAGGGAGGTTTCTTCCGGTTTTTGATGATCAGGTAGAGAGCTCATACATTGTGGGGCGGGGCTCTGTCCTCTCTTGCTGGGAGAGAGGTCTCTTCACTTTGCTCAAGGCTGAGAAGCGACTTACCAAAAAGTAATGGAGCTCTCTTCTTACCCTGAACAACTTGGTAGAGCTTTCTTCCTGTTTTAGAGCATGAGGTGGAGGAGTTCTGTTGGTTTCCAAGGTTCAAGGGAGGGCCAGACTTTGTTTGAAGGGCTCCACCCTTTCTTCTCGAGTGTATGCTCTCTTCCAGATTTTGAGGAGGGGGGATACTCAGGATCTCCTTCCCTTCCCTAGAGAGAAGGAGGTCTCTTCTTGCCCACTGAGGGGTAAACGGAGCTCCCTTGTTTCTTGGTAACTTGGAGGGATGAGGTCCAGGGCTTTTCTTCTTGGAAGTTAGGGAGCTCTGGTAAGCTCTTTTCCGTCTTCTGAGGAGGCAAGGGAAATACTCAGGAGCTCTCTTGGTTTCACTTGCCAAGAGAGAAAGGAGGTTTCTTCTTGCCGACAGAGGGGTAGACGGAGCCCTCTTCTTTCTCGTGAAGTTGGAGAGGTTTGTATGATATATTGAGATGGGCCCTCGTCTGTCTCATTACGTTGGAGGAAGCTCTCTTCTTGTCGAGGATGAGGTAGAGAACTTATATGCATTTTTTGAAGAGTGGTTTGCTCTAATCACCCTCTTAAGATTAGAATGAAGACTTGCCAAGAGGTAAAGGAGTTCTCTTCTAGAAAGAAGCTGTCTTCTCTTACCAAGAGTAACTTGAACTGGGTTTCCTTCTTATTGTTTCAGAGGATGAGGTAGAGGGCTTCTCATTTCGCTTTGAAGGCTGCAGGTTGGACCAGACTTCTCTTGTCAAGGTTTCAAGTTTGGAAGAACTCCATCCTTTCTTGATCGCAAGCTCTCTTCCATGTATTGAAGAGGAGGAGGAGATGGTCAGGAGCTCTCGCCCCTGACCAAGACAGAAAGGAATCTTCTTTATATCGGTAGAGCGGTAAGCAGATCTTTCTCGAGAAGTTAGAGGGGCTTCTCTTCTGAGTTGTTGCGGCTTGGCTTTCTTTTTGTTTTCTATGACTAGGTAGAGAACTCCTCTCTTGCTAGGAGCGAGGTCTCTTCACTTGTCTCAAGACTGACAAGCGGCTTACAAAAAGGTAGAAAGGACCTGTCTTCTCTTACCACGAAAAACTTGGGGGAAGCTGTTTTCTTGAGCTCCTCTTGGTCTTGATCAGCGAGAAGAGAGCTCCCTTCCCTTTTGGTAGAGGAAGAGATCTCCTGGCAAGAGATCAGCAAAGCCTTCTGCTTCATCCTCGACAAACACAACAAAAAAGCAAGACAGGCCCCTCCCACATATCGAGCAATAAAAGAGCTCCGTTAACCCCTCAGTCGGCAAGAAGAGACCAAGCTTCTCTCTCTCTAGGCTCAAGTAAGAAAAGACGGTAAACCCTAAAGCCCCGAGCTGTGTGTGGGGCTGCCTGTGCACTGACAATAGGCTCAGGTCTGCTATCACTCGATTTGGCCGCAAGTGATCGCTGGGGCGCCAGAAGCAGACCAACCCACACGTCCCATGCCACACGGCGTGTGGCCTCCTCTGACACACTCTCTCTCTCTCTCGCTCTCGCTCTCGCTCTCTCTGTCTCTCTCTCTGGCTCTCTCTCTGTCTCTCTCTCTCTCTCTCTCTCGCGGTCCTCCCACGCTTCGGTTTAATTTGTGGCTTACCACTCCAGCGCTCAAGCCTTTTCCGAAGACCTACAATCCGCGAAACGGTTGACACCCACCCTTGTTGCCTTGTCCCCTCTAGGACTGACTCTGCGCCATTTGCCACCGGCATCGTGGACGGGGCAGGGCCCGGGTTGTGTAGCTGTGCCTGCTCTAGGATGGCTGCTCCGCAAGGCCCAACACTGCACTCTGATTGTACGGGTGTGGCCTGTACTTTCGGGGATGCGTCCGCGGCCTATTCTAGTGATCCAGATACACGGGAAGAGCTTGTTTATGCAGCGGGGGCCCTCGTAACCTCTGTGCATGAGCAAGCCTAGCTGTGACCACCCATCTCACTTCCGGGCAATGACGTTTTACGGAGCCCGGGGCGCCCTGCCAGTTTGAACTCCAAGTGGAAGGGCAATGACGTTTGCGGAGCCCCTGAGATGCCCGGTGGGATAGCGCCTTAGGCATGGCCCCGTCTGCAACAGGTGCCGCTTCTCACTCACTCACTCCCTAGGGTGGGCTCCCCCCCAACCGAAGTCTGGTCCTCCCCTCAACATTGGGCGCTCACCGTTGAAGGTTTGGGATGTAGTCGTTGAAGTCGTAGTCGTGGTAGTCACCGTTGGCAGGAACATCGTAGTAGTAGTAGTAGTAGTAGCAGTAGCAGTAGCAGTAGTAGTAGTAGTAGTAGTAGTAGTAGTAGTAGTAGTAGTAGTAGTAGTAGTAGTAGTAGTAGTAGTAACTAGTAGTAACTAGTAGTAGTAGTAGTTGTAGTAGTAGTAGTAGTAGTAGTAGCAGTAGTAGTAGTAGTAGTAGTAGCAGTAGTAGTAGTAGTAGTCGTAGTAGTAGTAGTAGTAGTAGTAGTAGTAGTAGTAGCAGTAGCAATAATAACAATAATAGGCATCATAACAATAATGCAGTGTGTAGTCTAGTATTGAAACAAAAGAGAAAGCCATATTATACATAAAGGTTCCTGCCTCATATATATATATATATATATACAGATCTGTCTTTGTTACAGATGCCTTTGCCGGCCAAGGCACCCGGCGAGCAGCGCGTGGAGCTGCCGTTGCGCGTGGTACCTTCGGGCCCAGGCACGTCCCGTGCGCTGGTGGATCCACTCGGCCGTGAGGCTGTCACCTCCTACGAGAGCCGGGCCGCCTACGCCTTGGAAGGTGAGGTATTTTCCCTGGTCTGTGCTAGGCCGAAGACAGGAAGAGCCTCGGTCGCAACGAGCCTGAGCAGGATGCAGAGGGCACCTGCGTAGCTTTCTGACGTCCCATGCACGCTGGAGCCCAGGAATGCACCAGATCCGCGCGCACCTGGCAAGCGTGGGTCTGCCGTTGGTGGGCGACCGATGCCTGTCCTGAGCATCAGTTTCGTGATGTTTCGTTGTGACGGGGGTCGATTCGCGTGACCGCCGCCGGAGAGATCAAGGGTGTGAACAAATGCTGATTGTGACATCGTCACGGAGTGGCGGCTTTCCAGGCTGTAATCTAATGCCAGACGAATGTAGCTGGCCTCGTTTCGGAGCAATCTTCAGAGTCAATGCGTCAACGGCCTAGCGAGTGCGAATCTAAGGGCTTTACGGGCCACGTGCACCTTCTTGGTGTCGTCGCCTGTTTCTCCACTGCCAGCAGTTAAAGCAGCCCGGCTTTCACTGCTGTGAACTCTTCAGGTATGTATGCCACAGACTGCGACTATGGTCCTCCTGCTCCCAGACTCAACTCACATTGTCATATGAGATCACGTGAGGCTGTTGGGCTGGCACGGTGAGGAGCTCAACATCATGGCGCCACTCCCTGTGGAACTCCGGCGCGTCCTCCTTCATCTGGGTGGAACGGAACCGGAGGAGAGCGATTGGAAAGGCCAGGAGGAAGACGCCTCCATAACCTGATAAGGGCACTATATGCATACGATCAGCCAGTAATGTCGAGCCATGCCGTGGCAGTGCAGCTGATCTGCGCCCGGCCAGCGTCATCAGCGTCACGCAAGCCACAAGAACGCGCAAGTGTACGACCTCCAACTCCGCAGCCAACAAGCTCGTCGTCGAATCTCGGCGGCTACCATATCGCATCGGAGGCAAACTGTGGTAATTATAAATGTTCCCCGACTGCTATATGGATATATTTGGATCCCAGGTTACCTCCTACAGAGGTGCACATGCGAGACGGGCATGGGTTGCTCTTGCTTGCTGCCTTTACTCGGCTTGGCATTCTTGCGAGTCAGGTTGGCTCGAGGACACCGTTTGCCAAGTCCAGGAGGGTTGTGGGCCATGGTATCAGACATTCCCATGGTGCCGTTGATAAAGCGGGTTTTCCCTCTAGTTCGAGCATGACATGCGCTACGGCACATCCCGCAGACACGCTGAAGACTTGCAGCAAGGCCATCGCTTCATGTGCCAGGGCTGCGTGCTGGCAGCAGGGGCTAGACTTGCTTTCCAGCCTGCAAGTCCGTGCGTTCCAGCCGAATGTAATAGTTTACAATGCCACCATCAATGCCTGCGCACGAGGGCGGCAATGGCAGCTGTCTTGGCTCTTGCTCTCTGAACTCGAAGCTCAGTCTATTGAAGCCACCGCCATCACGTACAACACCGCTCTCACGGCATGCGAGCGCGCTTCTGCCTGGCAAAAGGCTCTCGATCTGCTCTCTGTCTTTGTATTTTGTTTGCTTGAGGCAGACATCACCTCTTACAACACCACCATCAGCTCTCTAGCCAAGGGTGAGCAGTGGCAACGTGCCTTGGAGATCGTGCGTCACCTTCACAAGGACTTGGACTTGAAGCTTGATGTGATTTCAATAAATGCCGCCATCACGGCCTGCGGACGAGGCATTAAGTGGCCGCAGGCCCAGGCACTCCTGGGCGCATTACGCTCGAAAGCCCTCGAGGCTGACACGATTTCATACAATTCTGCAATGCATGCTCTAGGTGGTGGTCAGAAGTGGAGCTTTAGCTGCCAACTCTTCGATGAGCTGATGGAGAAGTGTTTGCTGGCAGACGTGATCACCAGAAGCTTGCTTTTGGAGGCGACCTCGAAAGCCCGGCAATGGTCTTCGGGGTTAGCTTCGCTGGACAAGCTGACTGCTCAGGGGGTTGTCTTAAACTCCGGGCTTTTCAGCCGGGGTCTTGATGCAGAACACCATTGGCTTCAGACGGTCTCACTGCTAGCTGGAATCAAATGGAGAGCTGTTGAGTTGGATACGACTGTCTGCAACGGAATCGCTAGTGGCTACGTGCATGCGGAGCAGTGGCGTCAGGCCTGCAACCTTGTGTCTAACATGCGATTGTCGAAGATGGAGCTTGATGTTGTCACCGTGAGCACGGTAATTTGCGTCCATGATGCAGAAGAAGATGCTATGTGGCAACAGGCTTTTCTTGTGCTACAAGAGTTGCCTGAGAGTATCGTTGAGGCCGACATCATCGCTTGCAACGCAACCTTGAACGTTTGTGAAAAGCTGAGCTGCTGGCAACAGGCACTTCTTCTGTTCCAGCAGCTGGGAGATTTGGCTTTGCAGGCGGATGATGTTACTGCCAACTCTATCATCACTGCTTGCGGTAAGGGGAGTGAGTGGCAGTTAGCGGTTCAGCTTTTCCAGCAATTTTATCCCGAACGCTCTAGAGCCAGTTTGAGTGCATACAATGCACTTCTCAGTGCCTGTACCAGGGCCAGCAAGTGGCGGCTCGGTCTGTCTTTCGTAGAGACTTTGCGAGCCTCTGGATTGGAACCAGATCAGGTAACACTTAATGCTGCTATCAGTGCATGTGACGAAGGTAGGCAGTGGAGGCTGGTGTTGGACTTGTTTGGCCAGTCTCGGAGGAGAGGGAGCGCAGATGCAATCACCTACAGTGCGGCGATGAGTGCCTTTGAGAAGAGTGGAGAATGGCAATTGGCGTTGCAGCTTTTTGGAGAGTTGCGGCACTTGTCACTGGAAGCCTCGGCGATAGTTTACAACATTGCGATCAGCTCTTGCGAACGAGGCTGCCAGTGGCAGCAGGGCTTGGAGGTCTTGAAGGAATTGAGAGGAATGATGGGGACACAGGTCGAAGCAGATGTTGTCACCTACAGTGCGGCCACCAGTGCTTGCGAGAAGTCGGGGCAATGGAGGCAGGCACTGGCCCTGCTGAAGGATGTCGAGGCTCAATGTGAGGTCGATATCGTGGTGTACAGTGCGGCAGTCAGCGCCTGTGAGAAGGGCCAGCGGTGGCAACAGGGCTTAGCAGTGCTTGCAATGGCCTCTCGCCGTCGTCTCCTCAACACGATCTTGTTCAATGCATCGGTGAGTGCCTGCGAGAAGGGCAGGCAGTGGCGTCCAACCATGGAGCTTGCCCAGCAGATGCAGCACAGGGGGATTGCCACAGATGTCATTACGTTTAACGCGACAATTTCCACATGCCAACAAATGACACAGTGGCATCGTGTTATCCAACTTTTTCATCGGCTGCTCGAGGGGCGAGTTGCCAGTGTCATTGCCTTCAGCAATGCGGTGGCAGCTTGTGACATGCGCAAGCAGCAGCCGCTGCAGGACATCTTCGCGAATTTGCAGGTGCTGGTCGCTGCGTCCCTTCATGAGAAGAAGTCGTGGTTCCCGGAACCTCATAATCTAGCCTAGACTCTTTTTGGTGTGGGTTGCAGCATTTCGGCTTTCGAGACAGGCTCTAGACGAAGACACTATCCATAGATATATATATATATATATGTAAATATATATATATATAAATACGCATTTGTATATGTGTGTACATATATATATATATATATATATGTGTGTGTGTGTATGTAGGGCGCTGCCCTTTCCAGTAAACAAGTGGGAATTCAGGACACAAAACCGTTCGCTTTTTCAGGAAAGAATGACGATGTTTTGGGTAAGTTGCTTGGGTTTTCGGGAATTAGCAACTACCTTTAGGGTCTAGGGTTTATGTTTAGGGTGTGTGCGTCAAAAAATCTTTCCCGCGCATTCCTGAAGCAACGCTGCTTATGCTGAGTATGGTTCCATGAAACATCCCATCATCCCAAATACGAAAATAGATCTAACAGTAACCAACTGCGGGTTTGACAACTTGTCTTCCAGAAACGAAGCTTCTACACTCACAATGGAGCAGGTCTCCTGCATACTGACATCTGCTTCCTTTCTCTTCATGACGTATCCTTATCCTCTTCAGATGAGAACTTGTTGAGCATCCAGTCCTCCGCCTCTGCGCGACATCTCAACCCCTGAAGACACTATGGGGATCCTTGCCTGCTACGTGCGAGTGTGAGCGTCGAAAGACGAAACCAACAAGAATCCGTGCCTGCCTTATGCGAGCGTGCGAGTCGAAACCAGGACTTCGGCTCCGTTTGCGTCGTAAGGCACAGTCACACAATCCATTGGAGTCTTTGACAGCACTGACAACTACAACTTAAGTTATATTTACAGCAGGTGCTAGACATAATAAACCGCATGAAACCACCCCGTAAGGTACGCATATCTGTGAATGAACCTTCAAGCAGACAGCCTTCTCACTCCCCTCCCATAAACCAGCTGATAGCGTAGTCTGCCTTGATCGGTTCTTGAGATCCACGGAGCACCTCCAGCTAGACATGGTACCCTTGGGTTCTGTCTCGCCCACGTTTCAATGCAACTCCTTGATTGGAACGTGTGTGAAGCCGCTGGGCTATTCAGTCGCACATTTTTTGGGATGTTGATCAAATAAGCAGCCGATTGCCTTAAGTGTCGACCTCTTGTCCTGCCCGCGGGCTATGTCCTTTCTCAGGACAAGACAATGGCAAAGGGCTCTTTGGATCGTAGAAGATATGGGCCATTCTCGTGTCGAGGCAGATGTGGTGTCGTATAACTCTGCTATGGGTGCTTGCATGAAGGCGGGCCAGCAACACCACGTACCTGAGTTGTTCCAGCAACTTTGTGCCGTCCAAGTTCCTCCTGACCTAGTGACATTCAACACCATGATGCGCGCATGCGGTGTGCATTGGCAGAAAGTCTGTGACCTGTTGCAAGATCTAGCAGTCAGTAGCTTGGAGCCCGACCTTGTTACCTACAGCTCGGCGATGAGCGTCTTCGAGAAGCATGGGCACTGGGAGAAAGTCCTGGGGCTGCAAGAGGAGCTTTCTGTGAACGAGGTGGAGACGGATAGGATTCTCTGGAATTCCATTGTCAGCGCCTGTGCCAAGGGAAGCCAGTGGGAGCGTGCGGCATGGGCTCTGGAGACCGTGCGGCCGGCGAGCTTGAGGGCGGACATCATCACCTACAATGCTGCCATCAACGGATTGGGAAAGGGAGGAGAGTGGGAGCTCGCCCATCAGAGGCTTGTGGAACTGAAGGCCAGGCAGTGCCAGGCCAACCTCGTGACTCACAATGCAGTCATCAACAGCAACACTGCGCGCCAGAAGTGGCAGGAGGCTTGGACAGCATTGCGCGGCGTCGCTGAGGCAGGGATGGAAGCAGACGTTATCTCTTTCAACTCAGCCCTCAGTGCTGGAGGAAGTGGAGGCAGTGGTCCATGGAAGGGGAGTTTATCTGGATTCGAGGACTTGCAGCGTCGCGGTTTGCGGGTCGATGCCGTGACCATGAGCAGCCTGGTGGGCTGCGGGCCTAGTCAGTGGCACCTTGCAGTCAGCTTCCTGTCTCTTTGTGGAAGCATGACTTTGCAAGGCAACATCGTTCTTTGTAATGCGGCTTTAGGCACCTGCTCCGACAGTGGGCTGTGGCAGCAGGGGCTGAGCATCTTGCGCTCCCTCCCGGGTGCCAAGATCCAGCCTGACCTCATCACCTGCAGCGCTGCGCTGAGCGCCTGCGAGGCTTCTGAGAGATGGCAGGAGGCGCTGCTTCTCTTAGAGGAGCTCCAGCACTTGCGGCCAGATGTGGTCGCCTACGGGGCTGCAATCAGTGCTTGTGAGAAGGGTGGCGAATGGCGGCAGGCGCTTTCCCTTGCCCAGGAGCTTGTTGAGGGAGCCTTGCAGGCTAACCACATCATCTACAATGCCTGCATAAGCGCCTGTGAAAAAGGCGGCGAATGGCAACGGGCGCTGGATTTGCTCGGGAAGTTTGAAGACACAAGATTGAAGAGTGACATAGTGTCGTACAATGCCGCCATCAGCGCGTGTGAGAACGGCGGTCAGTGGCAGCATGCGCTGCTTTTGCTCGATGCGGTCGGGATCAAACGCCTGAGGCGCGACATCATCACATACACTTCTGCAATCAGTGCGTGTGATAAGGGTGAGGAGTGGGAGATGGCTTTGGAAATTCTGGATGACCTGCAAACGAGCCGTCTCCAAGCCAACATTGTAACCTACAACTCGACGATCAGTGCGCTTGCCAAGGGCACGGAGTGGCAACAGGCATTGTCAACCTTCGAGATGCTGCAGCAGCGAGCAATGCAAGTAGACATTGTGACAATCAATCTGACAATGAGTGCTTGCGGAGCTGGAGAGCAGTGGCAGTTGGCCTTGCAGTTTCTCACGGAAGCGCAGAATACGGTGTCTGAACATCGCATTTTGGCGAACATCGTAACCTACAATGCCGCAATCAGTGCTTGTGAAAAGGTTGGGCACTGGCGCATGGCAATGTTCTTATTCTCAGCACTGCAGAAAACGAAACAGCAGCCAGATGTCATCAGCTACAATGCTACCATCAGCGCCTGTGAGAAGACCGACCATTGGCAGCAAGTGCTGTTGCTGTTTTCAGAGTTGCAGGCTAGGAGTCCGACGACAACTCTTACAGTGCATCCGTTGTTCTAGGCTTTGCACTCCCTCGGTTGATTCCCAAGACTTGATCTCACGATTGTAACTGACGCCATGCATGGCAATCATGATTCATATCATTTCAACTTGCAGGCCATGGGACAGGCGTCTGTCATATCCTTCGCGAACGTGCCTGGGCTTACCTTGGAGGTCGGGGAGGAGTGGCCGTTCTGATGATAATTACCATGGTCCGTACCTGCTTGTTCTCTTAAACTCTGCGGATTTTGGATTGCAAGAACTGGGGGTTCAGGCCCGCTGTTTGACCTGAGCCACGGGTGCTTCAGGCAGTCGCGCTCCCGCGCAGGCATGACGCCATAAGCCTGTTGGAACATGGACAGGATATGTTGGCAGTGTTTTTTGGGTTTGTGTGTGTTGCCCTGGCTAGGATGCGAGAGTTAAAGCTCTGACACTGCAAGAATGCTTGTGGTCCAACCCGGCATTTCAACACAGAGATGTGGTCGGAGAAGAACGGGCGAACAATGCGAATGAACTAGATTTCCTGGTTCAAAAACGTAACATCTGAATCTGTTTACAAACAAGGAGGGCATGTGCAGTAGGGGGCTTTGGTGTTGGAAGCGATCCTTCGGAGTATTAGTGAGTCTAGAGCATAGAAATGGCTGTGTCCTTCGTGGGCCAATTGGAAACAACAGCCCTACTTCATAAAGCCTCCTGTGGTAACGATACCTGCCCTCCAATACTATGGTCTCCTTTAGATTTGTTTTTTAATCCATATGAATATTTAACATACCTATGTTCATTATAGTTCTAAGCGGGGGGTATAGAATAATCAGACAGGGGCTGTGCCCAGGGTCGAAGTCAGTCGAGAGTCGAACGCCCCCCCCCCCCTCCCCGGCCCCAAACCCGAAGCCTCAAACACTGGCGCTTGAGCTGCAAGGGACAATACTACAGATGCCTTGCAACCAGTTAATTACCACTATTATTTTGGGTGGTTTCTGACTACCGACTACAATTATATAGTATAATGGGCCCCAAGACCTTATTCGAAGTATTATCAGACCTTATTCTAGTTATTGTAAAGGCCCCAAATATTATCCCCAAACCCTATAAGCTCCCGAAGGCGCTGGGCGCCTGTGGCCGCAGCGGCCATGCAGCGGAGTCTCCCGAGCTCCTCGGGGGTTTGGAGCGGAGCACGGCAGGGCTGATGCCGGAACCAGCTGGGCGGCGAGAAAAGGGAGAGACCCAGCCCTGGGTCAACCTCGGCTTTCAAATTTAAGATCCTTACTATTAGTTATAGTACTCTTCTATAATAATTGGTTTCATTAATGTTGTACTAAGGCAACCCTAAGTCAGACAAGCCGGCAAGTTAGAAGAGTGCTCCTAAACAAGATGACGGGATCCCCAGTCCCACTGCCGTCGCTCCGCGACTAAGCATTACGCATGTTTGTAACGCCTGAGGAGCTTAGGGAAACTGAGAAGGCCTCAAGCTAAGCACCGTGGAAGTCTTGGAATCTCTTCTTCCTTGGCAGCTTTGCAAGGGCCATTGCCGGAACTGCCTCAAGGAGCACAGCATTCGGATGTATGCACAAGAAGCAAGGCAGCAGCCAAGCTACTAGCACCATTTGGAGTAGCAGGTGATGCAAGCGACCGTGCATTTACATTTCCTGTTTCAGTATTTGGAAGTTCAATCAATTGCTACTTCTAGCTACGTCACCCGCAACAACCCCTTAGCCCCGTGGCTGAGTCGGCATCGAGTGGTTCATGGGCTCGCGGTGCAGTTGCTGGGGCGTCAAGCACGTGGCATCCCTGGATTGGTCCTGCATGGGAGGCATGGGGACCCATTTCCAGAGAACAGAGAACGGGATTTGTGCAGCAGATGACGCAGGAGCACCGAGCATCGTGATGCTTGGAGTTCGCGCGGATGTGCAAAACGCAAAGCACTGGCAGCAGAGCTAGAGTAGCTAACAACGGATGGCTGGCGGCGATCTTTACACTTCTAGATTCTCGAAGGCATGCGTGTCAAGGCGATGTGGTACGACTCAACACAGCTCTTCGCGACTGCAGGAGAGCCGGTAGGTGGCAGCATGTCCTGACGTTCTTGAAGAGCGCAACGTGCAGCCTCGGGACAGAGCCTGACATTGTGACCCATAACACGGCTTTGACTTCGTTGGGAAGCCGTAAACTGTGGCAAGCTTCTCTGGCCTTGCTTGCTGCACTTGGCAATGGCAGCGACATATTCAGCTTCAACAGCTTGCTGGGCACTCTGGACAACGTAGAGCAGTGGTGCTGGGTGTTGCAGATGTTCCGCGATGTCAGACAGCGTCGCATGGGGGATGCCGTTACTTATACTTCCTCGCTGAGGGCCGCCTCAAAGCGATCACGGTGGGCCGAAGGGCTGGATCTGCTTCAAGATGCCCAGGTGCAACAGCGGAAATCCAGTTCATGTCTGGCTGAGGGAATTTGCGGTTTCAGTTTCAGAGAGTTTCTGAAAAGCCCCCTGTGCTTGATACTCAGGCTGCAGACATCGAGCTCGACTTGACTGCCCTGAATTCCGTGGCGAACGTCTTCGAGCAGGGTTCTGCTTGGATGCAGTCCTCCTGCCTTTTGGCTAGACTTCCCCTGACCACCACACGGCCTGATGATCCATTGTACAATTCAGTTTTGAGGGCTTTGGGTGAATGCAACCGGTGGAGGGATGCCTTATCCAGCCGTGTGACCATGGATTCGCAGAGGATCAGCCCCACAACGATCACATGCAACTCCATTCTTCGGAGTTGTGCTGATGGCAAGTGGCCGATCATTCTGGTTCAGTTGCGAAGTTTCCGCGAAGCGGCTGTTGAAGCTGACACGGTTACATGCAACACAGCCCTCAGCATGGGCAGGTGGGAGTTTCCGAAAATTAGGGGTACCTTATTTAGGGGTGCCTATAATAAGGATTCTACTATTTAGGGTACCATATTAGGGTCCCCTATTTTCGGAAACTCCCAGGTATTCAGCCTGGGCGGCCATGTGCGAATTGCTCAGAGGAGCTCGAGTTGCAACTGTCAAGGCCGACACTTTCACATATGGTGCCGCGTGCAGAGCATTCGAGAACGCTGGGCGCTGGCAGTCGGCTCTACTCTTGACGCAGGAATTCACTGTGAAAGCGCGACTCAGGGCGAGTTTGACAGTCATGAACTCGGCCATCAGTGCCTGCAAAGCTGCGGCTGAGTGGGAGCAGGCCTTACGACTACTCTCAGATCTGCAAGCCCAGCAGCTGCTGCCAGATGCAGTCACCTACGCTTCGGCCATCGCTGCTTGTGAGAAGGGCAGCAGATGGGTTTTCGCCCTTTTGCTTTACGAAGACATGGCTTTGGGACGAGTCGATCCAGATCTGGTCGTATTTGGATCTTTGGTCAGCGCCTGTGGGCAAAGTAGAAACGGAGCCATGGTGAAAGCCTTTTTGGAAAGCTTGGAGAGGCGGAGTCTGGAGCCAAATCTGGTCGTTGCCAACGCAGCCATCACTGCCCTTGCCAGGTGTGGGGAGTGGGAGGAGGCTTCGTCAATGCTTGCAGAGCTCCTCCATGGGTCTCTTCGCCTGGATGCCATTACATACAACGCCGTCCTGTGCTTGGGTTCCTGAACTCACCATACCTTTGCGTACCGTTACATTTAACTTATCAAAGTACGGCAAAAGTCCCCCGCCCTCCCTCCTTCGTGCCACGAGAAGCCGAGGAACGGCCACGCTGGCCGAGGGAAGTGGTCTGAAGCTCTTGGTCTGCTGGCAGAGATGTGCTGTCGGGGCCTAGAACCGGACGTCGTCTCCCACTCCTCTGCTCTGAGTGCTTGCGAGGACCAGCGCAAAAGCGGATTTGTGCAGAAGGATGGGTCCTAGAGGTGCTGCAAGGGGAAGTTTCTGTAAGTGCCTTCGATCCGTGAGGAGGGGCTCCGCTGGACGCAGGCGCTGACAAACTTCCTGCACTTTCGGGGACGTGGGCTTGAATGTGGCATCATCCCTCACAATGCAGTGGCCTGGCCCGACAGTCCGGCAATGCTTATCTTGAGTCTTAAATTACACACTTGTCTTCGACAGTTTGAGGGAACACCAAGGCAATCGCCGCACTTGCCAGTGGCGCACGCTGGCTGCAAGGCATGGAAGCAATGGCCAAATTGAAGCAGCAGGGAAGTTCTGCAACAGAGGTAACTCTCAACTCCGTTGTCAGTGCCTGCCAGCGTGGTCGTCAGTGGCAGGTTGCACTGCTCCTTTGCCAAGGCTTGCACGCATCCAGTTTGCGCTTAGATCCAGCAACACACAATGCAGCTATTCTGGTATGTGCAGCTTGTGGACAATGGCTGAGTACCATAGACCTTTTGCAAGACTTGCACAGCGCCCGGCATGCGATTGACAGCGTGGCCCATGCGGCGGTAATCGACGCATGCGAGACGAACCTTCAGCACAAACATGCAGCAATGCTGCTGGATGCCATGGCCGAAGCCGCTGTCGCAGAAGTCTCACACACCCGTGCTCACAGACCGGGCCCAATTTCCGGCTTGCGGCGCTCGCAGGGCGAAAAAGCACGATGCCGATGTAAGCTGCGGATGGATTGACCTGTAGTAAGAGTGCTCAGGGTGAGACAGGCCAGCAACTGTCCAATAAAGCTGCCAAGCGGCACAGCAGGGCTCAGCACCACATACAACTGTGTCACGTACAGCAGTGCATTTAAGCCGCCATTTGTGGTTGCATGGTTGCACGAACATGTCCTAGATCGCACCTGTCTTTTCGGACGTTTTCTGCCCAGGACGCTGGGACATGATCTTGCTCGGCTTCCCGGGAGAGAACTTGGACAACCTCCTGGAGCATCGTCTCGAGCCAGACCACCAAGCGCAGCGCATGCTCGCAATGCCAGATCCTCGCGGCGCATGACAGATACTACAATTATGGAAGCCCCTGGTCGATTGATGGTCTCTCGAGGCAACTCGGGCGGTGTTCAACATCAAAGACGCTCCTCCCGATATACTTTACTGAACTGTCAACAGGAAAGGGGCATGGTGGGACCCTGGAGGGACCCAGCGCAGAGCAATGTCCCAATGGATCGCCTGCGGCGTGGCCGACGACAAAGGTTTGAAGAGACGCCACCTGCTGCTGAAGAATGCATCCTCCTCCTTGTGGCTCGTGCATTAGCCGGGCACGGGAGCGCTCGAGAAAGAGTCGAAGAGAAATTCTGTGCGGCCCGCACTAGATGCGAGGGGATTGGACAGGAGCAAGACTTGCTCAGCCTTTGAGGGATGTCTTTATTCTAGACTGGCCTGACAGACTACCGTCAGAGCGTTTCAGATTGCAAGGTTCCTTTCGACTGGACATAGTGTCAGGGCCTGAAAAATAGCTAGTATCAGTAATTCAGGCCTTTTGTTGCCTGCAGGTCGCGAGGATTTAGATTAGAGGATTGCTGGAAGCTGAGCAACTGTGGCACCGTGGGGCGGTGTCGCTCCGATGCCTAACGTGACATTGCTACGCCCTCAAGAAAGTCGCGCAACGTTCTGCAGAGCACGTAGATCTTGGCCATCTTGATTTCAGCCCTTGCAGTGAGTATCGCCCTGGCTAGGTTTGAGGCAAAAATCGGCAAAGGCAGGTTCTTCCAACACCCAGCACTTCAAAATTGTACAGCACAGGCAAGCCCCGACCCACCGTGACTGAGCAAAGCCTCAGTGTGGCTCCTAAAATATTAATGTTGTATATATTTTTAATATTTTCATAGTTTAATATCTTAAATATCTATCCGGATGCCATGGACGCTACCTCCAAGCCTTCCCAGGCCAGAGCTCTGGTCAGTTTGTTTGGACCGAAATCCGCATTGCCAGTACTGCACTACACTACTATGCTACATTACTACACAGCATGCTATACCATATTCTGCACGAGTATACTATACTATACCACCAATAATAAAATCGGATATTTAACAAGCTGGGTCCGGGTGCGGGCGGGGTCACCAGGCTGATGCGGCGGTAACGGACCACTGGAGCTCCGCTTTCCACGCCCACAATGCGCAGCAATGCAAGCAGCAGCTGCCAAGGGCTCAGAAGGACAGTGTGCATGACATCAAATCGTCAATACATATTTCAGATACAACATACAGGACATCAGATGTACGAATATGTAGAACATAACCGTGTATATAGTATGTTATTTAGTATACAGAGTAAAGTGTGACACAGTACAAAACAATATGGCATCATATCGGATACCATGCTACATCATACTCTACTATACTATACGGCACTGTCACGATATGTACTCTTATATTCACAATCTACTAAGGCTGGTATACGAATGCTAATGCTATACTATACTCACATGTTAGCGACTCTTAGCAATCAGCCCTCGACGCCTCAGTGACGGAAGCCCCTGTCTCGCCAGCGCCGGTCCCCCCAAAGTGCGGATTTTCAGGCGCCGAAGAGCAGTGCTGGCCTTGGCGTTGATTTCGGAGCCCTTGGAGAGGCTCCTCTGCTTTCTTGGTTTCTTCTGGCCATAACATGCCATAACTGTGGCTATCCATCAGGGCTCACATGGAGGGGCAAGATTACATGCGTGTCTTGAGGGTGCTACTCTTCATAATCGTTCCATAGCCTTAGCTATCCATCATGGGTGGCATTTAGGGCCAAATCGTGCATTCAGGGTTGAGGGTGCTATGTACTTAGGTCACTCGTATGCTCACGTTGCGACACTACTCATGAATAGACTCCTGCTTGCGATTGATTTGCATGTACCAGCCTGCCCTGGTTCATGACAGTGATAAAAGGGATTGAGTGCTTCTGAGACGCTGCATCTTGTGCAGGCAGTGGAATGTCAGGGCCCCAGACGTGTGGGGGCTGGGTCTTTTTGGGGAACTATTGGGGAAGCTGTCAGTTTTAGGGGGTTATTATACGGGTTACTCTGGGGTGGTTCGAGGTTCTACAGGTGCAACATCAGTCTTCACGATTCGATCTCTGCACAGCTTCTCACAAAAAATCATGCCTCGTCACGCCGTTTGGTGCTTGAAACACTGTTTGAGTTCGCGCCGGGTAAATGTCGGGATTGTTCACCGACATGCTCCGTGATTTGACTCACTCACACTCGTTGAGATCGCCACCGTCCTGGAGAGCGAGCTGAGCTCCTGCCTTCTCTCTTTCCCTCGTTTATTCATACACCTCGTTCATGCCACATATATACATACATACAGATATACATACATGACTAAATAAACAACAAGACACACACACACACACGTATGTATGTGCATGTATAAATATTGATATGTATATGTGTTACAACTCGCAGGCAGTCAGCAGTCTTCGGGTTCAGCTTTGTTCTTCACCCTGCAGCTCGCGCAGAGCAGGAGGCAAACAAAAGAAAGTAATGTGTACATATATAGACATGATGCACATACATATGCAGACGCTGACGCGCACGCACACACACACACACACACACACAAGCAGAGGATTCCCGTGTTTTGAGGAGATTTTCCTCGACCTGGTCTGGGCGGCTTGGCTCGATGTCGTGCGAAGTGCGAGGCGTGCATACCAGCTGCCCAAGGCCGGAAATGTAGGGAAAAAGGCTTACGCTGGTAGAGTTTAAACATGTTGGGTTTAGGGGCGGCGGCTTCGCTGAGTGCTGTTCTTCATGTTTCGAGCCTGTGGAATCATGTGGTCGTACTTTGCGAGTCGTCTTGTTTCAGGATGTCTGAACCGGTAACATGATGAATGGGCCCACAGTGGCAGTGACAGCATTACTGGGTGCTGTTAAGATCTCATCCATCGTTCGTTCTGCAAACAGATACAAAGGATGTCCAGACAACAGCATGCCTCGATTCTTCAGAGTGGCCCGCAGCGTCTCGTGACGGATGGTTCTTTGTGCTTCTTGACCTTGGTTGCGGGCAGGCACAACGGATGTACGAGAAAGCAGCTGGACAGCAATCTTAAAACTAGTTGCGAGGGTTGAACTATATGGGAAGACATATGGATGTAGGTAAGTTGGTTCGCAGGCAGGTAGATATACATGTATGATACAGTGTGCATGTGTAGGTACATACACACACATACATATGTGTGCCGGAATACGCATGTTTACACGTACAAACCACCTAGAAATGTGCGCATATAAGATATCATGCTCATTCGATATACCATATGCATGCATCGTTTACAACATCCATATGTGTATACATGTACACACACACACATATATATATATATATATATATCTCAGAAAATAAGACATAACGGGCCCCATATTTACAGCATTCCTGTTTTTCATGTTTTTGGTTTGCTTCAGATTTGAAGCAACATCACTCGTGCACACGATATCGTTATCCTCATATGCATATTCTTAAATAGGATACTTGCACGTATACCCATACATGTGCTTGTTTCAATTATCGACGTGACTATAGAGCAGGAGGTTTGACTCACTTCTTGGCTGGTTTAGGCCCGAAGGGCGAGAACACTGCTACTAAGGGGAAGGCGGGGGGGGGGGGGCGCGGCCAAAAAAAAAAAAAAAAAATTGGAGGGAGGGGGGGGGCAGCGCCAAAAAAAAAAAAAAAAAAAAAATCCTCTAATCCAAAATCATTTTTTTTTTTTTTGGCGCTGCCCCCCCCCCCCCCGCCAGATTTTTTTTTTTTTTGGTGGCTGCCCCCCCCCCCCCCCGGGGACAGCAAGGCAAGCGACAGCCAGCGCCATGGTGCGCCATACTGCGGGAGCGGACACCAACCAAGAGCCACATGATTTAAACCTGGTGTCCTTAGCCCATCCAAGCCTCACTACAAATGAGTAGATACTCTATGCCGAATATTAAGATCAATAAGATTACAAACTAACCAGATAAACATCTATAGAATCTATAAAAGACCTCAGACACTTACTGTGTATAGAAAAGTCGATATCTGAGATTACATCTCACAAAGATGATAAACTATTTATGACTGATGACATCATATGACGAGGAGACCTTACATTAACATACATTCGACGGATGCGAACTCACGACACAACCACTGCCTGAGCAATGCCAGGTGGACAACCAGTTGAAGGGTCTGTAGTAGTCAAGCGATAACAACAATGTTTGACGTCGCATATGATGCGGTAGCGTATGCGAGGACATATGGTCGGTATATATGTCGGATGTCAGATACATGTATGAGCAATCTCCTCGATAACATATACAACAAACACTGTCTTCGCCTTTCATTGACAGGTTGCGATGTAAGGGATCCGAATCCGACTATCTTATGGGTGCATGAAAACGGGAGTTTGAATATTCCACTCGTGCGATGTTCGAGCAACATGGTGGGCTCTGTCGGGGAGTTTACAACTGGAAATCCTTATTGGTTTATGTTCCTGTGATCAGGATCGGCTACTCGCAGGAATCTGAATATCACTATACTAAAACTGGCTAAATATGGAAACAATATATCTCATGAGCACGTCATGGTGAAGTATCAATCTTCACGTGAACCATGCGCATCATAGAATGATATGGCGTAACACACTCGTAAACATGTAGCATGAGGTGCTAGGGAGATGCCATACGAGCTTGGCAAGCTCACGGGATGCACAAGGACATCTAAGTCAAATCTCATAGAGAAGATATGTGTCATGAGATGCTGCCTGCATCTTGCGACCTATTCATACCTAGCTGTGACTGTTGTAACTTCATGGGAGATTGGGTTTATGTGTGAGAATAAGTTTCCGGGCTTTTAGAAAGGTCTACCGAGAGGTTTAACCAATATGTGGTGCAATCCCGCTTGCCCGCGCGGCCGGAAGGCGTAAAGGGGGAAGCCCGAACGACGCGGGCATCTTATAAGGACACCTACTGCGATGATCTATACGGATGGCTCAATATCATAACGATATGTTGAAGAGATTTCCTGGTGCTCTATGTTGATATGGTCATATTCAACACATAACATGCCTTTTACATTGAAGGAATGCGGCGAAAATCCTGTTCAACTGCCGATTGGGTGTCTCATTATGACGGCTCCATTACTCTTGCCAAAACTGGCATGCAGCTGCCAATGTAATCTGCCATGTTTACTTCCACCACAAGAGATACTTGACTTCTTGATCATGTCACATATTAGAAAGTTGGTTTTAGGCATAGTATAGTTATTATACTTTTGCTTGGGTAACAGGATATAGTTTACGGAGATATCCATAAGACACACGATGAAGTGCGTCATGGGCTTTAACAAGACCATATTAGAATGGTTGCGGCATACAGGTGCATTGCCTGCAGCATAGATACAACAAGCGGTATTGTTTACAGCTGATGACAATCGTATGTGCGTGTCGGTGTATGTTTGTGTGTGCATGTGCAAATAACGTGTTTTCACGGCAGTCGACCTATGACTAGATGGTATGAGCAACAAGACAGCGAAAATGATTAATATTGCAGGTAGATCTCCATATGTCTGCATATACAATAATGATAGCAAAGCACCATCTCCTTGGAAAGTATATTAACTAAATTATATCCTTATCCTTTGGGGGCTCGTGGGCTTCAGCCGCAATGATCACTAATCTGGATAAGCTAGCATTGTAGCTGTCAGGATGTATACAGCAACATCCATGCGATGATTGTCTTCGAAGATCGTAGGTTTTCAGTTTTCTGGGTTGGCTTCTGTGAGAAGCTGTTGCAATTGAAATACACAATTCCGCATACACAGCTCCAAATACTGGACAAATTATTGGACTGGGAGCTCCGAAACAAGGACAACCAATGCAACAATAATCGCAAACAGTAAATACACATTTGAAGGAGGTTGCACTAAACAAGCTAGCATTCATACGAAGAACGGTATCGAAACTGAGTGTAGCAAAGACATCCATGTACATATATGTATATATGTACATATGCAAATGGATCCGGTAACACGATCCAGTTGATCGCCTGCATGTATGCAGCTTGAGACGATGGGAACTGTTTGAGCAACCTGCCTGTATGATGCCAAACTCAACTTGTCATGCTACAGTATATGCTGGACGTCTATATCCAAAATCATATGTTACCATGCACATGATGGGGCCTGCGAAAACCGGTGGGATATGTAAGCGATTCTTTACGTTGATATGCAAAAGTTATATAGATTGACCGGTCTTGTACATCATTCAAGGGTGGAGAAATGCACGGTTTCGCAGACGCATTGTATCTCATTTATCTGCAAGATTATACTATGAGACACAAAGAACAACCACAAGATTGAAGTGGCATTGATTTATTGGATAGTCTTCATGAGACTCCACAATGAAAGGTAGTCACAAGTGCATCCCATGCTGATTGGAAAAGTACCTCCCATATCAGGCATCAAGAGCAACAGGGTTAAGTAAGCTTGAAAACCACTAGTATGCAAATTATGACGATTGTAAGTTTTTGTAATGAAAACTCTTAGAAAACAGCATTTTGACTGGAAAATATGGGGCCCGTAATGTCTTACACTCTCATATATATATATATATATGTGCATAAAAATGTGCGTACATGCATATGTATATGTATATGCCTATGTATATCAATATATGTATGTGTATATATATATATGTACATACATATATACCATGCAGAGATCTGTCTATCTCTGTGTCGACCTGTCTGTCTGTTTGTCTGTCCGTCTACCTATCTATCGATCTATCTATCTTGCCGTTGTTGTTTCTGCTAGATTCTCAGCCCAAGTGATTCCCAGAGTTTGTTCATGTGCCAGCGAGACGAGACATGCTTTCTCAGGTGCTGCACGAAGCACACGGAGCCATGGTCGCCACCTCACATGACGGCCTCCCGCAACAAACGTCAGAACATGTCGCCCTGCCTCTGCTGAGGGAGTGAGCTGCTTCTCTGTTTGGAGGAGCCTTGGCCTCAGAATCGCAGTGGCTGAGATCTGCAAAGATGGGGGTATGAGATCACCAGCTCCAAGGTGGCTACGCGATCCCGTCGAACTTCTCAGATGCATCCCTGACCCTGCTGCTGCAAAGGGCAGCTCGGCAAGCAGAGCCGAACCTAGGACAGAGGAAATCTGTAGTGCGGACAGCATCGCAGGCGCTGCCTTTTGTCCAGGAGAGCGCCAGGGCCCGAGGTTTGCACTGCGACGTTGGCGCTGCTCCACTGCCATGTGCAAGTGTTCAGGAACAACTTCCTTTTATCCGTGCTTGTACACGTGGTGTTTGATAAAGACGGGCCACGGCTCAAGATTTTTCTCAGGCTAAAAAGGGTCACGCCTTTTCTCGAAGTAACCCCTCCTCAAGAGCCATGTTCTCCCGGGCGCTGCGCAGCTCCCTAAGCTCCTCGAACCGGCTGAGCTACCGCAGCTTTGCCTCGAAGCCAAAGTGCCTTTGTCAGAGTTGGGTTAACATTTTACATCCTTGTGGGTACTTGAACTCTAAACCCTCTATTCAAAGACCCCTTTTTGCATCCAGGCTTTTTGAAGTCTTGCCCCTAAACTCCTAAACCCTAAGCATTAGCGAATAAGGAATAAACATGTACATTTGTTGATCCTATTCCAACCATGCACTAGGTGTGTCATGCTCAATGCTGCGCGCTTGGACTTCGATGGCCGCATGGATTGGAAGAAGGTCACCGATGTCACGGAGTTCACCAGTTACGACATCTCTGCCACCGAGGAGATCGTGCCACGTGCACAGAACATGGACATTGTGATGAACAAGGAGTTCCCCATCCCAGGTGACATCATCAGAGCTTTGCCTCCTTCTGTGAAGCTGATTGCAGAGGCCGGAACGGGCTACAACAACATCGACCTGGACGCCTGCCGCGAGAAGGGCATCGCCATTTGTAACGTGCCCGAGTACACCACGGAGGCCATGGGAGACTATGCTATCACATTGGTCATGGCTTTGTCCTGCAGCTTGGCGCCACAGATGAAAGCCTTGGCAAAAGGCGACCGGCGCTACATGCAGCAGTGCCACCTGGGCCACTTGGACCACTTCGAGATCCGGGGCAAGACCTACGGAATCATTGGCGGTTTAGGCTACATCGCTTCCAACATCTCCAAAAAGGCGCTCCAACTCGGTATGAAGGTCATCGTCTCAGACATGCCATCCACACCTCTGGGCATGCGTGACACCGGCGTGGAGGTGGTGACCTTCGATGATTTGTTGCGGCAGTCGGATTTCATCAGCCCCATGGTGCCGCTCAACAAGCACACCAAGGGACTTCTGAATGCGGACTGCTTCGACAAGATGAAGCCGACCGCCTACGTCATCAACACGGCGCGTGGCCCCATCGTTGACCAAGCGGCGATTATCGATGCCCTGCGCAAGAAGAAGATCGCGGGTGCCGCCCTTGATGTCTTCGGTGAAGGCTCGGCTCCCCCGCCACCGCTCCCAGAAGACAGCCCTCTCTATGATGTTTTCGATGAGTTTGAGAATGTGATCCTCACGCCGCACATTGGATGGCAGCGTGTGGAGGCTCGTCAGCGAGTTGTCGATGGCTGCGGTGACAACATTGCCAAGTTCGTCCGTGGAGAGGCCATGAACATTGATATGACCACCGGTCTCCCGATTAGGTGAATATGACGATGAGGTGATTTGGGACTTTGTTGATGACGGGCTATCACACGAAAGATTGATACAGCCTGTCTGGGTTTCAAAGAGTTTTCCCACGACGCAGCAGCGCAAGGGAGTGGTTCCGACGGCATTTTAGCCCGGACAAGCAAAAAGCAGCCTTGCCATGTCATCGAGAATGGGTTGAAGCAGGCTTTTGGAAATGAGAAACCCTTCCAAGATAATGATTCCTTACAGCCGTACAGCCGATAAAAACTGCCCATGCATCCGACTGAGCACCGAGAGACCTCATTTGGCTGTGTCGAGTTGCGGCAGCTGAACCCCCTGAAGCCTATACGGCGGCCTTCGATCTATGTATCTATCTCAACAGTTATATATATATATATATATATATATACACATGTGTGTTTGATATTTAGTGTAGGTGTGCAGATATACTTACATATTATCTATGCGCACATACCAATATATTGCACGTATATGTATATACATGTACACATAAGTACGTATAGCTCTTTCTCTCTCACTCTTTCGCTGGCTCTCTCTCTCTCTCTACATATATATATATATATATACATACATACATACGTACATACATTGTGCATATAAGGACGTCGATCTCTTGCTCGACGTCTTGCCGCGTGACCAGAGCGGGCACGTCTCTTTGGAGGGCCTCGTGCCGCCGGCTGAGCAAAAGCTGAGTCTTACAGTAAAGGGCTCGCTTGGCCCTAGCAGAAATAAGGGAAGGACTCTTGAAAGATCGGTCATCTTCCATAGATTCGTGTGAGGTCTTGGATCTTCCCTTCAACTTCTGAGAGGGGAGATGCGACGGTCCAGCAGGAGTGGCAAGAAGAATGGAAGGCCCAGCATGGTTGCGAAAAGCCTGGAGAATTCCATCCTATTGCAGAAAACACAAGTAACTATCGCTGCATCATGCATTGGCAGGTGTTCCAGCGGCAGAAACATGAGCATGTTGCCCGTTGCCGGGCATTGCTGGTGAGCCTCACCTGCACTTGTGGACATGCTTGCCGAAGACTAGCCGTACTGACCCGCAGTACCTGTAGCGCATTGTGCACCAAATGTCGACAGCTTCGCCGCTGCACATCTGTTTTCTACACAGGCTTTATATACATATGCATAATAGCCACAGCATGCGCTGAGGCTGTCGCTGATTTCGGAGCCCTTCCAACACTGCTGGCGGGAGGTCTTCCTGGACCTTGCCTGGTGGGCCACTTGCTACAATGGCACAGTGTTTGCTTAAACGCCCCAGGGTCATCGCACGGTGAGAACCACAATGTGTTGTGCCAGACGTCATTCCTCTAGTCAGTAGCGGGCTCTTGGATCAGCAAATCAACTACCGCGTCAGCGTCTCGCTGGACACATGTTTATCCTGCGCAATTGCCTGCAAACTGTCCATGCTTTTTCACTCTACGGAGGCATGGAGCTCCATCGTGCTGGATTCGAAACGACGCAAGTCGTTGCCAGCCCGTTGGTTGCATTGTGGTGACCACCGCCAAGCCGAGTTTATCAGCAGAGCTCACCGCCCGCCAATTTGGCTGTTCCCTCAAGGTGTTTTTCGTCCTCAGGAAGCCTGAAGAGCTCAAGATCAGACACGACAGCCTCGCCTCCCCAAGACCTGACCTAGTCGTATCAGTTGAAATTCAATACTTACAGACAAGTCGTAACAGTACTTAAACAGAAAATTAGAATAGTCATAAGAGTAATTACGCACAATCAGCCAACTACTACACACCGCAATGACAGCATAAATGCTAGCAGCATGGTCCCAGAAATGCATGCCAGCACCAGCACTGAGTTTAACCAAGGTTCGGCAGGCCGCGTTTGAGGAGGAAGTCGCTGGCTGAGTAGGGTAAGGATTCACAAATCTTGCCACATACCGCAAACAAACATCAGTCTCAGAATCCGAGTATGTCAGACTGCTAGCAGTTGTACGGATGACAGTGATGTCCATACTACAGCACGTGCCATTGTAACAATGCTGGCAGTATAATCATAATCCATATACGGACAGCATTTACGAGCAACAGTACATGTAAACAGAATACTGTACTGTAGTCAGGCATATTGGAAGATCTGCTGCGTGAAAATCATCATGTGCCTGTCGGGGGGGGGGGGGTAGGGTGAAACTAAGGGTGGCGTTCGTAGGTGCCCTCATATTGAAGAGCCTTAGGTTGAATTTATATTGGGACGACTTATGTTCCGAAGCTCCCATAGTGGTATCAGGAGCTGTCCACAGCGCGAGTCTGATATCTGTTGGGCTGAGGGTTAGGAAAATAAGGTTTGAGTGTCTCGGATATTTACCCATCCGTGCATTCCCTTTCAGCTCCAGAGTGTCAAGAGATCCGATGAAAGAACACCGGAGAAATCCTGAGGCTATGCGACTGTCTGCTGACTCCGCTGGCTGCTGGAATCGAGCAGCCCGGCTGACTCTCCTTGCCCCACCCCGCCCCTGCTTTAGGAAAGATCCTACATTACCTGTAGTTTTAGGTTCCAGATGGTTCCATGTGATTTATGAGAGTTGCTGAGGTTTACCTTGCTGCCGAGTTGCCCTTGCTTCAGGCATGCGATTGTATTCTATTAGATTACGGTAGAATATAATGCTATAACATATCATACTGCATTATAAATAGGAATAATGTGCTGTAGTTATGCTATATTAGCCGGCCTGGCAAGCCTTTATGGCTGAGGTATCCCTGGATGACATTGCCGGCGCAGCGCTCCGGAACCTGAACTTGAGGTGGTGGGCAGCCTGCTGTTGCATTGGCAGGAAAGACACACACAAGCACACAGTGCATATGTGTGTGTATATATATATATATACATAGTGTTTTCGCCCTGGCTACTCCAAAGCCCAGGTATATAACACGTGGGGGCAATGTCAGGCGTCTTGGAAGTTGTGGGAGCCTCGAAATTCAGTCACCGTCTCTGGAGCTTGGCCCAAGCAGCCCGCCTTGCATGATTTTAATCTTAGGGTTGCCGAATTTTGATGGCGAGGGACCAGCCGGCACAGGAAAATGCACAGAAGCAAGGCGCAGATGCATTGGACATCCCACCAGGGTTTGACAGAGACCGTCTGGTGGAAGTTTTGAAGATGAAAGAGCAGGCCAATGAGAAGTACCGGGGGGGTGACTACTTCAGTGCAAAGTGTCTCTACTCCGGGAGCCTGGAGATGTTAGAGCGATGCTGCTTACACCTTACAAAGTCTGATGAGGTTTGGGAAGGCATCAAGAACAACATGGCCCTTTGTGATCTGAAACGGCGTGAGTGGGCCCGCGCTGTAGACACCACTACGGAGATCCTTCAGAGGAACTCCAAGAACACCAAGGCCCTCTACCGGCGTGGGGTGGCCCGCATCGGCCAAGGAAAGCTCCGCGAGGCCCGCGAAGACTTGGAGGCGGTTGTAGAGCTGGAGCCCGAGAACGCGGATGCCCGGCAGAAGCTCGCCGAGATCTTGCGGCAGCTCAAGGCCAACCGCACCGCCGAGAAGGACCAGGCTGACAAGATGCGTGGCTTTTTGAGAGGAGAGCGCCTGGACGACACGGTGCCAATCACCGAGGATGGCGGTGTTCGAAAGCTGCACTCCAACGAGAACGCTCCCCTCTTCGCCTCGTGGATCAAGCGGTCGTGGCTCCAAGAGAGGAGTGGCGTCGCCGGTGTCGTCACCGCCCATGTGGTCATGAAAACCCAAGCCGGTAAGGAGCTCCTGAACACCCGCAAGCCTCCGGGAAGCCTCTCTGCCGAGCCCGGCCCGCAGATGGCAGCACAGCCAAAGGCTGCAGAGCGACCCGCCGAGCCGGCGCGCTGGGTCATGGACGATTCCTCGAAGTCTGTGTTTCAGGCCTGGAACAGTGCCGGCAAGACTTTGCAACTTTTCGAGCTTGGGAAGTTCGAAGTGGCGCGGTCTGCCCTGGGTCCATCCGTGGAAGCTGCAATTCGAAGCTGTCTTGACAAGTGGCTGCCCGACACACCGGAGCAGCGTGAGCTCTACAAGAATATGGAGGAGATCAAGCCGACCGCCCTTCGCCGCCAGGCGATTCAGATCCTCGGCTTGCCTGAGGAGTTCTGCATGGAGGAGGAGAAGGAGCCCAACAGCACTCTGATGATGGAGATGGAGCTCTTGGAGTCTTCAGAGTTCACAGACCTCGATGGGGATGGCCGACGCCTCCTCAATGTCATGAAGGAAGGCAAGCAGAGCCAAAATGCTCCGGTGGTTTCTGAGCTTTGCACCGTGCAGGCGCACTTCCGAGTAGCCAAGCTCTTGATGAACTACGCTCTGAAAGACACCCGCTTAGGCCTTGCCAATGGTCCTGACGGCTTGGTCTTACGTGCAGATCGCATGAAGGAGCCCATGGAGTTCATTGTCGGAGAAGAGGCAGCAGCTGCGGAGGGCGAGTTCGTGCCTCCTTGCGTCGGCGAGTGCCTGAAGCTCCCACCTCAAGGTGTCACCGAAGGGATGCACTTCGAGGTGATCCTCAGAGAGGGTGTCCCCATCAGGGACATGGAGAAGGACATCCACAGCGCCTACAGCGACGGGAAGTACACGGGCTTGCCCGACACCAGCGGCCCGGTCTCCATCCGCATCGAGGTGGAGAAGGTGGCTTTGGCCTGCCAGGGCCCCACAGATCGTGCTTGGAAGGGCCTGGAGAGCATCCAGGCCGAGCGAAGCCGTGCAGAAGGCCTCCAGTCGATGGAGAACGGCCGCCACAAGCTCCTGGCCCTTAAGAGGTGGAGGCGCATCCTTGTATGGTTCGAGGAAATCTTCGCAAGCCGACGCTGGAAGACTCAAGAGGGCAAAGCCGGAGATAGTATGTATGACCTGCAGTGGGATGACGAGCCTGGGACAAAAATCTGGGACCTTTTTGTTTTTTTGTTTCTTAGGATCCAGGTTTCCATATCCATAACATGTCGGAAGGAACCCTACACCCGAAATCGCAAACCCAGTTGTGCACACGAACATGAGACCTCGTCAGGCATGTCCGAGTTGCGAGAGCGTAAATCCCAAACCCTAAAAACGCAACTGGTTTCCTCCCTTCTGACAGTGGCCCAGGAGCCGGAGAAGCAGTTTGCATTTGATCCCAAGAAGAGGCTCCAAGAGAAGATGCCCACAATGCTGGACTTTGAGGACAGCCTCCTGAAGCAGCTCCTGGAAGAAATTACGCTGAGCTGCCTGAGGGGCTGATGACCCAAGTATAACTTTGTGCTTATTATTTCGGCGGTCAGCTATCCATCAACGTATGAATACGGCCAACGCAGAGAGCATATAAATGTACTCATATGGATGAAGGTGCAAGATAGATAGTCAAGTGGAGTGCAGGTGTGCTTGCGCCCGATATTATGTTTGTGCATGATGGCCATGCATGTGCACCAAGTGTCCTCATGGTAGCCCGATCAAAAGCGTCAGGCAGCCATCTTCTCGGTAGCACTAAGCATTATAAATCCGTGCCTGCTGGTCGAAACATTGTAAAGTCATAGGGCTTGCCAACGAGGAGCCCCGGCATACCAATCGAAGTTCGCAATCCCCTTGTCTCGACTCGTCCGATGGAGAAGAGGGTTTGTCCATGAAGGTATGTTTGCATGACTGCTCTACTAGTGGTCTTCATACAAGGGCTTGACACTAACCCACTTCATCACTCAGGCTCCAAGATGACGAGCTCTGTGAGTTTGCGCGGGCGCATGCCGCCGCGGCTGCACTCCTTGACGGCGAGCTTTCTCGACAGCACGCTCAGTGTGCCGTCCAGGCCGTTCAACGATCACCGAAAAGTGCAACATGTTCGGGGTGTTCGGCAAACCTATTAAAGCCTTGATGGTTTAGGTTGGTCAAATGGAGGGTCATTGCCAGCACGTCTTGGTGCAGTCGTAGTCCCAGCAGTTGTGGTGGTGTTAGGACTATCTGGGAGTTTCCGAAAATAGGGGACCCTAACACAGTACCCAAATAGTAGGATCCTTATTATAAAGACACCAAATAAGGTACCCCCCAATTTTCGGAAACTCCCTTCTGAGTAGCCGAAGCAGGAACATGAGAGTTTGCGGAAATAGGGAATCCTAATATAGTACCCGAAATACTAGGATCCGCAATATAAGGAGCCCAGAATAAGGCACCCCAATTTTCGGAAACTCCCACATGCTAGAGCCTCGGCCCCCTGGAGGCCTGTGGAATCTCCACGATTCCGGCGGAGGTCGAGGCAGGGGCTTAGGACTTAGGACGAGGGGTGACTTGTCCCTTTCGGATCCGAGCGAGTATCCGCTGAGCTGCACGGACGTACTTTAGAATCCATCGAGAGTTTGTTTGTTCGGTTGTGTATGTGTCTGCGTGTTCCAGGCCCCCTTGCCACCGAGGGCTGGTGACCGACCAGGGGTTGGGTCGGCATCAACAAAAAGCAAACAATTATATAGGGTCAACAAGAGATCAACTAGGGATCAACAAAATATCAAGCTCTGAATGCTGTGAACTTCAATTTGTGCAGACCTTACAAACTGGTGTTGTTTCAAAGAGAGGATACACATCATTGCATCATGCATGCACATTGCGACCCCAACCACCTGACACTTCCTCCCCTTCAATGCCCCACAGTGCTGGGACGCCGGTTGGGCAGCAACATTTGATCCCTGCTTGGCTTTTTATTATGTATCCCCGGTTGAAAAATGGTGTCGACCCGATTATTGGTAATCCGAGACATGATATTACGATGTTTGGTTGTTGTGATTGGAGGATCAAATTCAACCCTGCGTTTGATATTTTTCAGCAGAGAGAAGCAGTAAGTAGAAGAGACAGATGTGCATGTTTTTTAGTCGCAGGCACAAGGAACTCCACAAGTTGAGATCTTTTTATCGGAATGCAGCCATGAACTGACTATGCTCTCTACCTCGGCATCCATCCTTTTCTTCTGGGATATCAAACAACCATTGAAACTGCTATTGGGCCCATCATTCACTACGTTACGCAGCTTCTGGTTCGGCCCTTTTTGCATCCTGCAAACCCGTCTTGGCGCCCCTGCAACCTGCCGTACCTGCAGTCCTATGCTCCCGTGGCCTGCGATCCCCCTGCCGTCCCAACGTTCCTGCAACCCCCCAAGCCTCTGATGCTCTTAGCAATGCTGCTAGGTGCTTGCTCCTAGCTTTAAGTCTCGTGCTCGTACCAGTAACAGCCATCATGGCCAGTGCTCCAAGCACAGTATTCTATTATCTTGGTGGTCGTACTGTTAACCGTGCTGGCCACAGATACCACCAGTCCCCCCTCCTCGTTCGAAATAACGGTGATTGTACTGGCTTTTCAAAACTCGCAAAATCCTCGTTGTCCCTCCACGAACATCCTTTTGCATCGTGCTAGTATGGCTTATTTGTTCAGGTTTACTGTAGAAACATATGCTGGCGCAGTCTTGCCCATCAGGTGTCGGTAATATACCAGCAGGTCCAGCCGTAGTGACAGCAGTAAGGTACTTGTAGGACCATTCCTGATTCCTTCTGATTATGACCCTGCAATATCATGCATATGGTGTTTGTTGTCATTACATTTACTTCAAAGGGGGCCAATGCTGGTGTATGCTGTTGGTGAATACACAAACCAACCACAGCCCATCACTTCTAAATTTATACTCCGCACGATATAGGCCTACATCAGCGGATTTCCATGTAAAGCTAGTTACTGTTATAGCTATGAAGTTCCATTTATGGTTGTTTATATAACTGTAGAAGAGGATGTAGTTTTCTTTCTTTGTATAGTGTAGCTCTGTCAGTCGATGTATCTACGTATCTGGCTTTGTGGAATACCGAGAGAGCTGCACATGCTTAATCATATGTATACAAACTTATGTTTTTGTAGCATGTATTTCTCGCAGCTAAAAAGTCATGCAATCCGTTGGTGCATACACATGCCATTGAATATATCCACATGTACATACAAACATACTGCCAGTACTGTGAAGCCACATGTTGCATCTGCCATAAATCTACACCTGCCTATCTATCTTGGACATATGTGAGAATGCGTTTAAGAACCGTCAGATACATGCACGCATCGTTCAATAAATTGATATTTATTGTTAAAGCCAGAGTTACATACATAGTGCTATGAATGTGTACAATACATACATACATATAGATAGGAACAGCTGGACAAAATCAAGACTTGTTTTAGTATGGAAGCAGCTCGGCGAACACTCCGTACGCACGGCGCTTTTGTTCAAACTGGACATGGCAGTGAATAGCAAGTTGAGTGTGCATGGCAACTCGCTCGTGAGTCGCACCAGAGGCAGACCACATGCAGAGTCCCTCTGTGCGGGAGCACTGCCGAGCGGGAAACCGGAACCACAACAGCGTTGCAGGCCAAAGCCCTCCCCAAAAACAAATCAAAACGACAATCTTCGTGTGTGAGAAGATCCTTGCGTGTATTTTTTGCGTTTTGTTAGTGGTTTGTGGATGTTAGTTTTATTGTGTTCCTTGGGTGTTGCTTTGTGGCTTCATATACATAGAGCAACAAAATGCCTGTGAACATTTTCGTCGAGACTGCGATGCTCGAGAATCGCTTGGCTGAGATTTGCCGAAACGCCGGGGTCGATAGACCCTCGACCCAATTTTGTCGATCCCTATGTTCTGATGTGTTTCTGATCCCTCAGGCATCTGACTTTCAAAAGCGACCGGCGTTTGATTTTTGTTGATCGCTGTTTACTTTTTCTGTTGACCCCTCAGCCTCGGGGGGTCGTGCCTCCCATCTGGACAGTGCTTCATGGTGAGCGAAGGACGAAATTCGGGGCCCCTTGTCACAAGCCTCGCAACGGACGCATCTACCGCAGGCCATGATACTCATCGCATGTAAGTCTTACTATATGTCTTACTGCACTTGTGTTCATTCGGTGTCCTTATCGATTGACCCCTGGAGCGCAAGATCATTATCGGGAGCGGCTGAAGACTGCGTAATATAGGGGCCTTAACATACCTGTACGATGTTGGTGGTTTCTTTAAAGGGTCTATAAGGGCTACCTATAAGGAATCTATAAGGGTACTATGATATAGGGGCCTGAATAGCCAGGTGAAGAGCAGATCTACCCTAGCCTGGCGGCTCTTAGAGACTGGGGAGTCGGGCGAGGCTTTATCGGTGCTGAAGGAGGCCACTGCCCTTGATCCTCAGAATACGGATTTGAAGGACCAAGTCGCCCTCATAACTCAAAAGGACAATGAGACCAAGTCGGTGAGCACGTTAGAGGCGCTGAAGGCGCTGAAGCAAGATCTCATTGACAGCTTTGAGGCGAATGATCTCAAGGGCCTGAAGCTGTTGTTACAGGAGCTGGATTCGCTGCCGCTGACCTGGGAGGTGGCTTCCGAAACCAAAATTGGCAAAGAAGTCGGGATGTGCGCAAAGCACTCTGATGCGGCCGTCGCGGAGCCTGCGAAGACCATCATTGCCCGGCTGCATAAGCTGGCTAAGGCAGAGCGACCTTTGTGGGTGCGCTGAGGGGTATGTGCTCTGCTTGAAGCATGTGCCACTCTGTTAACTACCTCTTTGCCAGGCCCCGGCCAAAAGTGCCACCGGTCGCGCGTGCAGTGTTTGATAATGTGCAGTAGGCAGTCGGACTGCCGACCTGCTCCTTCTCGAAACAAAAGATGATGCACTCCATCCTGTCATGCCGCTCCTTGCTTTCCGAGTTAGCAGTTGTCGACACATCTCTAGTGACTCTATTGCAGATGCCACTTCTCTGAGTAAGATCTCCGGACCGTGATCAGGATGCGAGAGTGTTGCAAGCTTCCGCCGCGGATGTTGCGTTCGAAGTCAAGTCAGCAGCGATGGGAGGGGTTCGCGTACCAGCGACCTCGCGTGGAAGATGAGTTCCCAGCTCAGTAGTTCACGCCACGACCCCGACATGCCCTTCAATCGTCTTTGTCCGTAGAATATTTGCAGCGCCTGGGTGCCAAGGCAACAAGCAAATGGAGCAGCCTCTGTTGAGGAAGAGGGCTTCCTTGGATGTGGTTGGAGCACTTTTGCAGAGCTTCGGTGGCAAAGTGCATGACGATGGTGATGATGATCATTAGCATAAGCCTGCTAGTGTTCCTGCGTAGAACAGATGGTATCGAGCACTCCCGGCCGCGTCATTACTGTATGCTTCGGTCGACTCCTCGCTTTGTGGCCGGATCACAACCTTCCAATCCGTCCTTCGATGCCGAATTTGCTAGTATTGCTGCACCTGCTCTTAGTCCTCGCCCTATTTTTACGACTACCACTCGACTACAACGACGACGAAGACGGCACTTGCTAACGACCACTGCGACAACTACGACTGGACGACGACCACTCTCACTGCTACTACTGCTCTGTCACCGCTACTGCGACGGCTGGTAGCTACTGCTACTACTCCTTTACTGCTATTGCTACTGCTACTACCACTGCTGCTACTACTACTACTACTACTACCACTGCTACTACTACTACTACTACTACTACTACTACTACTACTACTACTAACCACTACCACTACCACTACCACTACCGCCACAACAACAACAACTACTACTACTACTACTACTACTACTGCTACTACTATCTACTACTACTACTACTACTACTACTACTACTACTACTACTACTACTACTACTACTACTACTGCGACTATTCATCAACCTTCCAGATTAACGAAGCCCTATGTTTTGTGTGTTTCCTGTTGGTTGACCTGTGTGTTGCATGTTTCTCCTACGATTGGGCTCCGTTGTGACTTGTTACCAATTAAGTCCCCGCAGAGCTGTCAGAGGCATCCCATGTGGGTGACCGAAAAGCTCCTACTGCTACTGGTACTACTACTGCTGCGATTCGACGACGACTACACTACTACTGCTACTACTACTTCGAGCCACTGGGACATACGCCTTGGACATTTACCAGGGCCGCCTTCGCTGTCATCGGCCTGGCAAGCTCCATCCTTTGGAACCAGCAACTGGGATTAACTGGGATACTTGTCTTTACCTTTGGATAGTAGGGAATGGCAGCATGGTAGTAATAGTAGTTATAATTGTACCCCATTCCTCCATTCCCTGTTAACCAAAGGTAAGTGACTGGGGTAATGGTGCGGAAATCGGGGCATGGTCTGATAAATAGAGCTCTGTGCCCGTCTGAGAACTCTTTGAGGAATGGCTTGGCCTCCAGGTTGCAAAGCGGGCTCGTCCTAGCTAGGTGGGAGATGGTGGGAGGCAAAAAAGTTGCACGTGGCTCGAACATTGCGCAGTAGTTAGCCACCAGTTGTCCAGCTCTTCGCAGAGACTTGCTCTCTGGGGCTGGCAATCCTTGCTATCATGGGGCGACATGGGCTGCCAAGAGCCGTAACCTCCATAGCTTTAGACAGAGATGCCGGGCCTTTGTTCGAGGTCGGCGTCGCTGAGATGAATGGCTGGAGGCCCACAATGGAGGATGCACACGTGTCAGTGATGCAGGACTCCTGGGGCTTTTTCGGCGTTTTCGATGGGCACGGTGGCTCGGAGTGCTCGTCCTTCGTAGCGAAGCGACTACAGGAGGAGCTCAGAGAGCAACCGCTACTCGCCGATGATGCAGCGGTGAAGTCGCTGATGTTGGGAATAGACCAAGAGTTTTTGGACACAAAGCGACCAAGTGGCTCAACCGGCACCTTTGCACTGGTTGTGCCATCTGCCGAAGACATCACACTTCGGGTGGGCAACATCGGAGACAGTCGAGTCTTGCTGGGACGGGCAGATGGTTCCATGGTGGAAGGTCCAGGCACCGACGGTGCACTTACCACGGATCACAAACCCGACAACAAGTTGGAAGAGGAAAGGATTTTGCGGACAGGCGGAACAGTCATGACCAGAAAGGGCATCGCCCGTGTCAACGGAGACCTTTCAGTCAGCCGAGCGTTTGGTGATGCTCTGCACAAGCAGACGGGTGGTCCCAAGCAGGAGGACCATCCCATATCGGCTGAGCCAGAGTTCACGACTGTGGAATGTACGCCGTCTAACTTTCTGCTGCTGGTGTGTGATGGCATATCCGAGGGCAACTTTCCAAACAGAGATGTGGTGCGATTAGCAGCCGATGAGCTGTCCTCCAAAGATCCAGCGCTGGCAGCTGCGGCCGTGTGCCGTAAAGCACTCGAGCGCGGGTCGAGGGACAACCTCTCCTGCATGATTGTTCTTTTCCGGCCAGGAGAACAGGCAGCGCGAAAGGAGCTGTGCCCTGGACCGTTTAGTATGCCGACACATGCTGCTTTCAGGCAGGCTTATACTGCGATGGCAGTGCGAGCCGGCATTACCCTGGAGGCGGCACTAGAGCAGAGATACACCATGGCCTCGCAGCAGTTGATACAGATAACCCAGAGTGCCAACCGGAACCACTCGGAGCAGGACGTGGAGAACGTGAAGGACAAGGCCAACAGCAACGGGGAAAATGATTCTTCGGCATCGATGCTCTGGACCGCACAGAAAGTCCTCGAGCAGGGCACCTCGAGTTCGAGTCCTTTACTGGCAGACCTATATGCTGAGCTGATGCAGTTTGCCCCTGGCCCTCCAAGCATGCTTGCTGCAGGGAGCGCGGAGCGAATCGAATGGTTCAAAGAGCGGCTTGAGTTTGTGAATTCGGTGCATGATCCCGAGCTGTTCGCGGTGGCTGATGGAGATGAAGGGCTTGACGAAGGCCTTTCGCGAGTTGTTCGTGTGATGGCTGCAGACGTCCTGCGTCCTGCGGTCGAAGCACACGCGGCCCTCGACTGGGACGACAGCCTGCTGTTTGTTTGCGAGCAGTGGGGCAAGGTTCTTCGGGATGACCCGTCGGAGAAAACCGCAGCGGTGAGGATCCGATCAACGGCTTGCCAAGCGTGGGCGTGGCTGGTGTGGCTGCCATGGGAATGCTTGGAGGACGACTGGATGTATTACCGATCTCGAATAGTGCGAGTTGCTCGTGCTTTACCGCTTCAGAGCCTGGGGACCGATACTGTGCCTTCGTCTTCCGGAAGAGGATCGGCGGCCCTGCCCCTCCGAGAGTACAGCACCAAGTCAGCCGCCATCGAAGTGGGGCTGAGAGCAGCTGCTTGTGGTCTTGCTGCAGCCGCAGACGAGTTTGGGTGCAGTGTGGTTCCAGGAGAGGATGATGTCGACTGGGGCGGCGACGAAGTTCCGGAAGGGAAGGTGAAGGCGGCAGAGGCTTCAAGCCTGCTTGGCACGGCTTCACTGGCCTGGCAAGTTGCAGCTGAGGAGCCACGGTACTGTTCTCAGACGGCAGAAATTGAAGTCGGTGGTTCTTGTCCGTACACAACGGACTTCGACAATCATGATGACGGCAACAAGGATTCATATCCAGGGCTTGATGATCCCGATCAAAGCTTGAAGGAAATTGCTGCATGTGACCCCTCTCCGCGATCAGCGCCAAAGAGAAAGCCAGATGACGCGTGTCATGACGGGTCTCACAAGTATCCGAAGTGTTGAGGAGACAAGGTGGGTCTTGCTTGTGAAAGATTGCCCGCGGACATGTCCGACAGGGAGGCGTGATTGAGAAGCCAAAAGTGCAATGCTGCGGCTTTGTTTCGTACGCTGGGATTTTGGCCTGTTCTGTGCTGGTGAGGTTCGTGAGAGACTCTGGTGCAGAATGCTTGCACATGACGACTTCCAAACGTCCTCAGTACGTCACTAGTGCGCGAGAAATGCCACGTTTCCATCGCCGTTTGCCCGATGCAAGGCTGATGCTGTGCGTTGCCGTGCTGACGGAGCTTCCCGGATGCAGTTTCAAAGTTTCAGTCCGAGCCATAAAGCAAACTTCTCGGAGCCCTAGGAGAACGATGCAGGGTACGCGATGTTGAATCGACAAAGGCAGGACAGGCATTGATGAGTTCATGTCGCGTTGGCAGCTGTGCGGTGCCTGGGAAAGTGGGGGGGAAGGCGCGTGTTTCAGTTGCCGATCGTTGACCCGAAGAATCCTGGAACGGAGCTCCCAACGGTCTGAGAATGAGGGGATGGTAAAAACTGTGAGGCTCAGGATCGCGAGGGGTAAACCATCAGTCAACGTAGAGGCTACGAGCTACCAGACTGGAAGACCCAAACCGCTTTCGGTTTGCGTGGTCGGACGGGAGAGTTAGGCTCGGAAAATCGCAACCCTAGAGGCTTCGAGCAACGAACTCAAGATTCAGACACCTGCAAGGCCCGTTCATGCATGCCACTCTCAGGCAGCCCCCTATCCCCCTTCAAGGGGGGAAGTCGCACCAGGTCACCATGTAATAACAGTGCACGCGGTCCCATCTCGCGTTGTTCATGAAAGGCTCTTCGGCAAGCCAGCGCTTGCGAAAGCAGCGACCTCGCAAAACTGCTGCTGTGCGGTGGCAATGCTCTTCCTGACCTTTGGACCAAGGCGAAGCTAGGGGTGAGTTCATGGATCCAGATTGTTGTGTTGCTGTTGTCGTTGGTGTGCCTGTGAAACCGGCGAGCCCGGAATGCTTCCTTACGAGCACCACTGAGCTCTGAAGACGGCGTTTGCAGGCTACTGCGCTGGAATCTCAGCGCTTGCCAGCGCCTGATTTTGTGCGCCTGCAGCTACCTGGTGATGCCACTTGGTGGCCAGGAGGTATGATTTCTCGTGTTGGAGCTCGGCCCACTGCTCTGCACAGCAAGTTTCATTTGTGTCGTAGCCCCCAAGATTCGAGGTTTCACTGGCATCAGACAATTTTGCAATGCTAAAATTGTAGTATTATATTTGTGCAGATAATACTCAAGCAATATTAATATTGTAGGATGGTAGCGACTATAGAGCTCCTCCTCCCTGGGGTGCGGAACCCTAGCACATGGATCTCTCGGCAGCAGAGGGCCACGGGGGAAGCCGTGAGCCTGAGCCCCTAGAGATTCATTTGCCTACAAACTACAAACCCAAAAGGATCCTAAGTACCTCTATAGTCGAGGACTGTAGGGTTATATACTACTATGATGGTTTGGGGAAGTATCCCACTAAGACCTTTGGAAAACTTTGCCCGGCACCAACGAGATAATGTCCCGGTAGGAGAGTCCAACTGTCTCCGTGGCCCTAGCTTAGCCGGACCTAAACTGTGACTACCTTGTTGGGTTGGCTCTGGTAGGTCATTTCTCAAAACTCTTATGAACAACCCTGTATATATGGTCACGCGCTCCGCGGCCCCCCCCTCCCCGCCCAAAGGTCAATGGTCCGGACTTAGGGTGGGACCCCCCCCCCTGTGGTGTGGGGTGTGGAGTGTGGGGTCCCTTCGAGTCGACAAGGGCTTAGGGAGGATTTGCGGTGTATGTTCTGCTTTAGGCTTGGAGCCTGCAGTTAGGTGGGGTTTAGGGTTGGGTGTAGGGTTTGAGGTACGTACAACTTAAGGTTACTCAAAACAAGGGCACGCGCTGCGTTATAGGGTTTACGGCTTGCTTGCGAAGGGCTTGCGTGTGAGCCTTGGCCGCCAGCACCATCCCACCATCCATTGCAGCTCCAACGGCCCCGACCCCTTTCCGCGCACGCCAGCCCCCCCCACCCTAGCAAACCAGACCTGGGGGGGGGGGGCTGGGAACGCCAGACGCCTGACCATATATGCATGTATGTATAGCTGTGTGTATGTGTAACATACGTTTTATATTAACTCACCTTACCTCGTCTTATTTCATGTATTCTCAGCTTAGCCTACCTAACTTTTGTTTTGTCTTCACGTTTTTGGCATTTTTTACACGTACTCTAACCCCTAAACCCTCTCCGAACCATATGCCTCGCCTGGGTCGTCCGAGTGTGAGCGCCGAAATCCCTAAACTCCTAAAACCTTAAACCCCTAAGCTCGAAAACCCTTAAACTCCTAAAACCCTAAACCCCTAAGCCCCCAGGCCCTAAACTACTATTTGCTTAAGAAACACCCAAAAAATAGAAATAATAATCCCTATATTACCCCCATAAGGAATATATTTTTATTTTTTCTGGGGGTTCTTAAGCAAATAGTAGTAAACTCCTGAGCTCTAGAAAGGCTCGGGCTGGGCCTGGTCCTCGCACAAATGTTGCGGGCGGGCGAGCCGGCTGAGCAGCTCTTCCTGAGCTTTTGGCTGCACCTTCTCTAGGGTTTGGAGGGTTCATGGTTTTAGGGTTCAGGGGTTCAGAGGGTTTGAGGGTTCAGGGGTTCAGAGGGTTCATTGTTTGAGGGTTCAGGGGTTTAGAGTTGAGGGGTTTCTTTCTCTCCTAGCGTTTAGGGGTGTGACGCTCCCGGTTTTCAGGTTCAGGGCTTAGGGGTTCATCGCTTGAGGGCCACTGTAGTTAGGCTAAAAACCCTCAACCCTTAGAGCAGGTTCATCCTAGCCAGGCGGCTCTTATAAAGCCCTAAAGCCCCAAACCCTAAGCCCTAAATCCCTAAGACACCCTAAAACCCTAAACCGGAAATCAGTAAAACCCTAAATTCCCCTAAACCCCCAGATGACAAAACGACAGCCAAGGATCCTCGTGGCGATCAACGGTCTTTGCACAGGTTCGCCTGGAGTTGTTTTAGGGTTCAGTAATCATAGTTATAATAGTGATGATAATAGTAATAATAATAATAACAATAATAAGAGTAATAGTACACAAGAAAAAATCAAAAACAGTACTAATAGTGTTTCGGCGACATGCACTTGTTGAAAAAGACTTAAATGCTGCCAGGTGCTGACACAAACTCCATGTTTTACACATGGCATGCAAGCAATGAGCATAGGCAGCTGACAGAGCCAGATGGCTAGAATCGCCTGAACTCTCCACTGTCTCGCGTCTGAGCCCTGCGATGATGATGTTGAGGAGGAGGAGGGCGAGGAGGGGGAGCAGGAAAGACTCAACTAGCAGGGCTTGGCCCCGAAGCCCAACTGGGCAAACTTCTCACACCGGAGCAGCCCGACTTTTCAGAACTTAGCAATGAAAGTATCAATTTTCGCCAAATTTATAATAGATGTTAGAAATATCAATTTAGTAAAGCTGAATATTGCAGTACTGGGTTCTTGTTAAGGAACCCAGAGTACTCTTTGCGATAAAGCGGTTCGACCCGGGCAGGACTGGTCCAAAATGTGGCCGCCTCGCTGTCGACCAGTGTCCCAGGCGCCTGGAGCTGTGTTTGGAGATACGAAAGGCAAAACATATAGGGTACAGTAAACCCAATAAAGTTGGAAACCGGATTAAGGCCAAATAGTGCTGGGATTCCCTTATATATTACTCTTACGGATTGAGGCTATGGGGTTTCCAACTTTTGGGCGTCTACCGTAATGTAGTGGACTAATAAACAGACAAAATAATAAATAACAGGTAGTAGCAGCCATAACAATGCATCATAACAGTGAACATAATGATGATGACAATAGTAAGGCTAATAATAATCGTAATAACCTTCAACAAACAGTAGTAATGGTAATAATCAAAACAGCAAGTTTTTTCAAGGATCACATGATATAATGAAGGTCATCCGGGCGTGAACGAAAGTTACAGCTTCGTCGGGGACAGAACCGTAAGCCCCTGCAATCCCGGAACCACAGTCAGGGCCTCGCAAATGCTGACTTCCGGGACCGAGGATTCTGAGAGTCCCATAGATCATTCCTGTGGATGGATTGTTTTCCCGAGGCTGATTCCGGGGCTCGGGTCTTGCTTGGCTTTCGGTTTTTGATTTGTAAGTTAGGTACAAAGTGGGTCACTTTTCATCTTCAAGCTTGGCATCGTGTTCTTCAAAGGAATTTTGATAGAGTCGCTTACTGGAGCTTGTGCGTTACGTCGCGGAGCCGGCTTTGTAAGCAAGGTCTACCCGATTCTACTGCTGCAAGACGTTCTCAGAGCCTGGACCACATTCGCCACAACCGCTTGCAGAGCCCAAATTCAATGGGCCCCCTAAACCCTAAACCCTAAAACCCTAAAACCCTAAATCGTCAATCCAACACCTAGACCGCAAGATGCCGAGCCAAGAGCGCTCACATGCTGAAAGCTCTAAATCCCGGAAACCCATCAGGGCTTACGAACCCTAATATAGGGGCCTGAATAATTAGACTAGGGATTTGGGGCTCATTCTACTACATTCATAATAAGGACCTCCCCGCCTTTTTTGACCTTTCAAAGCAGGCGCGTCTTCGGCCTTGCTCTTCGGAGAGTCACTCAGCCCGCTTTTGGCTCCTCGGCGTTGTCGGCTTGTCGTTGCGATGGCTGTCATGTTGTAGATGCGTGTATGTGTGTGTGTGTATGTAGGTATGTATGGATGTATATGCATATGTACATATATACATATACCTGTACACTTGAACGCACACCCGCCCTTCCCACACACACACACACAGAGACACATACACAAACACCAAATATGAATATATATATATATATACATACATACATACACATATAATCATACACATGCATACCATTTGATTTTTCACCTATGTGTTTATCTATACCTATACTTCGAAGTACCTGTATCTATCTATCTGTTTTATCTATCGATATGTGTACGTATGTATGTTTGTCTGTATGTACGTATGTATGTCTGTCTGTCAATGTATGTATGTATGTATGTATGTATGTAAGAACTTATAGACATATGCGGTTACACAGCCAGGTAGGTAGGTGGGTCGGTAGGTAGGCAAGCAAGTAGATAGAGAAACACATATACGCACACATATATATATATATATATATATATATGTATATATGTACATTATGTACATGTATATGTACATGTAGACCGGTACGTGCATGAGCTCAGCTCTCTTTGCTGTAATGTAGCCTGATCGTGGTTAGTGAGTCGGTGAGGCCGTGAGCATCGCCATCATGGCCGAGACTTTCATGGCCAAGGGTGGGGTCGCTGATGGTGGCCTCCACGAGGACATCCGGAACACATGGGAGTTTCCGCGAACAAGGGGTACCTTATTTGGGGGTCCTTATCATAAGGATCCGACTATTTAGGGTACTATATTAGGGTCCCCGATTTTCGGAAACTCCCACATGGAAGCTCGGGGACCGGGGAGGCTGCATTTGCCACCTGTGACCACCGGAGGCCGCTTTCTACACCATCGTGACAGCAGAGATCTTCGCAGCGGCCTCGGCATATTCTGGCAAGGAAAATTCTAGGAGACACATTGGGAGGACACCGTTGTCCTTCACTGGTCAGTAGGATGCGGCTTGGTTTGAACTTCCTTCTGCACCTCCTGGTTCGCAAGGTCTGCATTGCCATAGTCGGCGTTGTTTTTGCGTGGCGCTCCGATGCTCTGGCAAACCCGGAGCATGGCACCATTGCTGATGCTCTCGAGATAGGCCTTGGCGGGCCATGTCCAGTCGCAGCAGCCTTCAAGTAGCCACTAGTCGTCCATGAAAATCGACGGTGGGTGAGCGATGCCAATGCGAGGTTTTGTTGTTGATCACTGAACAGAATGACTTTGCGAGTTACCGGCACAGAGTAAGGAGTGCTACTTATTGCGACTGTCTCGACTAGTTTCTGACAAAGGGCACGTGCTGATCGTGAAGTCCTGGTGGTGGTGGTGGTGGTGGTGGTGGTGGTGGTGGTGGTGGTGGTGGGTTTTCTGAAAATAGGGGACCCAAGTATAATACCCCATTTAGCAGGACCCTTATTAGCCTGATTATAAGGACCGGGGGGTGGTGCTCTGGTCACGAGATGAATATGCTAGTGACCTTGCTCGGTGACATGTCGAAGCTGATGATGCCAATGAAGACGGTGCCTGAAGATCAAGATGTTTGCTAGTATTGCTGCCGATGATGTCGATACTGGTCCTTCTCCCTGGCATTTCCCTCAGTTGACCATACCGCCAATCGGTAACTCATGCTACGATCTTTTACTTACACAGCTGCTGAGACAGATGTGTGCAGCCATTGATAATCTTGATGATTATGTCGTTGGCACCAGTTCCAAATTTATTTGTGTTCTGGCAGTTCATTACTTTGTTTGTTGTTGCAGCTGGTCTCACCCGGCCCTTTGTCAGATGTAATTATGGGAATCGTTTCAAATGGGGTCCGCATCCAAACTGACAGATTGAGCTTGGCAGGCGGATATCGGGAGGAGTACTTCTGGGAGAGAATGCACGTACTCCTGTGTAACTCGTGCGTGGCACTCCTGGCCTGCTGCGCTTGGGTCTTTCTGCTGCCGCTTGGCAATACTTTCAGGAATGTTCCAGTTGCTGTTGTTCTGGGCCTGGGCTTTGGTAAAAGTGGAACTCCAAGAAATCACCAACACTATCAAAAGCTGTAGTGCGTGATGTTTCGTGGCTTTTGCCTCAAGGTGCGCTTCGCCCTTTATCGCTGAGGGGCTCTGTCAAGAAGCCGGCTGCGCAGAAATTCTGCCACAGCGGATGATTTCCACCGCCAACATTGCTGCAACACTGGGTCGGTTCTTGGCTTTGAAGGCTGCTCCTGGCGAAGCTGATAAGCATCATGCACTTGTTGCCGTAGTGGCTGTAGCAACAGCAGTGCGCCTCCGTGCTTGCCAAAGCAGTAGCTTCAGCAGTAGTAGCAGTGAAGTGCGAGGACGAGTACTGTACATATGGTGCTGTACTTCACTAGACGAATCAAGACCAGCGAAATCAGCGTCTTTCGTGTTTCTCTCGATGCAGCTGGCATGGAAAGGTGTCCCATGCGCCCGGGGCACCGATGCTGGTTCTGGAGAGCTTGATCCCTGGCAGCAGCAGCACTGTGATTCCAGAATGCGAGCGGTGCAGTAGGGATCCTGTCGATATAGTGTGGAAGTTTGGAAGTTGTGGCATGCAAGAGAAGAGTCTTGCGCACCTGAATGTTGTCGCGAGAGTCGGGGAGGTGCAGTGGAGTATAACTGGGTGCATCACTCCAGCGCTTAAGTACCTACTAAGGAGCCTTCTTTCTCTGGGCCTGTTGATAACTCTTCCCTGCGTATGGCACTGGGTGCCAGAAACTAGGTGGCAACTTGGGAAACTTTTTAATTTCCCTTATGGTTCCTATGGAGGTACCTATTCATAAATACTTTTCAGAGCCCCAAAACTACAACCCAGGAAATGCCTTTCTATGAAGCCCTGGCGACTGGGCTACCGATCGCAGGAGGCCAGGACCCGAGCGCATAAGCACGTGCTGCAGTTATGTTAGGCTAGAGGTGCATACGATGTGCATAATATGGGGGGGGGGGGGGCGGATTTCCGAAAATAGGGGACTTTCATGTAATACCCTAAATTGTAGGTCATGAGGATCCAAAATAGTTAAGGGACCCCTAATTTTCGGAAGCTCCCATATGCAGGCATTACGTTGTGGAGCAACTCCCTCCTCATGCGGAACGACCACAGCTCACAAGCTGCTTGCGGCCACAGCATCTATGCACCATGCCCAGTCACGACCGAGATCACATGGCTATCACTGCAGGTGGGTTCCTTCACTGCACTTGGTGCTAGACTCTGCTAGACAGTGATTTGAAACGAAAACCGACCCGTGGCCTGCCACTACATGGCTCTGTCGATTCCGAAGATACTCTCAAGCAAGGATCCATTTCCGGAACGCTACTTGCCGCAACGCTGTGATAGCCGTGTAAAGAAAGCTCTTTGACTTGGACGGCCTCAGCGGAACTCCCATGAATGGTGAGGGCTGACAGCCATGAATCCTGCACGTCTCGAAGGAGACCGTTTGATGTGGGTTATCTTTGGCTTGGGCCAGGAATGTACAGGGTCGGGCTTGGAAGTGTGCATGACTGCACTTCCCCCACAGAAAATCGCGCGCGATGCAGATGAGTCGTGCTGCCAGGCCCACAGGTCTCAACAGGCTCAACACGCCAGTGTCATCTCGTAAGAGTGCCCAGAATGTGTAGCGGTATAGTGGAGCTGTCAGCAGCCGATCTGCACAGATGTGGGCCTTGAGGAAGGCCTCGAAGTGCCTTTTTCTCACGCCGGTTTTCGCTGCCGATGGTGGCTTCTTAGCAAAGCTTCGCAGGTGACGGATGCCTGGAGGATGCCGAGCGGCCTAGCTGGCATGCACATTAGCGAGGTGTCGCGGACCCCTACTGCTATCACAGCCGGAGGCCTTACCAGACGACAGGTATGATGCAGAACGTTGCTTTTGCCTTCACAAGGCATGCTTCCTTGCAGAACCGCCCACTCGGAGCTTGGAGGAGCGATTATCCCTAGGAGCGGTGATCCCTCCGTTTCCACCTGAAGGTTGGGCCCCACAGACAACGTTGCCTGTACAGGAAAAAAGCATAAAAAGCCAAGGCCATCCTGCTTCAGAAGCTGATGTGGGGGCTAATTTCACACAGCGGTCTTAGAATACGGAGCACGGATGATATCACGATTCAGTGGTTCAAGCACGAGTCCTTCCCACAAGAAACAGTCTACGGTCCTGAATAAAGCTGCCCACCTTCCCAAGTCCCACAGTACAAAAGCTTTCAACAGCAGAAAAGCTTATCCATCCTGGATGTGCTGAGCGCGATAGTCGAAGCATCCAAGGAGTGGCCTTATATATTAGCTCTATCTTAGAAAGTTTGAACTTTTTGGGGCCCCGCTGTTGAAGAAGAGAGTTATTGCAGCTAACAGTACCACGGCAACGACAACTGCAAGTACTGCTACTACTACTGCTACTATTCCGCCTACTCCGACTTCTACTGCTTTTTGCTACTGCTGATGCTACTACGACGACGACTACTACTACCACCACGACTACTGTACCACCCCACCATCAGCACCACCCACACAGACGACGACGACCACTACTACTACCGCTATACTACTACTACTACTACTACTACTACTACTACTACTACTACTACTACTACTACTACTACTACTACTACTACTACTACTACTACTACTACTACTAGTACTACTACTACTACTACTCCTACTGCGCTGAGACTTGGACCACACAACAACTGCGACTGCTACTCCTGCTACCAGTAGCATAACTATGGCCACCATTTGCTGGATACTGATAACATGGCTTCAGTGCTATGAACATTTCCCCGACAAGATCTAGAATGTTGCAAGTAATCAAATCCACAAAAAGCAACGGTAGGATTATGTCAGATTATTAACGGTAGTAGCAATATGCAGCAATAAGTGTGACAATACTAATCGATAATAGTAAAAGTAATCATGATGCTGTCATCGTGCAGGCCTTGACCACCGCTGTTGAGCTCCTTGGACGGCCCAAGCAGGGTTTGCCAATTGCTGGGAGCCGAAAACATTTTGAATTCTCCGGCTTTCCGGCGGGCTGCCAAAGGGCATGTGGGCTTCGGGGTTCAGAATTTCAACTTTAGCCAGGGCTTCAACTTTCGCGTCTTTCAAGGTTCCGGCTTCGAAACTTGAAATTTAGGGCTGAGATAGGAGTGTAAGATGCCCCATAATGCGAAGGAATAGACCTTCCAAATTAGGATAGTCCGGGCAGGGGAGAGAAGGCCGCGGGAGGCTCCAAAGTGAGTCGGACGTTTCGAGAGCACGGATGCGAAATTTGCGTTTCCATTAGGGACATGCCGTTCCATGCCATGAGTCAAGTCTATGAACATGGTGCAGTGTTCGCAGACGTCGAATCCAGCTGACTTCCAGACGGCTTCCGACTTGGCGACTTGGACGCGGCCTGTGATCAAGCTCGGGACACCGGCAAAGAGGTGTTTTCATCAATGCATGTGCCCAGACATAGTTCACGTATTTATATGCCTGGGTCGTTGTAGTTTCGTATATACATAATAAAAAATAAAGTATATACATATACGTAAGTAGAACATGCATAGATATATGTATGTATGTACGTATAGGTGGATATATAATTAGAAAAAACAAGTATATATATATGCATATATATATATATATATAATGGCGAGAGAGAGAGAGAGAGAGAGAGAGAGAGAGGGAGACTTGCATTTCACAAAAGTAGCTCATGGCGAGACGACTTGCATGGTGCATAGCATGCCCAGTCCGTTGTTTGACAAGTATATGAAGCAAGCAGTGCAACATCGTAAGGCACACCCTAAATATCCTAAACCACTGAGTGCACCGAGTCAGTCGATCCTGCCCATAGCCATGTCGGACTCCTCTTCTTCAGACTCGAGTTCCTCATCTGAAGACAAGAGGAAGAAAAAGAAGGAGAAGAAGAAAGACAAAAAGAAGAAGGATAAAAAGAAGGACAAGAAGAAAAAGAAGGACCTGCTGACCATGTAGCTTGAAGTCTGGCTTCCACGTCGCATCTGCAGCAGGAGAAGGACAAAAAGAAGAAGAAGGAAAAAAAGGACCCCTACTCCAAGACTGCCCAAGAGAAGGCCCGCTTAGAAGCACAACAGCGGCTCATGGGCATCGACACCAACAAGAAGGCCAAGAAGAAGAAAAAGAAGCTCCTTGGCACCATGTTCATCCCGAAACCTGCATCACAAGCCAGCACGGTCGAGTATGTTTCACCTCTTGAGCATCCTCTCCTGGATCCGGGACTCTCTGAGGAAATCCTCCTCCTCGGAGTCCAGCGGCTCTGAGTCGGAGAAGGTGCGGAAGATGCAGGACGCTTGAAGGTCTAGGGCCTAGGGTTTCGACTTCGGGGCTCTTCTGGGCACAGGGAAAGGAAAAGCACTAAGAAGTACAACAATCAAAAAAAGAAGCATTGCTATCGTTGCATCTTGTGGCTTGCGATGCTGAAGCCCAAAACTGCTATCATTGCCCTGTTGCACGTACCGCCACCGCAACAACATGCTACTCTAGCAAGGCGCGATTTAGATTTTTGTTCTCTCTTCCTGAACTTGTCATTGGCGTCGCTACGACTGTTTGCCCGACCACCCCCATGTGGGGGTTGATCAAACTATTGGCCACCATTGATCCCAAAAACTATTATAAGGAATATATTATATTACAGACCCCAAAGCGGCCCACAATTTTGACCAACCCCCATGTGGTTGAACCAGGACAAACTGGATGACCAGACGCTGAAGCGAGAAGAGGAGCTAGCTGAGGAGGCCGAAAAGGCTGCAGAGCCGGTCCCGGAGAAGTCCTGGGAGGAGTCTTTTATGGTATAATACATATATATATATATATATGCACATATCATTTTTATGTATGTATACATTACATACGGTTATGCACACACATACAACACAAAAATCTATAGACATTATATGATATGTAAGATTATATAGTATGCATACGTGTATATATATATATATATATGTATATATATGTATATACACATCTGTATGCTGTATGCATGTGTATATAGAATATTTCCTTCGTTCTTTGAAACGCACAAACCTCAGGTGTTGCTACCAGCGCAGAAAGCCTGACAAGCTCTCTTCAAGCGTGATTCCTCGTCAAATTACTCCTGCTAAACGGGCTATGGTTCTGACTCTGATTATCAAATGCTTAGAGCTGACCAGGCAACCTGAAACTTCAGTCCCCTGGTCGAAATACTGTAATACACAGACCCTGTTCCAATTCCGGAAAGGTCACGAAAGGCCGTGTCTAAATCCCGGTGCAGAAACCTCATGCTTATTATGACGGCCGAGCAAGCCGTCAAGGAGATGACCTGGTCGGAGCGGGCGGCTGATGCTGCGCAGAAAGCTGAGGCTCAGGCCGTTTGGAAAGGCGGGCATTCCCCGGATTCAAGAATCTGCGGTTTCGAGTTTGGGGTTTGAGTTTAGGGGTCAAAGACCCGGGAAATCCAAGAGTTTGCAGACGATGGGATCTGGTTTCCCAGGTGCTCGAACTCTTTTTTCAAAACAGTATAACTCACCACTGCCTTCATGAATATAGCCATGATCATATCGATGTGAAGATGGAGGTCAATGTCATGTTTGGAGGCTTTGCATTTCTCCTTTACATGCACACAAGTCCTACCCGAGTTTTCGCTCATGGCAGTTACTAGAGGTTCCCGCGGCACGATGCATCTGGCGGATCAAAATTTACATATTGGAGCTACTCGAACGGTCACACGGTGGAAAGATGTGGAAAGACTAACATATGAAGAGGGATGCATGTGCACTTACAGGCAAGGCAATGATCCCTTGACGCCAGACTGGAAATACTGGTCGTACATGACTCTGGAGCTTGTTTCGGCAAAGAAAGACCGCCTGCAGGCGTCAGCATACGTATGCGGGCACACACACACACAGAAGAATCTAGGCGCGATGCTAATCAGAATCGGGCTCAGGCCGTGCGTGTACATGTCTGCTATTCTATGCATGTTTACATGCACGTGTATAGTATGCATTCGCAAATATGCACACGTATGCATTCGTGTCTATTTTGCTTTTTCTCGGAGCAAGTTAGTCGCCGTCGCACCAGGTGCTTCCAGAGCAGATGCCCGCCGAGCCGCAGCCAGGGCCAGTGAGGAAGTGCTCCTCCATGCAGTCGATGATGGTTTCGTTCAGACATTGCCACAGCCGGGGTACTCAGAGAGCGGAAAAAGAGGGAAGGAAGGAAGCTGAGGAAGCATTTTCTAGATATGATGAAACCGTGTAGCGATCATAAGAGGGCTGGGCGAGTGGAACCTCATGTGGCTCTTCGCACATGGTGTTGAACTGTCAGCCCATGCTACACTGGCATGCGGCTTCCTTCTGCAAAAATCTGCTCCTGAGGCGGGCAAAGTTCAATGCAGCCACTGGGACAGTCTCCCGCGGATAATGTGACAGGCGCCCATGTGTCCAGAGCACGAGGTTCCCGGCAAGTACTTGAGCAGCCCCAAAACGCGGCCATTGAAGACTCTTGTGCAAACTGCCGTTCGACATGAATACCCATAGGCCCCAAAGTGTTTCCTTTTTGGGATTACTTTATGGGATTCTATATATGAGAACTACGTTGGGGCCTTTGGGTAAGTGCCAATAGCTTTATTTGATGCAGCCGCTGCCCTTCGTGGCGACTCTGAAGACTCCGGTCATCGTTTCTGGTAGAGGAGCCAGGTGCTAGGCAAAAGTCGAAGCTGCCGGCCCAATGACTCAACCCTGTGCAGTAGCTCAAGTCAACGGGAGATTGCATGTGTGCATCTGCAGGAAGGCTGTCCTCGCTGCCAGTCATTTGGTTCACAATCCACAACGCTAGGTTGCAGAGGTCACGTACCTTGTACAGCCTAAATTCGCTCGCTATGGCCGAGGCGGGCCCATCACACTCTTCCCGGGATCCATGTCATCAAACCGCTTCACCTATTAGGATCTGCGCTGGTCCATGCCCAGATGTAGACGTGAGCACCTGTCTGTCGGTGTGGAGTCTGGCTTTCTGTTTCTCTCTCCGTCCACTATTGATCTATTTCGCTTTTCCCCTGTTGATGTCAAAAGTTCATAAGGAGGCTGGATAGCAAGAAGGCCGTAGGTGATGTGTATGTCACATGCCGATACGGGTTATAAAACCACAGCAAGTAGCCGGGCGATATCAAGCACAAGAAGAAGCAGGAGCTGTGGTGGAGCAGCAGCCGGAGGGTTTAAGGTGCAAGAAGTCATCGTCGTCATCGTCCTGGTGGTACTGAGCAAGACAAGTCCCACTACACTAACAGAACTCGCAGCGGCAGAATGTCACTAATTGCGGAACCCCAAACAGGAGTACATAGGAGCAGTCGTACCCGCTGTCCTAGTGCTACTGGACAGACTTCTGCGATGCGTGCGTCCATCGATTCCACTTTAATTCGCAAGTTCCCATAGTAGTTCCTTTGGGGTTACCTGATAGAATTCTAAATATGAACCCCAGAAAGGAGCAGCTCTGAGGCCTATGGGTAGTTCGTTCGCAAGTTTCCGAGCTCCGTTTGCAGCTCCCTCTGACGCGTCAAAGATTCCCGATGCCAGGCCTTCAAAGCCCGCTTTGACGCAGCTTCTCGGACGCACCTTCTACACCTAAGCACCGAAAGCACTCGGATTGCCAGGAGGTTCAGGAGCCCAAACCGAGGTTTTCACGACTTTTGAAAACCCTAAAACCCTTGCCAGGCTTTAGAGGAGCTCAACTTCGGCCAACGCTGCCACAAGTTGGCTCAGCTCGGAAAGGACCGCTTCAAGGTTCATGCTAGGGTTGAGGGCCGTTTAGGGTTTAGGGACCTTAACAACGAGGCCTGCTGCAAAAAGGGACCTTAACATTTGGAACTGGGTTGTGGAACATACGGTTATGTTGTCATATCCGGGTGTATAAAGGCAAGTTATTTCTGTCTATTCTATCGCTTATGTTTCTATTGTCACCGGTTCAGGGGGGAGTGGTGGTGGTCAACGCACCACCACCACCTACATCGAACAGTTTCTTGCGGAGAGGACATTTGCATACTATAGGGGCCTTACTAAGTAGCTGTACTATTTTGGTGGTTCCTCATTATATATTTAAAGTATAATAATGCGTCCCGAAACCCCACTCTACTTATCAAGGCCCACATACTATGATGTATTATATTCAAAGTATAATAATGCGCCCCGAAACCCCACTCTACTTATTAAGGCCCACATACTATATATGATGTGCGAGAGGGAAAAATATATGATGTGGCAGCAGTTCCAAGTGTTGCCAGCACGTGCAAGGACATCAAAGCCGCGCAGCCTGCAAACATCCAGGACTGGCAGTGCTTCGTGGTTGTCATGGCTCACGCTTCTCCTACATGCGGGTGTTACTGTTGCGGGCTCTCCTAATTACTGGTCCCTCAACGTCACAAACCCCAACCTCAACGGGCGGCCTGGATTGAAGCGGGCATCTGGCAGTTCTTTTCACAGAGTTCTTCTGCAACAACTTCCGAAAAAGCTTCAACGTTTAATTAGGTTCTAAATGTCGAAGATTTTCAAGCATGTGGCAGAGTCATCTCCTCAGGAACATATTTTTTTTCACCATGCTGCGCTGTGCAGGCAATTCTCGACAGCCTCTTGCCTGAGCGTGCCGCCGATGAGACGGGTCCTTCCGAGGCACAACGAAGATGAAGATGAAGGATGTGTCAGTGCTTGGAGTCTACGGGTGAATGTGAAAGTACGAAGACGTACGGGCAGCCATCGATAGTATCATATGTTAAACACGGGGAGTGGCTGAGCCCCTGTCTCGTTGCTGAAATTTGGAAGGATTGTCCCTATGCCCGCTTCCGCAAAATGCAGTGTCAGACATGCCCTTACAGTGAAGAGTGTCGCACAAGCCGCTGGACCGGCTGGCGAATTCCTAGAGCGGGGACTGCTTTCGGAGAGTTCAATCGGCAATTGAACGCTGGAGATACTGTGGTGAAGGCGGAAAACAGCTTCAGACTGCGAGTGGTGACTACGTACAGTAGGAGTACAGCAATGAAGAGTCTTACAATCAAAGAGCGACGTCCGCAGAGGAAACAACGGCAACACACGCCAGCAAACAAGCCTATAAGTATCAAAAGGAAACTCATCACTCCATGTGCAGGACGGATTTGGCATAATATAGAAGCCTAAGTAATTATCAATATTATCCCTTAGGGTTCCTTATTATAACTATATTATAAAAGAGCCCAAAACCCTGTTCTAATTGTTTCGGCCCCTCCCTTGACCAGGCATTTGCAGAAAAGGCTCGGCTGATCGTCGCCAAAACGGCGGGCTGCGCAGGACATTTGACCCCGCATCCTAGACCTTTACGCATCTTCCCGCAGAGCTTCGTATCCGGTAGCATGCTTATAAGATTTTGGAGTGGATCGGATGTCGGTATGTATTTTGGTCTGTTCGAGCGCGTCCTGCCTCTCTCTCTCTCTCTCTCTCTCTCTCTCTCTCTCTCTATATATATATATAACAATGTTACGGTACGCGTAATTACATATCTACACATATATGTATATGTATGCATATGTGAATGGAGTGTGTGTGTGTGGGGACATTATCGATCTATATACGTACATATGCACAGAGTAGAGATGAAAGACGAAGCAGGCTACGCCAAGAAGCTCCTCGACTCGCCCTCCAAGACCGTCAGCTTCTCAGCGGCCACTGAAGGACAGACCAGGGGACCCTGCATACTGCATTCATAGCTGCGGGCGTAGTAGCACTGTTTGACATGATTTCTTTGTTCCATCTTATCTGGTGTAAGCAGTGACTTGTATATACACTTGTTTGTTTGTCCGTTTCCGACTGATGACATATGTAAGCGTGCATGTATGTGTATGCGAATGCACTTATGACATATCTATGCGTATGTACGAATGTCGAACGCATACATGCATGCGTGTGCGCATGTGCATGCATGTCTCAGTGTGTTTGTCTCTCTCTCTCTCTCTCTCTCTCTGTCGGTGTGTGTTTGCGCCTTTGTCTTTGAAAATCTTGATATTTCTCTCTGGATGTTTACAAAAATATGCAGAATGTAAATGCTTGTTCACCACCACCTTGCGGGGACCCTTCCTATGCCGGCTTTCATCCTGACGAAGCTGGAGAGAGCGGGTTTGGGTATTCCTTCTCGCTACTTCAGAGCTGCCCTGTGGGGGTTGTTGGAGAGTAGGCGCACTGATTGCCGCAAGAAACGAAACACCAGCTCTGCAAAGCAAAAAGGGCGCCAAGAAGCACGAACCCGGTGTCTGAGTTGCGAGAGTGTAAACCAACCCGGAGCTCCACCAATCTCATTGCTGGCGGGAACACCTTGCTGGGCTGGGCTTGCCGGGCCCTGTTTCCACCTTATTTTACCTTCGCCTCTCGTCGGAAGGATGCCTGTTCGGATCAACAGCGTAGCACTCGCCTCTTGCCCGGAGCCTTTCAGATAACACCCGGGAGGGCCTGACCTAGCAATGCAGGAGAGAAGCAGCAATCGTTCAACCCTTACGGTTAGACCTCTCCTGGTATTGCCGAAACCCAAAAACCCAGAACCCTCAACCCTTTTGAAACCGGACTTGATGACCCTAAACCCCCAAACCTCTAAACCTCAGCCCCCGATGGCCGGAAGAAGACGCCTCCAGAGGACTGCTCAAGCCGGAGGATGCCCGGGCTTCGTTCCTGTCCAGTGTCCCGACCCGGACCCGGACCTTCTTCGGGCATCGGGTTCAGAAGGAAGGCTGAGGGTGGAGGTGTTTGTGGGATCGGCGGTAAGGGAGGCTTACTCCGCATGTTTTTCAGGTTGCTACAGCGCTTTCAGGCTGCAGATGGAGCCCCGGAGCCCAGGCGACACCAGCCGGAAGATGAAGAAGTTCCTACTGAAGTGCGACCAGCTGAAGTCGGACAAAGAAGTCCTTGAGCACGCTTTCGAGCTTTTTGGCCCGGGCCCCCGAGCTTCTCATCGGGCGTCGGGGTGAGTATTAGTATTAGTACTTCTATTAATATTAGTATGAGTATTAGTATTAGTACTTCTATGAATATTAGTATTAGTATTAGAGGGTCTCGGGTCGATCTAGAAGGGATCGGTGAAGGGCTCTCTACAGAGCCTGCCATGTACAGGTTTAGGGCTTTGTTGGGTGGCTGACGACAAACTATTCTTGAAAATCCTTGAATCTCTACCGAGACAAGTTGAGATATTGGCGTTTCCAGTGGGGGTGATGGAAGAGTGGTTGGCAGTCCTGGAAACTTCACTGTTTTTCTACGCAATCGAGGGTGAGCTGTTTGTGCGGGTGGAGGGGATTGCCGGGGTATGAGGCTTGTTCCAGAATCCTTATTCCAGGCTGTTTAGTGGCACACTTTTTTACTTTCAGGTTTCTGGGTTCCTACTATAAAATAAGAAGCCTAAACCAGTTTACACTTTTTCCCAGTGGGTTACTGAACAGCCTAGTATTAGAAAGCTATCCCAATCCGAATAAAGTCACAGGCAAGGCCTTGGTAACGAGTCTTTCATTCTGGACGTCCGTACAATCAAGAGAGGGCACTACAAAACCATCGGTACGTTTTGGTACATGTCAATGCTTCGACCCATCATGCCATACAAATGCTGACATCCAAGCACGCACCACCACGGCAAACTGGCATTTTACAAACAGAAGTAGCAGTAGCAAAGCTGCACAAAGGCCACATAAGCTAATGCCACACTGGAGTCTGAGCATCACCTAATGTTTGTCGGTATGGAGCACTTGGGAAACTCAACCAGAGGCTGCTGAAGATCTGTCTTGGAATCATTCTACTGTTGCGGCTGTGTTGTGACCTGTGTTTCAGCATAATGCAGTCGCATGCTGTATTGTGGCATCCATTGCGTGCTGCTTCTTTTATGAGCTGTTCTTGCGTCTACCTCCTGCAGGATTTGAGTTGCAATTTGATTGATGTTACCAAATTTCCGCCCAGGGGCTCCGACGCGCCTTACTACAGGAAACGACTCAGGAAATTAGAAGACGGCCCCATAAAACGCGTGGTGATCAGGGCAACCTTCGAACAAGCAGTGCTGCAAGAAAACGCGGATAGAACATCGAACAACAAGCAGCAAGCTGCTAAGAACGGCTTCGACATGACCCTCGGACGGAGGTGTCTTCAAGGGTTCCTCAATCTAAAACCCTGTCTTTGAACCACGAGAACCCACGAGCTGCTTGAAACAGATCAAACCCCTGCATCCCGCCCCAAATCCTCAACGAAAGCTACAGGATATAAGGGCCTTAATATTTAGAATACTGTAGGGTTTGTGGTACATTATATTATAATACTTGGAATAGGGTTTGTGGTATTTCGTACTATAATTATAGTAAGGAGCCCCCCAAACCCTATTCTAATTGTTAAGGCCCCTACATTGTCCGGCTGAGGTGCCAAGGACCAGGAGATGTTTTGGCCACTGCTGGCACGGGCGGACACCGAGGACGAGCTTGAACAACGAGTTCCGTTTTTCTTTGAATGGGGGCGGATTGGAAGGGGTGGGGCGGCTCGAGGACACGGGGATGTGCGGTCAGGGGGCTAAGGTTTGCGGTTGTTGGGTTTGGGGCGGCCATGTTTGTTTGAGAATTTGGGCCGCGTAATTGTCTCGATATAAAGTTGTTTTAAGGGGTGTTGAAAATTTACAGGTTGGGGCGTTGGATTCGCCGTGCCGAGGCGGGGATGCAGGGTTTAGGGATGAAGAATGCAGCCACAACGGCGCACAAGAAGAAGGATGATCCGTGTTCTCATTGCTCGATAACTTCGCGCCCAACAAGAAATGAAGGATTCCAGGTCGTCTTGGCCCTAGTTGGGGCTCGTGCATCTCTGTGATTTCTTGCTTAAGTCGCCATGACATAATACTCTTTTTGGGTGTGGAAACCCTATTCTGATTATTAAGGCCCCTATGTCTAAGGCTGCTGGCATCCTTTCCGGCATCCCCGGTCCTCGCAGGAGCTCCTGGAAGAATACCTGGAAGACGACAAGCCCATGCATGACTGGCTTTCCGGGAGGAATCAGGACAAGGCACGAGCACGAAGCACGCGAAGCTTCAAAGGGGCTTCAGCTTTTTCACCTGGTGATGTCTTGCACCGCTTGAAGGGCCGAAGATCGAGGATCAGGTCAAGACGAGCTAAGAGTACAGTAATGTGCCAGTTTTTTGCCTTCACTGCTTCTTCATGCGGGGTTTGACCTCAATCACGCGCATGGGTTTTGGCAGGAACACGCTCTTGCCCGCACCCTGCCAGATACCGGGACTGCCACAGCTAGCTCGGCGCTTCCCTGCCTTCATGGTCAAGATGGTGACCAGTGGGGTGCTGAAGTGGAGATGGCCCCCTGGATGCAAGGCGTGCAAACCGCTGTTTCCTCCCTGAAACTATCGCTCTAGGAACCGTCTTAAACTAAGACATGACATCGGCCGAGGTACTGGGTCAAGGAGATCCTGGAAAAGGCCGCAGCACCATGTGATGGGTATGGTAAGTTCCGCCGTCCTGCGTCCATAATCGTACAAGCTCTGGGCCTGGACACAGAGCCGCAGACCTCGCACCCCAGACATCGCTGGCCAGGATCCGATGATGGTGCTGCGTGCCGTCATCGTCGATGGGCAGGAACAGGGTTCCGGACCCAAGAAAGGCTATGTCCCGATGGGCAAGAACCAGGCTCATCAATCGGGAGTTAGCCGTACCAGTATCATGCCGAACTCAGCTAACACCACTGTCGTCAAACTCTATGTCATCACTGCCGCCGCAATCTGGACAGCAACAAGACTAGGCATCGCGGTCGCTGATGTGGTCAGCTGTCAAGTACAATATTCGAGTAATGCCGGTAAGCAAACTCCCCATGGTCCTACAGGTGTTCCAGGTGCGGGAGTTGCAATAGTGCTAACTAAGCCCTTCCTGCACGTAACACCAAACAACATGCCTTGGTATTGGGTTACGTACCTCTACCTACTCGTTTTGCGTACGGCATGCGTGATGTGATCAACCTCTCGAGCATGAGTCACCTGCATACTTTCTAGGGCACTTTTACCAACAAGCCGCGACGGCAAGCAGGATTCAGGGCAGTGTGTTTAGAACGTCAGCCCGGAAAGTACGAAGCAACGAAGATGGGGCTTGAGTTTAGGCTTAAAGATGACGGACTTTGTTGGGCGACAGGTTCATGTTTAACCATTTGCTCACTCTTATCGCCGCGAGTTTCTCGGGGCTTCGGGCTAAGGGGAGTGGAGAGCTTCTTAGGTGTTGAGTCATAGGAGGCCAAAAGGGGTTTCAGCCTATGGGGGTTTAGTAGGGCTAGGGTTCCCATAATAGGGTTCATATTAAGGGATCGCTACCCCAAGAATCTTAAACCCCCCCTTCTGGCCTCCCATCATTGAGTTTACGCTGCAGAGGTTGGGGTCTGGGGAGTGATGCCAGGGCTTCTATTCCACGTTGGCCCACTGGGGTTGGCGTCGGCAGCTGGGCGAGCATTAAGGCATTAAGGATGTTGTTACTGCGGCTGTTGCTAAAGTTGAGACATCCAATTCGATATACCTTGTTTCTAACATGGCGGGTCAGTGTATTTGTAGCGCATCATGTTCCAGACACTTCGTAAGTCTTAAGTAATCTCCGAATCGGAGGAAATGACACATGCAAGTCGCCCCCGTGCGTGGACAAGTTGCATTCAGCAGTGGCAACTTCATAAAAGTGGTTCCTGAGAGCTTCAACAACAGGCTCCGGTATCGCTGAAGGCTGTGTCCAGGTATCCCGAAACCCCAACACGCGCTGAGCCTCACAGTACCAGACAATGTGTTACTAGGCGACTACGAAAGGCGAGCAAACACCACCACTACTGCGACTACGATGACGACGACGATTACTAACGTACTGCTCAGACTCCTCCTTTTGCTGGTAGCAGCTGCTGCTGCTGCTGCTGCTGTCGCCACTACGGCTACGTGCTGCTAAGACGACGACAGCAACAACCCAGCACAACCACAACCACCACCACCACCACTGCCAAAAATGTTCCTGCTACCGCTCCTCCTACCCGTCGTACTGCTGCTCCTGAAGTTGTTTTTTGAAGTCCAAGGCAGCCGGACATGATGCTGAGCCTTGTAGCGGAGTTGACTGCTCCCGGTGGCAGCAAGAGTCCTGGCAGAAGATCCTTAGGGCTTCAGGGTGTTACTATAGGGGCCTTAGTATATACCTATACTGTTTTCGGGGCTCCTTATTAAGATTATAGTATGACAATAGGCCCCACAAGCCCTAGTGTAATTATTAAGGCCCCTTATATCATTTCAGCTCGCAGTTGCCGCTGTATCGGCAGTTCTTCACGGTATAAGTCAAGCTCAACCATTGGTGGGATGGCCGCATCTTACCAAGTACACCCTTGTCACAAATCCCCGCAGAGCTTTTGCTCCATTCTCCTGAAGGTATGACCATGTTTTGAGCCTTAGACTTGCCAATCCTGCTCTACATTGCTATACTTGTGGCAGTCGCCCTGAGTAGAACAAGTGTCATGTGCACACAACCGAAGCTGGCATGTTGCGTGACCAAGGAATGCCAAGGGCGGCACTTTCCGCAGCAAGGGCCGCGGGAAGGGCATGGTCCTCATGTCAGGCAGGCCTTGGCGATTGTCAAAGGAGAGAAAGTTTCGGTTCATCGTGTGCAGCAGTTCCAGGCATTGGACATTTTTGGTAAAGGAACCTGACACAGGCATGTGTAACGTTACAACAGACTTCACGTCCAGACTAAGTTGAAGCACTTGTTGTGATGTCGTTCGAAGGCTTTTGCTTTCAGTCGAAACTCGTTTGCTACATGTTTGCAAGGATTTCCATCCGTGACGCAACAGCAGTGGCAATGTCCTTCTCGTACGGAAATGCATTAGGTCTCGATTCGACCAGCTTCTCTCACTCTCTCCGTCTCTCTCACGCATTTCTGTGTACATTACGTATGTATGTATGTATGTATATATATATATATATATATATATATATATATACAGTATGTATGTATACATATGTTTATATATATGTGTATCCCACCCGTCAGGTGCCGGTAGCGTCACTTTGTCACTGCTTGCATGGGCATGAATGCATTACATCCCGATTCGACGAGCTTTCCTTCCGAGGGAATGTTCGTTTGGTTACGTTAGCCGTGCATGCTGTTGCGATTGCTGTGGGCAGCGCTTCACTAGGCTCAAATGGCTCAAATATATGTATCAGAAGTCTTCACCGTCATGACTGTTTACCAGCGGTGGCAGTATCAGTCGCGGCGGTGATGCCTCTCTTTGGGCTTTGCAATTATGAGGATGATGATGACGATGATGAAGTTGCGATTCTGACCATCGTTATGATGGTGCTTGCTGTTACTGCACGCGCTATCATTTGCAGTTTGCCTCCTCCATGGCCAGGCAAAGGCTCCCAAAGTGACCTGGGACTCCCCGGCCGCGAGCAAGTGCAGCGACTGGCGAACGAGCTGATGAGCGTCACCTCCACGCGGAACGCTTTGACGACGAACAAAAAGATCGCGATGCTCCTGAAGCCACTCTTCGTGGTTAGGGTTTGTCGGGGGAATGGTCTGCGAGACCATTCCCAGATGTAGGACTGTGTAGTCAGAAGACCGAATCCGTGACACGCGAGAGCTGAGGATCTGGGATACTCTTCCGGGCACCCACAAAGTAGCACGGATGGCGCAGATGTGTCTCGGACTGGGCAGTGCGTAGCAGCTGGCCATGTTCGGTCCAGCGTCCGAGTACCTAACTCCTCGAAGCCTCTGCTTAAACAGAGGGCAGAATCATGCTGGTTCCCTCCCAGCATGGGGCATTTTGTCGTGACTGCGGCCAGACGGTGCGCGCCGGAAGTTGCTTCTATTTCCAAGGTTCGCGGAGCTTCTGCCCAGCTTTGCCTCCGATGAGCACCGGCAAGGAGAGATCTCGAACCTGATTGCAGCCTTCTGGAAGATGCTTCAGGACGTGGGTGCCGACCTCAGCGCTGTCGGAGTCTCTCGACTCCGGGATACTTTGGGTTCCATATACGGATCCTTTAACTTATCCTGCCCCCTTTCCTAACGCAGGATTGTCCGGACCATGCTCTTTTTGTCGAGTCCTACCGCTTTAGACGGTTTTGCCGTCGGACTTGCTAGGGAACGCCGCCTTGTTTTTTTTTGAAGTCCCTCTTATGACACCAAGCACATCCAACCACTAGCCAAAGGACATAATACATTGCAAGTCTCGAACCAGATCAATGAGCAGCCGCTGCTATTACTGGCAATGGCAGTATGTCCCAGTGAGCGAAACAATCGCCAGTCGCTGCGCTATCAATGAATTGAAGTCTGATTGAGGCCGATCGGACCGTCAAGATCTTCTGGTCGGACCGCTTGTGGCTTCCGGGCCACAGGGAGAAAAACGACCTACTGGCATCACGGAGTTCTTTAAGCTCTTCGTGAGGCCAGTCTTGCTGTCGGGACTGGCGGTGGTGGGCGCCCTGCGAAGGATCATCATCTCCAGGTTGATCCCGGTTCTGCACCCTTCTTTGCTTTACCAGTTACGTCTGTGCTTAGTTAGAGTCTAGTAATTACAACTACTCTGAGCATTACGACAACAGCAAGTGCCATATCACCGCCACCACAACGACCTCATGAGTAACATGCAGCAACGACTGCAGCATATTGCAATTGCGAAGTGGCACAGAAGAAATTGTGAGGACTGCCATTGCCATTCATGCTCCTGCTGCTGCCGCATACTATACTACCACCGCGCACTCTTCCCATCACCACACTATACACGCCTGGTGACAACGAAGATGGTGACGATGGGGGTTATAGTGTTCTTTGTCGTGGTGGTGTTGCCGGTGCTGGTTCTGCTGGCGGAGGGGGGGTTGTGCTGGCGCTGGTTGGCGCTGGTGGTAGTCGTGGTGGTGGTGCTGGTTGTAGCGGTCGTGGTCGTGGTCGTTGGGGTGGTGTTGTTGCCGGTATGACGTGTGCATCTATGTGTATGTTCCCTGCATCCAGCCATCCAGCCATCCATCCATCCATCCATACATCCGCTCCTTTGCGTGCACGTGTGCGTGTATCACTCTCTGTTTCTCTCTGTCTCTCCCTCTCTCTCTCCTATACAGAAATGTATAATATTCTTTTATGTATGTATGTAGGTAGGTAGGTATGCAGGTATGCATCTCTCTGTCTCTCTCTCGCTCTCTCTCTCGCTCGATCTCTCTCTTTCTCGCTCGCTCTCGCTCTCGCTCTCGCTCTCGCTCTCTCTCTCTATCTCTCTCTCTCCCTCTCTCTCTAGGTATAAGTCCAAAAGTAAGGAATACCTCCCGTGCAACCTATGCAAAGCTAGTCACGTCGCTCCAGGCGTCTGCCACCGCCTCTCGCAGTGACGCAGCTCTTCAAGATCCTGGAGGAGTTCGAGGCCTGCACATGTCTCTCAAATGAGGATCTTCTGTTCCCTAAGCTCGGTACCGTAACAGAGGGGCTATTAGGGGCTTCAATAATTGCCAATACTATTTCGGGGGTTCCTTATTATTAATTATACAAATAGTGTAATATACCCCCAAACCCTATTCTACTTATTACTAAGGCCCCTATAGTACAGTACCTTCACCTCAAACCCAAGATCCTTCACCTCATCCTCGCCTGGCGAGTCCCAGACGTGTGAGCTGATGCAACTGGAGACGAGCTCAGCCTTTGGGCCGGGCGCAGGAGAGGATGATTCGTAAGTAGAGTATAGTGGCTTCCACAACGCCAGCTTGGGCGATTTGAGGTAAGCACTATAGAGCACCGGTGGCTTCTGTGGAGGATGAGCTCTGTTGTATTGTTCGATTCTTGGGCTTAATCTGAGTGCGAATGCTGCCTCTGGAGATACTTCCCGTGTAGGCAGCGCATGGGCCTAATGCTACTAGACTGGCAGTGGAAAGCGGAGCTTTCGTTCTAAGACCCCAACAGTAGGCCTCGCTTCGGCCGTAGCATGTTCGGAGCAGGCTGGCACCCCGGCCTATAAGTTCGTGCAGAGTGACATCTGCAAGTCCAGCAATGGCAGACATGCTGCTTGGCGAGACCATCCGAGACAGAGAGAGAGAAAGAGAGAGAGAGAGAGAGAGAGAGCGAAATGAGCGCACCGCTCGAACCGTGGACGCGGGCAGCACTTCCGGCTTGCTATAAGTTATCTTACGTCAGCCTAAGGATGACCTCATGAAGAGCGTCTTCAAGAAATACTTGCTGAAGGAAGACGAGGCCGCAAGAAGTTCCGGAAGGCGCTTTAAATCACAAAACAAGCGTAGAACCCCTTCCCTGCCAGGGCCCAGTGAAGGCGGCGGAGATGTTCCAGGTCCTGCTGAAGGATGCCCGATCCCGAGACATCATCCAGACCTCGTACGACACCCTCTTGGAGCACCTGGAAGGCGCCCTCCTAGGGACCTGCAACTGGGTACGTGGATGGGACCACCAGCCCTCTCAAAGGCCTGTGGCTAGTGTCTCCCTGACTCCAAGCGCGAGAAGCCACAGCACCTCCAGCACCCTTCGACGTTACCTTGATCAACGTTTGGGAGGATTCAAAAGATGATTTTTGGGAAGCTGGCTTACTTGAGGTCTCTTGCAGCATAGCATCATCTGCAGGTTGACATCCGAAGCCCTTTTCCTTACCTTTCCGGCTGCGAAATGCGAACATGCTCTGGGAACACAGTGACAGCATAGCACGGAAATCTAGTATCCGAAATTCAACTACGGTCGGAGCATGAGAAGTAACTTAGGACTTAAGAGTGGTGGTGGTGGTGGTGGTGGTGATGTCAGAAGCGGTAGCCAGCTGAACCCAATCTGGACTCCGAGCAGTTTTGTGCAGATGTGAACCCCGCCAGTTTAGAAAGATAGAACGTGATAGAACACAACTTATTGCAGTGACCGCTACTGTCAACAGTATCTTTTCTTTTATTATTCAGAGTGTGAAGAGCTATCCGGTTTCGACTCTGCTCAGACCACTCGGAGTTGGGCCTATTGCAAAGTGTGGTCCAGCGGATGGGCCTCTCGGACTACGGGGGTGTTCAATTGCTTTCGGGTTGGGGGCGAAAGGTTCAGGTCTTCTTTGTCATAGTTGGGTAACATTTTAAATTTTTGTGGGTACTTAAACCAATAAGGAATAAAAAGTTAACTTTGTAATCCTATCCCAAGCATGAACTAGTCACTAGTCTTAGGGTCTGGGATGTAGTTTGGCAGTGCTGCTTCCCAGGTGATCAACAAAGTCTGGGTTCAACAGAAGGGTCTGGGATTCGCAGTCGGTACCTATAGTCTCCATTGTAGTTCCTTTTTTGGTTGACCAGTTTTATGGTTAGGACCCTATAATAGAGATTTTGGCTAACCAAAAAAAGGAACTACAATGGAGACTATAGGTAGTCTTTAAGTGATTGAGCCTCCGTGTGATCAGACCCATCAGGCGATCCGAAAAGTCCCGATCATGTTAAGGGTTTAGGGCTTAGGGTTAAGGGTTTAGTACAATGATTCAGGTTTCTGCGGTGCTCGCCGACCTTGAGCTTGTGGCAAATTTTGTTGCTGTAATATTTAAACCACATCCACAAATACACCAACCGCTGCAAGTCCAGCCCTGAGAGTCAAGACCCTACACTCTGAAGCCACGAAGTGCGAAGCGCAGATTCCGCAGTGCGCTTGAAACTGAGACTGCTCCCCCAACTCTATTTACGACACGCCGTGAGAATAGGAAAAGCTTCGAGAATTCCGATGATTGAATGTTGTTTCCATGAACCCTAAACCCGAAACCAGTGGTGCCCTGATGGAACTAGTGGAGACACTTTGGGCTATGTGGAGCCTTGCCTGTGTGCGAGTGTGAGCGTCGACACCCTAATGATAAGTGCTCGCCAAGGTTAGGAACAATCAATTTTTCGCGTCAGAGCTGGGAGAGATTCGATCCACAACCTCGAGTCTTTTAATGCCAAAGCTCTAGGACTCCTTGTGTCAGGGGACCTACATATCTAATATAATCAGCACATAGTCTTTCTCGTGGTTATAGTATGGCCATTTCTACAAACAGCTGCAACCTGAACCGAGATCTCTTCATGTCTGTTTTATTTCAGAATTTCCTACCATGCCCAGCATTGGCCCAGGCAGTCTGGAAAAGCAGTCCCGCACGAAGGGCACCCGAGAAATCACGCCGGAGGCTCCAGAGCTTAGCTAATCACGTATGTATATCTATATGTACATGCAAAAACATTTATAGATATGTATATATAATAGACATATCATCTAGCACATGCTTTAATATGTAAAGTCATGTGAACATAGATGCATACACACATTCTTATGTGTATGCACATATACATATATACATATACATATATATATATATACGTGTGCTGATATTGGCTGGTAATCTTACTTGGTAAGTGAGTTCAGGGCAAGGTTGTAAGTTGTATTATCTCCCGATAAACAGGTTTACGCCTGCAGTGTCGGTCGCGCGAGTGCTAAAAAGGTTGTATTATCCTGTAATAGTGACTATAAGGATTATATTAGGGCCCTATTATATTCCTATTATACCACTATTACAGGGTGGGGGCCACTTATCCCTTGACTTGCAAGCCACTGCAGCGCTGAGGTCCAAGGTCCGTATCTAACGAGCTATCAGTAATCCCACAACATCATGATTAGAGTTTAGGGTGCTGCCGGAGTAGAGCTCAAGGTGGCAATGAGACGGCGAAAGTGACATTTACCCGGCACCTCATTTTGACAGGAGTCGGGGTGAGGGGGTTAGCGGTATGTATCCGGAACCTGCCGAAGGAGCTTGCCTGTGTTTCGGCCACCAGACTCGTAAGCTACAACAGGCTGCTACAGGCAAGCCATCCGAATGTACCCCAGATCGAAGCCACTGCTTGAGCGATGCGAGCTGTAGCTATGAATCACAGAGTGCAAGGAAGGCAAAAATTATGAGCCATGAGAGGCTTCTTGTGGATGTTTCATTGCATGAGTTGGATTTCTCAAGGACACTCACTGCTTCTACTGGTTCCTGACTGCTACTTGTCATCCTGCTGCCGCCTGTCTGCTGCTACTTCTAATGCTCCTCTTCCTGCTGCTTAGTGAACGGTTCTGCTGCTTTCTCGCCACCATCTTAATCCCCATCCGCTGAACGGTGTTTGATGCCGGCATATATGAATTTCAGCTGTGTGGTGAAGCCCCGAAGCAAAAAGTCATAACCATCACCACTGGACCACCATCAGCATCGTGGTGGTCGTGCCCATTCTTCAATATGTGCTGGCAGAAACCTCATCAAACGGCCCTGCTCGAACAATCGTTCAGCACCGTCAGACCCATAGAGGCCACCTTATCCGTGCCGACGGAATGGCTGAAGATGGTGGAGTTGAAGGAGACCGCCCCGCCTCACTCGAGATTCCTGCTTCTGGCCGTGTCCCCAGTTCTTCTGATTTGGTGCTCCTTTACCTAAATACCCGGGCTCAGTCTTACCATTCTCAGTTGCAGAATGGTTGCCGTTAGTGCTTTTGCGGTTGGGGCGTCTGCTCCCGGAAGTTAGGCCCTGTGATGGTTCATGAAGCTTGGACTTCGGCTGGCCTTGTGCCTCCGTGATAGACCGGCGAATCAGAAGAGCGGGAGAGTCTCTCCCATTTGCGGTGAATGCTTGATGAATCTGCGGATGTTCAAGACAGACCCATCAAACAGAGGACGCAACCACACCGGCTGTGCTCTGGAACAGCTACTCTCGTACGTCAGGTGGCGATACATTGAATCAGTGGTTCGTTGTCTCGTCATTTGGCATGCCGAAATAGAGAAAGCTCGCTCTTCAGGTTCTCCACACTGGCATTGGCGAAAAGGATTTGCTCGGGTCCATGACCGTGAAGTATGGCAACGCCTTCTTTTGGGACACCTTTGATCACATCCTCTCTGTCGCTCAGGGGAAGCTGATCGAGAAGGCACGCTTTCTCATCAGTGCCTAGTCTTTGCGTCCGCTGTTGCGGCGGGGCCCTCCACTTGTTGAGGCCACACCAAAGCCAGATCTCTTCGTGCTCAAAGATGTCAATGTCCAGGTGATTGAGGAGCGGTCCTTGTTTATTTAAGGCAGCCCAGTCATCCCTAAGCGCGCGAGGGATTCAGTGGCCAGGATGCGGAGAAGAAGCTTCCCGGCAAGTCTGGCCGCAAATCGTCCAAGGGATCAACTGGAGTCGGAAACGTCATCTTCGGAATTGACGGCGGCTTGATCGCATGGCCGGCATTCGCCAGCCACAATTACACAACCCAAAGCCTTGTCAGTCGTCGATTTGAATGGAAATAGCCTAATTATGCCGGATTTCCTTATGTTCTTGCAGGATTCAGCACCGGCCACGTCCGCCGACCTTCAATTTCCTGTAGAGGTTGCGCTTGTCGTGGGACCATGTAGGGCTTGCTTCAGGATCCGTTGAAATACGCGGAATGCAAATGCGCTGTTGGCTTTGCATGCTTGGCGATGCTTTCTTCCTGCGGTCTGCATGTATGACTGTTCTTTGTGCTGGAAGTTCTACTGACACTGTTATTGTCTTCCGAAAGCTGCCCCTGCATTGAGCAAGCTGCACGACTCCGAGGCAGCAAGTGGGGTACCGTTGTGGGGGATGAGGGCCGTGCGCAGCTGCCTCAGCCGAGGGTCGTGTAGGATTTCCTCAGTTTCAGTTAGTCTTGAGCCTTGTGAGATTTGGGAGTCATTCAAACACGTTGTGCGCTCCGAAACGGGGGTACCGCTCCACGCAGCTACAGGTGGAAGCTAGACAGCGGCCGAATCGCCAAGAAAGAGACAGAAGGCGACAAGTGGACCTGGGCCGGCGGTGCTACGACAAAAGGAGCACAAGGTGCAGACAAATATTTCTCCAGCGTCGCAGACATGAAGAAGAAGGCCAACGTGAAAGACATAAGCGCCTTAGTGAAACACTGGCTCGTTCTAACCCTAAACCCTAAACCCTAAACCGTTGCTCCTGGTGGTGCTTGAGATTCGAGCGGCTCAGGTGCACGCTTGGCAGGTGGGTGGGCAGGGCGGTACATGTCTTCAGTAAATCTGAGCAGTTAAAGGATTTTGGTAGCATTGAGTTTGAACAATGACTCTAAGAACTTTTCTGGCGCCGCACGGCTTGGATGCAGGCTACTCCGACTTACTGACACTGGCTGGTAAGGACCGCTCTTGCTTGGTAGCCGCTTCCGCAGCCGTAGGAACCAGAATGAAGGACAAACTTTGGGAGTTACGGTTGGACTTTCGTGGTTATTGATCGCCTGATGCGGACTTACACTGCCCCTTCGTGTGTCCTTCTGTGAATTTTGATCGCAGTTGCCGGCCGTGAGACCTTGCGAAACCACGGACCGCAAGCCCCAGTATGAGATACAGTTACAGAGTATAGTACACGTAACATCATGCAACTTATGAAGCATGTCAGTGCCTGATGCAGTGCATCTTCTAGAGGAGCGCGATGCTGGCAAAGCCTTTGACGACTTGTTACCCTTCCTGCCCCTTGGCTGTCGAAGATGCTCAACATTGATCGGATACGTGAACTGAAAGCCCTGACCCTCTTCGCAACCCTCAGTCCTATGTCCTCGTCCTGGCAAGGAGGCAAAGCAACCCGAAACCTCGAAGCCATCTCAGCCGTAAGCCCTAAACCTGAAAGCGTATCATCGAGAGACCTCGCCTGGCTAGTCGGAGTTGCGAGAGCCTGCAGCCTAAAGCGTATGGACGTTTGCAATGTGCCGAACCCTGCAAGGCCAGTGTCGCCGAAACTTGAGAGCATGGGACCCCGGGATGGGATGGACCAGAAATCGTCATGGAAAAACTCAAGCCGAAAGACTGAAACATGAATCCCCGATACTATATGCTGATACTGATACTTTATAGGACTTTATACTTATACAAGACATAAAAATATCATACACTCCGTACATATCGTCGCGCACACATACATACATACATACATACATACATACATACATACATACATACAAGTCCATAACCAGAACATGACTTGTTTGCGACATTATACACATTAAATATGTGTACATTCGTATGTATGTATACATATATTTATACATATATTATATTGTATTATATATATATATATATACACACATACAGAGACACAGAGAGAGGCAAGCACCACAGCCCTGGCGAAAGAAAGAGACGGACAGACAGACAGACAGACAGAAAGACAGACAGAGACAAACAGCCAGCCAGAGAGCCAGGCAGCTAGGCAGGCAGACAGAGCCTAAACCCTAAACCCTAAACCCTGGTTGGTTTGTACTAGAAGCAGACCTGAGGCTCTCTCGGTTCAATGCCGAGCAAGAGCAAGGCAGACAGCACATTCTCAACGAGCTGCTGGTCAACAAGAAGTTTCCGGACGACTTGTGGGAGGACCTCTTCTGGGTCTAGGAAACAGAGGTGGGGACAGACGTCCCTCTTGGAAAGACGCTCTTCTTCGAGGTTCTTTGAAGCAGGGTGAGGACCAACGCCCTTCTTTACAGGCAAGGCTCTTCTCATTTGGCGCGCGCGCGGAGTCCGAAATTTTCCGGAGACTTTCGGAACTTTCAGCCTGGGCTCGCGAAATCTGCTAGAATCTATTAGCCCTGACATACAGGTGCTTTTGTGAGGCTACGGTGTTTTTTTTGCAGGTTCATATTGAGGTCTCTAATCCCTCTGTGAATATTTATAGTAGATTATGCCCCCAGACCCAAACTCAGCGATTCAATCAAGGCCATGTTTAAGCCCAGATCCGCAAAAAATTGCAAACATTTTTGTGTTACATACAATATATCTCTAGATATTACAATATGTGTACATATATATATATATATATACATACACATGTATATTAGTATAGATACACATACATACATGCATACATAGACACTCATACACTCATGCTCAGACTTATATACATACGTTTTATAGTGTACATGACTTTCCTGTTTATTATATCTGTCTATGTACCTATCTATCTATCTATCTGTCTGGTTGTGTAGTCTATGTTCCTCAAGGTTCGTTGTTGCATGTTTCAGCATGGGGATTCGTTTCCGAAAATAGGGGACCCTAATATAGTAGCCTAAATAGTAGGATCCTTATTATGGGGACCCCCAAAATAAGGTACCCCTAATTTTCGGAAACTGTAGAGGGAGTAGAGGTGAGTTGTTAATGTGACCTCGGCAATGTGCTGGGATGGAATGCCAAAGTGCTGTCGTTGGGACTGGAATCCTCGCTGTGGTACGTCCGAGAGTGAGTGCTGAATTTTCGGAAACTCTAAACCCTAAACCCTTTATAGAACCCTTATGGAGCCCTTTCAGGAACTCTTAAAGGATCCCTTTTCTGGTATCCCTAATCTTCGGAAACTCCCATGTCGCAAGAGAGCCCCACCCTGCAGGAAAGACTTGAGCATCTTCGGAGCTTCTGGAAGGCCTGCTGGGCTCTTCTGCAAGGTATTATAATTGAAGTTACCATAACAAGGAAACCATATTACTTACCATAGATCCCTATATTATGGTACGTTAATTGAAGTTACCATAACAAGGAAACCATATTATTTGCTATAGATCCCTATATTATGGTACCTTAATAAGTTCAACATAACAGGGAGACCATATTACTTACTGTAGATCCCTATTATGGTACCTTAAATTAAGCTCCTTAAGAAAAACCCAGCCCGAGTCGGTGGAATTCGCCTTATTCTCGCCAGGAATGGGGTTTCGATGGCTTCGGGGCCAGTAGGGCGGTGGTCGGTTCTGCAGCTGTCAGGCATGTAATTAGGGACTACGGAGCTTTTTCGGTTTCAGTAGGTTTTTAGCTTTAAAGATTCTTGAGAAGGATCTGTGGCCATTCGCAGAGCTTGAAGCAGAATGGGAGGTCAGCAGCAAAGCGCGTGAGAGCGCGAGCTACCAATGCAGCTGGAAACAGGGCTGCAACTGCGCTATTTGTGTTTCTGATCTCCTATCGCGAGCACGCATGTTTGACAGAATGGATGCCAAGTCAAGGAACAAATGCGGAAGGCATCTGGTACAGAAAGCATTGGGGAATTGGGGCAAGCCGGCTGCCTGGCGCGCAGCTGGGGTTTGGCTGTCTTGCATGTAATGTAGGAACCTGATTAAGAAACCCTGGCCCTATGACCCCAAAATAAGATTCATCTAAGGAGCCCCAATAAAGACCCAAGGTTTCTTAATCAGGTTCCTATAGTGGCCTTGCAGAGCCTGGTTTCTCGCGCCATGGCAAAGTGTCGCGATGCTGTACAGTAGGGAGTTTCGGAAATAGGAGTACCGTATTTTGGCGTCCTTCCTCCTATTTGGGGTACTATATTAGGGTCCCCTACTTTCGGAAACTCCTTGTAGGATCAAACTCCGTGTAGGATCGAGAGAATCGGGAGCAGCTTGGCAGCCAGCCCTGAAAGCCGAAGCCGAAACGCTAGTTCTTTGCTCAGTTGCAGAGAGCTGGCAATCGAGAATACTGGGTACGACAACATGAAACAACTGCCAATTGCTGCCCATTACCCCTACAGACATAGTCAAAGTTGTGTACGTTACAAGTACTTAGTTTGGTACTTGATGCATTGGATGCAGTACTCGTCAGGTATTTTTGCCATGCCAGAAAAGTATAAACAACTGCTGTATTTGTATGGTTTTGGTAGTACAGTCCTTCATCTGAGAAGTATCAGACGACTCAGACGACATTACGCCCTGCACCTTGTAGACCTTACCCAGAGGGTCATACCCTACCCCTGTTTTAAGGCACCTACTTTTCTATATAAGAGAACCTAACCATAAAACTAGGTATCCCAAAAAAGGGGTAGGGTATGACCCTCTAGGTACCCTATGTGACCCAGGAAAAAGAGGGCGAACTTGCACCAGAGTATCCAACTGAAGCCTGCCTCTTCGGCTTGGAGGTGACGGCCGAGACTTGGTTGTGCGAGCGATAGGGTGATAATTCCAACGTTGCTACCACCTCGTGATAGTATTTTAACCGTTTTAAATGTGGTGGATTTGCCATTACGAGATTGTGTGGATTCTTTCCATATGTGCATACATACATATCTACACAGGACAGTTAGTTGGTTTTAACGGTGCTTAGTTTACTGGAACCACTTTATGGGTGGTGACACAACGTCGCACATGTCTTGACCCATTCCAATCTGGTGTGCTATCTCTGCCTTCTGGTCTTTGTTTGCACCGCAAGCAGTAGTAAGCAAATTTCAAAGAGAAATTCCTGCCGCTTCCTCTATCATAGAATCCTTGCAGAAAAAAACAGGGGGCATCAAGAGACGCTCGACCCCAAACATGTGTTTTTTCTTCGAGCTTGTTCAGCGTCCTGGTAAGGAAGTTTGAGATCGTGGCCCTACGCGATAGCAGCAGGAACGGATGCAGCAACCTTCTCAACGCAAGAACCCGGTAACATTTGCACATCTGCATGCAGGAAGCAATGTGCCACTCAGGATATCAATCTCCCGGACCTCCTCGTGAGCCTTGGAAAGCTGTGGCCACATGTTTTTTGTCCTGGGCTGAGGACTGTGGGTCTGGTCTGCACATCGGACATCGGTGTGCGTAGTCTGCGTAGTGTCATATAGTGCAGTCTGGATATATTGACAAATGACCCTTGCAAACGCAGCCTCGACAGAAGACGCCGATCCGTGTTTTTAAGAATCGGTCTCCACAAGATCCCAACAATTAAAAAACATGAGAAAACACGTCGTGCACTTGGAGGTTCAACGGGCAGATGACTAAGTACCGACTCCAGCCCGCTGTTTAGGGTTTAGGGTTTTAGGGGTTAGGGTTGGGGGTTTAGGGTTTTAGGGGTTCAGGGTCTAGGGGTAAGGGGTTTAGGGTTTAGAGTTTGGGGTTTTAGGGGTTTAGGGTTTAGGGTTAGGGGTTTAGGGTTCAGGGTTAAGTGTTTTAGGGTTTTAGGGGTTTAGGGGTTTAGGGTCTAGACATGAGCATCAATTTGTCAACCGACTACCGTCCAGTCCGCTGAGGAATTCCCATTTCAAGATTGAGACGCTGAAGGCCAGCTCTTGTTGTCCATGAATGCTATATCGGGCATACTACAAGTGCAAAGAGAAGGACTTACATGCGCAGGATCTGGAAGCCGCAACGCGCTGGGTCTTAGAGACCGCCGTGCCTCTCCAGGGAGAGTCCACCTCCCCGCTGCAGGACCCAGAAACTCATGGCATCCGGGGATTTCAGGGTTGATCAACGGCTCAAGCCAAGAGCCGGACGGGAGATCAACAAAAACGCTGAAAACCCAAAATGCTGCGGAGGATTTCTGGGAGGCTTTGAAGACCATGAGCACCATCAAGCCACTGTCCTGCAGACTGCTAATGTGCCTTTCGGAATCAAGGTTGTGCCGTTTTCAGGAGACATGCTGATGTTTATGGTTCTGGGATTCGTGGTTGACGGGCGTCAGGTGTGTGGGGTTCAGCGGTTTCCGCGCCGGTTCTGAGGCGGGTAGGAGTCGATGCTAGTTGTTTTTGGCTGGCTAATTGGCCCGGCTTGTGCACACCTAAAACAACATGGGAGCTCCGGAGCGCCCCATCTCATTCCAATCACCATAGGCCTAAGCCCATACAATCCTGCTAGCAGGGAAAAACAAACTAACTGATTGGTATATACACACATATACAAACACATAGCATTTTCCACGTTGCACTATGTCACATTATGTGTCCAAGCTGAGGTTCTGCGGAGAAGATCCGGATGCCATCACATCTTGGAGCGTTTCTACGAGTGTGAACCATCTGAAGGCGGGCAAGCATTCTGGCAGTATCAGAGGGACCCTTGGGGGGGTAGGGGGGAGGGGGGTGGGGGACTATACTTCCTTAAAGGACTCTCCCGTCCTTATGATAGTAGGGGCTGAGGCCAGCTTAGCGTTTATATTAATTTGCTCACCCCCCCCCCATTGACAGACCGCGGGTCTAAAAAACACCGCACACGACGATATTCTATGAAGCAAAACCTTTACATGAGGTACATAGTATATTTTCATGTAACATGCCATGTATTCAAGGACACATGCAGAATGAGTGACGCATGCACCAGACGTGCGGCACATGAGTTACGTAATAGTTTTGTGGTAGTATCGGTATTAGGGTGAGTATTATTATTAAGATTAGTTCGATTGTTTGCTGTATGTATACATATCAATATTGCCAACTATAAAATAGTGTTAGTGCTCATAGAGTTAGCACTAGTACCAGTGCCAATGTCAGTAATACAGCACCACTGCTACGAGTAGTATCAGTATCAGTCTTAATGCTGGGTTGAATAGCAGCTTATATTCTCAGAAGTGCTAGTAATAGTATCAATATTAGAACTAGTTAGTTTTGATATGTTAGTATATTCATAGTCTCGTATATTAGCAGATTAGTATATCAATACATCAATGTATTCGAACAGTAAACTATTTGCATTCTTGTATACTGGTATATTTGACATGTTAGTACATCTGGTGTATGAATACACTAGTATATTGGTGTATTAGTTTACTAGTATATTAGCAGACCAGTATATTCGTACGTTAGCCTCTTAGTATACTGGTATGTGTACTATATTCATGTATTGTCTAACCATTTATAAGTACATAAGTATGTTGGCATATTAGTATACGAACTTGTCATGTCGGTATTCTTGCATATTGCAGTAGTCGTATATTAGTATAGTCACATATTAGTATAGTATATTCATACAGCAACGAGAAGTATATTGTTACATTGGTATATGGGTATATGCCTATGCCAAAGCATTAATACATGAATGCACTAATGTATATATCTGTATCTTAAGATAGTGGTATGTACTTTATGTAGTTCGTATATGCAGGTGTCTATTAGTACTGATGTTAATTTTCATATCAATATGAATATACTATTGGTATTCGTAGGAGTATTAATGTCAATATTATTAGAATTAGGACTATTTATACTCGTATTAGCCATAATATGAGTGTTCATGCTGGTAATACTAGTGGCATTCTTGAATATTCAGCAGATCATCAAAGTCCGTATTAGTGTTGGTGATAGCACTACTGTTAACGCACAAGAGTTTACGTCTTCGTATTCGTAGGAGTAGCAATAGCTATGTAAATATTGATGTTAGTATAGATTTTGTATTAAGTATTAGCTGTAGTGTTAGCGTTAGTACTATAATATTATTGATGATCTACATTCGCAAGAATGTTTGTATTATTATTACTCTTGATCACGTGATTTTTCTAACAGTTGAATACATGAGTGAGTTAAAGGATTTGTATTTTAATATAGTGGTATGCATATTTATGTACATTAGTACATGCAGGTGTGTGTTAGTATGGGTATTAATATACACTACTATCAATATGAATATGATTATTGATATGCGTAGGAGTACTAATAGCAATACTAATCAATATTAGTATTTGTGTTATGCATATTCGTACTAAGCTTTATAGAAGTGTAATATTAGTAGTAATGCTGGTATTAGCTTGAGCATTCAACAAATGATCAATGTCAGTATTAGCAATGGCAATACTATATGTAGGAGTATCAATACATATATGTATATATAGGTAGACAGATAGATAGAGAGATATTCGTCTAAATATGGTCATAAGTATTGACAGCCCTTGCCTTTGCTAGTAAGTCGTAGTGCATGGTCTGTCATCGGATGGGTCACAATCAGCCCTCCTGAGAATCAGTTCCAAGGTCCAGAGATTCCAAAATATCCAAAATTGCCAAAAATTCCAAAATTTCCAAAACGGCCCGACCTAGTGGACAGGATTTTCCAAAACATAAGGGCTGACTTTTTGGAAATTTTGGAAATCCGGAAAGTTAGGGTAGAGAATTTTGGAAATTTCGGAATTGAGTTTTTGAAAGCTGAGTGCCCCCTCCCCCCGATCACAGACCATGCGCTACGACTGAGTTGAAAGGGCATGGTCTGTCAACGGGGGGGGGGGTGACCATTAATTTATATGAGTTTTTTAGGAGAGTGCCGCCCTTCAGAACTTTCGACTGCCTGGGGGAGTTAGTTCGGCAACATCTCCTTGATTCTTTGTGCCCATGCCTTGACAAGCAGCTCAACCAAATCTCGAAGCCCACGCAGACTTTGAACCCTGTTATCCTGAATCCCTTCAGCCCCGATTAGAGGTCTGAAGTTTTGCCGGAATTTACTCCGCATTCTCTCCTTCGTCTTGGTTCCAAAGAAGATAAACCCTGAGAGCCGGAAGCTCCCGGAGGTTCACAAGGAGAAGTCCTCGAGCTCTGCCGAGCTTGGCCAGAAGGAGTCAGGCCGATTTGGGGCCGCGGGAGGGCTTGCCTTGGCGGGCTTAAGGAGGGCCGCGAGAAAGTTCACTGGGGCTACTGCAAGCATCATCATCGCCCTCCGGGGCAATATCTCCCCTTTGTCCTCAACATCGTTGTTGAGGTTAACGCATAGTTCGGAGTTTGTACGCACCACTGCAGCCCTACAAGTCATGTTGACGACGAGTGGGATGGGTTGCTAATGATGGGAACAACTGGACTGGATTATGCAATGGCACTTATGGTGCCGATGATGATGATTGATGGTTCATGTTTGATGATGATGGTTATGGCTATGCCGATACTCATCGTTTAATTTCTGGCATGAGCGGATCATTTTCCATAGAATGATATAGGGATCGCCTGGATCACAGCTATCACAACCTGCAGCACCACCAGCATTGCAATCACAGTAGTTGCACCAGCCACATCATCAAAACCGTGTCAGCTGGACTGCGACACAGTTGCAGAAGAGTCCAACTGCCTCTCTTGCATAACTCTGCATCAGAATGTTGGGATTTCCGGACTGTTGCGCTGTAGCCGGGACGTTGCTATAGTTGCTCAGGTTGCCTGACGTATGGACGTCGCTGACGTCATATATCTGGAACGGTCAAACGATGAGAACTCGAAGCCCTGCCAGGCACGGTCGTCCGCGGAGTGCAGCGCGGCAACTGGCTGGAGCTGGTGGACAACCAAGGCTTCATGCTGATCATTTCCGCCGCTTGGCATCGATGTTGATTCAGCTTCTGGAGTGCCCCCCACCCGGACCCTCGATGTGATAAACACATGCAGCGCTGCCTTTTCGAGCGACAGTTCCGGGCAGGAGGCACTTGTGCCACTGTGCCATGTGCGCGGACCAATGCACAAGTCTGCGATGTTTGAGTGGTGCACTGTGGTACTTGTAGCAGAGCTGCTTCAAAATCTCTGCTGACCAAGGAAAAGACTGGTTTGCCTGTCATGCAGCAGGACTCCGGCAACACCGGCGAGAAGGGACTCTGGGAAACGCCGCGTGATCAAATACGGTTTTTTGGAATCGCCTCACCCGACAAGCCAGAGTCACCAAGTCAAGAGTACTTGCTACCCATCGTCATGGATAGTCATGTCAAGATGTGCCAAGACCTCCTCTCGTGATTGGCTGTCAATTCCAAGCCGCATGTTTCCTAGCTCGCTCTGATGATTCAGATGGCAGGATTTTGACAGAAGAGGGCTGGGTTCTTGTAAGGTCTGTATATGAGGGTTGTATGGAACAGTGTCCAGTTGTCACTGCCATTGTGCAGTATTCCCGATGCTCTTGCAGATTTCCAGGTCATGCCATGACGGGCGGAAAGGCCAGTACAGACACGCCAAACGCCTAGCGGAAGAACAGCAAAACCAGCAACAACAAAGCGATCACGAACAGACTCTAGTCGGAACCCAGATGGACGGCAAATCCAAGATGCCCGTCAGGAAGCCGGTTGACAATCCAAGACATAGATCCGAATCACTGACTGAGACATCGCCCTTCACTCGTTATGTGAAACTGGTCTCGTGCTTTTTGGCCTTTCATGGATGGCGCTTCTTCAGAAAAGAAATCTAGCAGTCGATATGAAAACGACTTGTCACGGGCCCCCGAACTGCTTCCGGGATTCGGATCTAACAGGTCTAGTATTAATCCAGGCTGTATGCGCGGAGTTTGAAACTCAATGCGCTTCCCTTTGCTTTGGATCCCGACTGTCACCGTTCACGGCTGAAAGAACAAGGTACCCCTTTATCGGCGAGTGGTGGAAGAAGTCGCTTGGATACTCTCTTATGACCAGCCCTTTGGAACATGGCACGGGACAAGAACTCGAACATCTCATAGGTATTCGTCTGGAGTTTTCCCTAGTTCCTCATTTTCGGAAGTCTGTAGGTGGGGCTGTGGGCATCTTTGAACGGGGTCGCGAACATGCATGCAGGTAGATCGCGGACGTGTGCAAACTGCATGTAAGCCTGTACAGATGTGCACACGCATATATGCTTTCAGTACATGCTCTTGTGCAGATTATCGTATGAATTCTGGCCAATCCCCGACTTGGCGTTGTGTTATCCCCTAAAGTCATAGAAGTCATGGAGCCGTGCCTGCCTTGGCACGAATGTGCGAGTCGAAACCCTACTACAGGTACCTCAATAATTACCAATACTCTTTTGGGGGTTCCATATCATAACTAGAGTATAATGGGCCCCCGAACCCTGTTCTAATTATTAAGGCACCTATATAGATTCCTTATAGAACCCTTAAAGGAGCCCTTGTATATAGAGCCCTTAACCTCCCAAGCTTTCAAGCATTGCCGCATCGAGGCTACTGGCCCAAGGCGTGAAGCAGAAGGGCATCGATTTCGTTTTCGTTGGCGTTCTGAAGCTCCTTTCCGAACGTCAGCAGCACCCGGGTCGCAAGAGAAGTTCAAGTTAGTCGCAGTAGGATCCTGCAAGGTCCAAGTCGACAAGTCAGGAATTGCCCGCAGCAGCCTAGAGCAAACCATCCTGCAGATAGATACGTGCATTGCATTCCAGACAGTTCAGTGTCAAGTGCTCTTCCGCAACTACAAACGAAAACTGGAAGACCTAGCAAACTTTTTGTGTCACCCCGAGTCGCTTCATCACCGGCGATCGGAAGCTGTCAAAGAGATGGTGGGCACCCCTCGAGTGCAAAGAATACAAGGCCAGCCTGTGCTTTTCTGCTTTCACTCCTCCTTGTGGCGTTCCACAAGCAGGCTAGCCAGGTTGGAGATCAGATGATGTTGAGCTTGTACTCCAGTACATGTCGTGTTTTGTTGTCTCCTGATGCTCTTTCCGAGTCTCGCTGGTGATGTTGTTTGGGCCTGGAGGATGCCGTCACCAACATCCTGGCTAGCATCGAGTCGGGTGTGATTCCGGCCAAGGAGGGGTCCGAGATGATCTGCAGGCAGCGATGACGAAAGCCTTGTAGAGCTGGTGTCAGTTTGTCCAGTCGACGAAGCCTGGCCCACAAACCCAAACCCGGAACCTTGAATGGCAACTGCTCGCGCGTTCGACGGCCCAACGCCATAGAGCCTCATAGAGCATCGAACTTATCGTTAATTCTCTAACCCTTGAAAACACCCTGGAAACAAACACTGCTGTTTCCCGTGACCCTCAGCCCTCCGGAAGAACTTCAGCACCCACCCGGGACAGTCCAAGAAGTGTGAGCAAAAAGAAGTACAAGTCCACCAGTTGAGAATGGCTCCCGCACTTGGAATTACAACTACTCGGGAAGTAAAGCTACCTGGGAATCATGGCCGGCGAGCCTTGAGCAGGCGCATCGCCGCCTTGAAGGACAAGGCTGTCATGACCGACACAGACTGGAAGATTCTTGGCACCACCCGCCGCGAGCGCATGGAGGACAAGAAGAGCATTGCGAACTGTGTGGGAAAGCCATTGAACGAGCTGGAATTCCGCAACCTTCCCGCTTCCAGTTGGGCTTTGAATGTGCCTTACCTGCATTCGAAGGCTTTAGGGATAAGAGTTTGAAAGTCTGGCAGCAGCTGTGTTCTCAAAGCTTCTGCACAAGACTTGCCAGAATGTCAGGCTTCCTGGGACATCCAGAAGCACCACGTCTACAAGCCACTACCATGGCAAACCTTCCGATGCAAAGATTCGATTGCAACGGCTGAGCCGCTTGGTTCCAACAAAACTGCGACCTTTTTCAGGCGGTGTGGCGACAAGCAACCAGGGTTCAGGGACTTGGGAGTTTCCGAAAATTAGGGGTACCTTATTTTGGGGTCCTTATAATAAGGATCCTACTATTTAGGGTATTATATTAGGGTCCCCTATTTTCGGAAGCCCTCACTTAGTAGGCATCAGGACCAAGAGTTGCCTTGCGCAACGTAGGGACGCAGGGTTTACATGTTATCGTCTCTTCTAGCTTGTTGCCCTGAGGGTGCCCCAAGCAGCATGTTGTCCAGGCATGAACAGCGGGTTGTGCCTCACTTCGCGTGTGTGCGTGTGTTTCTTGTCCCACCATGCGCCGTGCACTAGACACATCGGTGACAAGCCTAGTTTGGAAATCAGAGTTGAAAGAGACTACCAACAATAGCAGCATCTCCACAGCCACCGTCACGGTGATGCTCTCACGGCATATCTCAAAGCCTGGTGAACCCAGGCACCAAGAACCAGGAAAGACAAGGTGCCTGTACAAAGGCACAAGTCCTGATGGATCGTACTTGTAACTTTCTTGTACCAAAACTGCCGACCGTTCCCCACTCTCCAAGTGAAGGCACACCTTTCGGAATCTACCATCTCTGGGACCAGTCAGCAGGGACCGGAGATGGCCGTGAGCCACAAGAGAAACGACGACAACAGCAGCAGCAGCAACAGCAACAGCAGCATCATCGCCATCATCGTAGTCGTAGCCATCATCATCAATATCGACAGAAGCATCACCGGCTAGCCACTAGTGACATCAACGGCAATGACAGCAGTAACAACGCATCAAACACTGTGACCATGAGGAACCGTGAACTTGTTTATCAGTTGATGCTTCTGGCTACTGCACTGCTTGTCTTTCTGCCCCTCTTAACCGCAAGCAACGCTATCGGCATGCATCAAAAACAATTTTCTCACAAAAGTCACACATGCCTCCCGCCTGACGAGCTCTTGGCTTCGGTCACTACAGTTCGTGCGCGAAGAACCGAGCCCACCGGAAGCCGAAGCCCTGGTACCTAAACTCACCGACCAGACCAGCTTGGGAGCAATGAAACAACTCCTTACACCTTCGAGATTCATGCAGATGCACCGACTAGCTTTATCACGATAGTGATAGGAATAGCATCGGGAAGCTTATCGAGTCAAAGAACTGAGGCTCACCACGCTGGAGAAGCTGTTGGAAGCTTCGAGCAGGCCCGCGCTATGAGCGTGGTGTGGTGTGGCCTCGATTACTACAGGGGCCTAAATAATTACGAATACTATTGTGGAGGTTCCTTATTATGACTACAGTATAATGCGTAATCTACCCCCTCAAACAAAAACCCTATTGGCTGTTCGTGTCTGGGATTGCCTTTCTGGATGCAGCAAAGTCCTTTGATGCGTCTATTTGCAATTCAAGTTGAAGAGCTGCTTTGAGCTCGAGCTCAGCTCTGGACCTTAATGATTACCTATACTATTTTTGGAGGTTCCTGATTATAGTATATATTGGGCCCCAAAACCCTATTCTACTTGTTAAGGCCCCTACGTTACACTTTAGGGAAGCTCAGGCAGAAGTGCAGGTCCCCAGCATCCCTAAAGCTGTCAGGCGTCAGGTCTTGTGGATGATCGTCCAGATTGCAGCCATGCTCTCGGGACCCCAGATGACCAAAGTGCTGGAGGCGTGCGTGAATGTAGGAAGGGTTTTGGCAGTTTCGCAGCACCAAATTGTTCCTCGCAGCTTGGCTGTGCTAAATGGGTGTAAGCCAGGAATAGCTGCCCGAGCTTACTAATCAAAAGGCATGCGGGAAATACGCTGTGTGAGTGGGAGGCAAGCATCGCCACGCTCGGCGCCCGATTTGAGGGAATGGCGCGCACGGTTGGCAGACACTACCCGTACTTCAACTCTGCGTTGACGAAGAAGCCAGGCTTGACCAATCAGCTACCAAGTGTTGTGTTGACTGGCTATTGGGAAGAGATGGGAAGAGTATGTCACAGTATGTCTATTACAAGCAGATAGTATACTAGCAAATAAAGGCTTGCATTAGTTGGTAAATCTGTACTCAGCTTTTTCCTGGTTGCAGTCAGAAGTCTCTCAGGAACGAGGTGCTGGACGGAAGCAGCGACGTTCTCACACCTCTTCTTGAGCTGCTGTTGTTGGATGACAAAACTCGCGATGGCTTTGTGGAGAAGATCATGAAGCGAGACGACTGCGAGCTCTTTGTGTTCTTTGGCACCAGCTTCGCGCGTCACCTCTGCTCCTGGGTGGCACTGCAAAGACCATCAGTTAATATAGGGGCCTAAATCATAACCCACACTGTTTTGGGGGAATGTATCTATAGTCTAACGGGCCCCAAAACTTTATTCAAATTAATAAGGCCCCCCCATATTACCGTTTGCACTTGAATCACCGGTCGCAAACCCCCTTGCCTGAGGCAACTGCAGGCAGGAGTGGCTTCACAAGTGTTTGGCCAAGCTGAAAGCACCTGGAGCAAGCACGGAGTCTCTGGAAGCAGTTTGTGGTGTTGCCGCAGATCCTGGCATAGTTAAGGGGCGCGGGGCTCTCACTGGGCTGCAGTCGCAGAGAGAGAGAGAGAGAGAGAGAGATGGATATCCGTAATCGATTGCAGTCTCGTTTCTGCAAGTGCCGCAGGCCAGGTTGGGAGCTTCGGGTTTTGTTTTGGATGATGATGGAGTTGATGCTGCTACAAGCTGCTTGCGATGATGGTGATGTCGTGATGATGATGGGATTATGAGTCTGAACACGATCCTTTGGACAAGAAGTACTACCATCACTGCTGCAATCACTGTTGCGGGGACATCCGAGGAGTTCTACCACTTCCGGAAGCGCGGCCTTATGCTGAGCCAGATTGCAAGGTGCCTGGCCTTTGTCGTTTCTTTCCATCAACTTGTGTGACCATACCAGGGTACCTGTCATCTCGAATGTGTTGCACGGCCGTCTCTGCCGGACTCTGCAGCCTGAACGTCATGCAGAAAGAGCTTGTGACTCGAATTCACGGTATATACACGCCCAGTTTCCCAGATGTGCTAGTTCGCAGCAAGCAAAAGCATCAAATGTATTCTTCCTGGATGTGAACAAACAAAGCTTATATATGGTTGCACCCCGACTGGCCCTCCCCCAAGGGCCCCCAATGGTGTACACCTACTTGGTCATCGCCCCTCCCCACCCTGTGGAAGGCTTGGGCCTTGCTTCTGAGTTTATTCCCCCGCCCCCTTCCTCCTATGGAACAGGAACAGGATCGCATCCGCAATTGTATTGTGGTGTATTCATTTGTTCTTGAGGGAGGGGCAGAACGAACAGTGCACAACCACATATATATATATATATGTGTGTGTGTACATACAATATGGATATATGTAGAATATGTATATACACGGCCGCAGGTATGGGAAGGCAGAGCCTGGCTGGCGCGACGTCATCGCGCCTGATTGGCAAACATTCGAAGAGCTGAAGCCGATGTACTGCGGGTTAATATAGGGGACCAAATAATTCCTATACTGTTTTGGGGTTTCCTTTCACCTTCCCCGGCCGACTTCCCAAGTCCAAAATGGTATGATATCCCACCAAACCCTATTTTGTTTGCTAAGGTATTAAATATTCACCGTGGAGGAGTATAGGCAGGTTATGTTATGGGGTTTTGCAGCATGGCGATGCTGTTTACTCCATGCTTCGCCAAGGAGCGAGAAGGGTTTTCCTTTTTGTGGAAACAGCTGCGGTAGACGGCCGCCAACTGACTGCTTCTTTACGGATGTTCTGCTCTATCCTCAGAGGTAAGATGTCACGGTGCTCCACGACAAGACATGTTCCTGTTCCTCCTCTCATTCTCTTGCCTGTCCTCCTTCGACAAAGCCGCGACTACTACTGCCACTGCTACTGCTACTGCTACTGCTACTGCTACTGCTACTGCTACTGCTACTACTACTACTACTACTACTACTACTACTACTACTACTACTACTACTACTACTACTACTACTCTTTCTGCTACGACGACGGCTACTACGACGACTACTAGTAATAACTTTCTAATAGTCGTACATAGTGAAGGGAACCGTAGGATGCCACCTCCCCTACAAAATTTCAGCTCGTCTCAAGACCGGCACTCTTGCTGCACCGAGGCCATGTCGAACAAGAAGGGAGCTGTGCAGACGTACCTGTGGCACCCGAAGACCCAATCAGCCTCATGGCTATCGAAGAGAGCTTACGGAGTGCTGGTTTGTCGGGTTCAATCTGCCATTGCAGCAACATGATTGATAGCCGCTTCGTCATGTGCCATCTCAGTAAGGGGTGAATGTGTGAACCCTTTTAACCATGTGCTCAGACTTAGACTAAGACGTAAACCTGATGAAAAGCCAAGACAGAAGCTGTTAAGTTGTCGATTGCCCGGCGAGATTCTTTGAGCTCTTTGATCAGGTTTGGGATTCTCCTGTCTCAGAGTGGCGTTGCATACTTTACGCCCTTAGACCATCTGGCCTGAATCCCCGTGAAGAGACAACACCCCTTCAATTTCGGAAATACCGGAGTCGATAGCTCCCCGAGTAGCAGGAGCTGATGCAAGGCGACGTACTGAAAAGAACACCTACTTCGTAGCATAAAGCCCAGGAGTTCCTCGAGAAAGCGTTGTGGTCGACTGAGCCGGAAGAGCTCACTCTCATCCCACGCTTGGAGTTCGCAGACGGCGTGAGCAAAGTGAGCCAACTATTGAGCATCTATCCGAAGGATCAGACGACGAAGGACCAGATTCCGTTTTCAGCAGATACGGCTCGACTTGAGAATAGTGTTTGCCTGTTTCATGAGTTGCAAGCTGCAGGCTATCCTCCAGACGGTAGTCTTGGCCATGCTAGTGTATCTCCTACATGCTGAAAGAAAAAGGTATGCATATTTGATATCTGAACGATCCGCTACCAGTGACCAGCTAAGACCACTCCCTGCAGCGATGCCATCACAGCTTAGGGATACTTAGAAATAATTTTTTATTTCTAGTTATTATAATCCCCAAGAAACAGCTAAAATTATAATTGATGCTAGGGTTCTAAGTTCAGTATAGACAGGACACTGGCTCAGATGCTTGGGGCTGGGAGGTGATCCAGGCTGCAGGCGCGTATAGCGATCTCCAGACGGAAGTGGAAAGACGCTTCGCAGAGCTGCACCTCCTCGGCAAACACACGGTTTTGGGTCGTGGATAGCTGTTTAGCGCGCGCGCGTGTGTGTGTGTGTGTGTGTATGAATGAATGCATGCATGTACGGATATGTATGGATGTATGTATGTACCTGTGCATGTGTATACTATAGATAGATATATGATATATATGGCATAGTTTGGATCTTGGAGTGCAGGGGTTAGGCAAAGTTTAGGGGGTTTGGATGTAGGAGCTTGAACGATTCGGGTTTGGGGCGGGGGTTTTCAAGTTTACAGTGAACACCGGAAAGTTGAAACATGGGTTCCGCATGATTAGTGTTGATATTCCCTATACTGAACGTTGAGGGCATGAGGATAATGATGCTTCAAAATTTCTAGTTTTTTCTGAACTAGCGCGTGATGGTATGAACGGTGGTATCGTCCTGATGCGGAGAGCTGCTGGTGCGCTTAAGAGTTTTGCTCTAACTATCGCAGAGCATTATGTGGCATGTGGCTGCACACATGCATTTCGATTCCTGGCACGGGGAAAGGATGTGACACGTTCGGAGGCACACAGCGAAGATCCGCCTTCAGGATGCCAACGGGAGAAACCAAACAGTACTTTTGCTGGGAGGGCGATGAGGTGCCACAACCATTGACCAACATGAGCCCTTGGAGCAGTGTGTCAAGCTCCCAAGCCCCCTTATGTAGAGTAGCCCTCCTACTGCCCTTTCACTTGTTCTAACCCTCTCAATACAAGCATGAAATACCCGTACAGTTGCCCTGACAATGTAGCAGCCCTCCTACTTCCTTTCTAGTAATGGGGCCTGAGGGGTCTAGACTGGTATGATTAGTATACTTGTACTAGGCAGCCCGAAAACATGTTGGTATTTGTTCTGAAACCCTAAACCCCAGAACCCGCAAGCTGTGAAATCTTACCTGTTTTCAACTGTTCAACCAAAATTCCCTGCAATGCGGGCTTCGTCCTTGCTAGGTAGGAGGGAAAAAAGAACCCGAGAACCTTAAGACCTTTGTAAAATGAAAGCTAAGATGGCTTCTAATAATTCAGGCTACCCTACACCCTAAACCCCTATGACGGGCTTCGCCCTTGCTAGGTAGGAGGGAAAAACAGCCCTACACCGTGATCGGAAGTTCCCAGGCCGGACCCCAGCTTCTGTGACAAGGTGGACGACCCCGAGGCTGAACCGAGCTTGCTATCACTATAATGTACTCGGCACCGATTTGGGACAGAATTTTGGGACTGTTGAAATCCACTCCTGGTATGGTATAGAAGTCGGCACACTTAGGGTAGAGTTTCGGGGTATAACAAACTACTTAGGCGCGAAATGTATTACTATTTGTATTCATCTCTCTCTCTCTCTCTCTCTCTCTCTCTCTCTATATATATATATACATATATATCATGCATGGCTGGACAAGCTTTTATGAATGCTACAGGCTCATGGTCAAGACTGGTTGCCAAAGGTGCCCTATCGTCCAGGCTTGCAGCAAAGCTTAGTGCAGGTTTTTTTCAGCTTTGCCCTCTTATTGTCCAGATAGGGAAACGTGCACTTGGGTGGTTTTCAAAATGAGGGTCCTTTTTGGGGTCTTAGTATAGTACGGCACCTAATATTTAGGATGCCCACAAAGGGACCCTAATTTTGACAGCCGCCCATTTGTCGGAGGTGGAGACACTGCTCACTGCCTTGGGCAGATCCGACAATGCAGCCGCGGCGATGAAAGTTCTGGGGCCCCATGCAGGCAAGGTCAAGCAAGCGAAGGAAGCAGCGACTTGGAGAAAGATGAGCGCGGGTTGCTTTGGGGGTTTTAAGTTCGGGGTTCTGTGGGCTTTGTACTCCCCTACATCCCCCGGCATCAATGAGGCGGAGATGCAAAAACACTCAAGACTTCCTCGACCCCAACGCGCAACATAGGTCCTGGCAACCCTGAAAGCGCTGAGGGCCCACCCAAAGTGCCACAAGCGTGCCCATCCGAAGTGCAATACATTAATCGGTGCCCCATCACGAAGCCCTTACCGAACCCAGGAATTCAGCCACTAAGGTGACAAAGATGATCGCGCAGCTGAGCCCGCCACAAGCCCGAGCATCTCGGCAGAGCATTCGACAAAAACAGAACAGTAAGAACAACAGACAATTGTGGAAAACCCGATAAGAGTCAGCTTCACGGATTCATCGACTCATCAGGCATCAAAGAAGGGACAAAGGGTGCACATGCGAAGCCAACATCCCCACAGGGGGGAGGGGGAGGGGTAGGTTCCGACCAGTTTAGGTTTATGGTTTCTTGGTCCATACTCTATGCAGAGAGCGGGGGTGCTTGAACTGAGGTGCTTATCCGCCAAGTCATGTTGCCGAAGAAAGCGGGAGTTGGCCTGCAAGTTGCCGGCGATGCGGCTGCAGCGAGTATGTAGAGGAACTTTTTTTACGCAAGATATCCGCACAGCTAGAACGCCCGCAGGAATGTGATATTCATGCCCCAGCTCGACCACTCGTCACTTTCTCGTATACATGCATTTATATATATATATATATATATATGTATATATATACATACATACATGTATGTGTAGAATGTGAGAAATAGACATGCCAATATGCATGTATTATGCATTCTGTATTCTGCCTGTCTGTCTGTATGTAGGTTTGTATGTATTATGTATGTAATCATGTACGTTTGTATGTATATGCAGAGTGACAGGAAGAGAAAGACAGAGAAAACTGAACACATGTGGCATGATCTACCACAACATCTTGTCTGTATATACGAGGTACAGGCATGCATACATACATACATGCCTACACCTACATGACATACATGCAAGGATGCAAGGCTTCCGGCTGATACATGCCCTCCAAGGTCTCAAGAAGATCGTGGACTTGCGAATTCCTGATCCGTCCGATCCTTTGTGTTGCTGTGTGACCCGAGAACATGAGCCATCACCATGGGCACAACGTGCATGCAATACAGCTGCCTCAGTGTGAACAGCGCGAAAAAGGCAGACGTTGAACCATTGGTGGTCATGAACACCATCGTCGTCGCCACCATCAACACTATCATTGTCATCATTGTCCTACTCACTATCATCATCACGTAGCTATGACCACCAGACGGCCTGGCGGTGCCTTAGTTTTTGGTCTCTGCGTCAGCGCACCAAGCTGGGCAGCAATGCCTTCCTCGCATCCGTGCTCAGGCTGGAGCTGTACACGTTCGTGTGGAGGAAAGGAGAGTGTCAGCGAGACGTGGCAGGCGAGCGTGTTGAGCCTTCGACCCAAAACTTCTTGCAGAACAGCCACATAGCAGGTACTTAGTACAGTAGTTATTTGCGCCCCCCCAAAGTATGTACTATACTACTATACTACCCTGAAAGCGCAAAGCAGGCAACATCCTGTCGAAGGTGGCCACATCTGGCGAGCTCGGGCCTCGCAAAATAAGTAATCACCAATACCAATACTATGTTGGGGTTCATTAATACAAATATCGGTAAGAATCGTCTATATTGCACGGCAATTAAGGTTACTGTAAGCGTTGCCGTATGAAAAGGGTTACTCGCAAAGATTATTATGAGGTTGCTATGGTTTAGGATTCAGTGGTTCGCATTTGGAGACATGTGCGCGGTGAGAACCTGATTTGCTGCCAAGGTTCCGTCCAGACGATGTGCGTTGCTTGACGTTCTGCCGGTACTTTGCTTGTGGGCTTGTTGTCGCGATTTCAATCCCGAACCCCGTCCAATTGCGCCCCAAGGCTTCTATTTCGACTACTTCGACCGAACGGACAATCAAGATGACCAAGCTTATGTGGCGCAGATCATGCTCGATCAGCTCATTGAGCAGCCGGAGTGGGTGCTGCCCTACCTGCCCAAGGTGGTGTCAAAGCTTGCCATGGTACCAGGAGCGACTAACAAGTCGGTACAAGCCTTGAAATCCTGCACTTCAAACGTTTCTCGCTTCAACTTTTGGTGGGGATTCGTTTTGAGAAAACCCGAGAGATGCCTTTACACATATCACATCATGGCGCCCAAGGTCTCCGACGTCGTGGAGGCGCTTACTCACGTGGTGCAGGCTTCTCGCCTGGCGTCCAGAACAGATCCCAAGGTTAACCGGGAAGGAACCGATGGGCGAGTGCTCGCGGACCTGATCTCTTTGATTTCCTTTGGCCAATTCACGGAGACGGTGAACTCCGTCGCGCGAATGTCTCTGGAGGATTGTGATCCTGCAACTCTGAAGACGTTCCTGCGGGAGGCCTGCAAAGCGGTGTGTGCACCTTGGGGCCATGGATGTAGGCGGCCTAACATCAATCAAGTTCTGGGGCAACGCATATTTCAAGCATGCCCAGAGTGCAAGCTAACCGTGACCAGTGCAGGCCTTCCAGAGGTGGGAGGATGCCGTGGCCGGCAATGACAGCAACGCCAAAGGATACTTCAGCTGCGCTTTAACTGCTTGGGTGAAGCTGCTCCTTACTTCGCAAGAAGGAGACTTTTCAATAATACTTAGATCGTCGCCTGCACTGGCATGGCTTCATGCCCCACAACAGACTAACAAACAAACGAATGTACAAACCACTGTACATGCCAAAAAGTCTTGCTACATGGCATGTAAAGGTGTTGCATAGATATATATATATATATATACACATATACGTATACATATACATATACATACACACATTTCATTTTTCGAACGGATGGATGGATGGATGGATGCATGCATGCATGCATGCACAGATAGATAGATAAGTTGCTTGATGATTGTTGAATGTGCGAGGCTGCGGCCGGGTCAGTACGACACTTGGGCAACTCGGTCGCGTGCAGCCGAGAATTCCTGGAAACATGTGGGAGTTTCCGAAAATTAGGGGTACCTTATTTTTGGGTCCTAATGGTAAGGATCCTACTATTTCCGGATGCTATATTAGGATCCCCCATTATCGAAAACTCCCATGTGGCTAAGATTCGGCCATGCGCTGTCGCACGGGATAGGGTTGAGGGTTTATACGGCAAACTACCACGCGTCCTTGCGTGCAAGCCTGCAGCAAAAGGGTTTACACGCCATAAAATTAGTCAGCAACTGCCATGCTTTTCGATGTTGCCAAAGTCAAGAGATAAACCAGCACCGACAACATCGAGACAAGTGTCTTAATATCAGCAGCGTTGTGCTGTCGGAGATGGGGGGTTGTCTTCAACCGCTGCTGCACCCACTATTGGGTCAAGTCAGTCTATGTGCCCGCACGCTTATCTGCATCAATGGCGTCACTATCCGTTTATCGCTATCACTACTACCATCAGCAGTACACAATCCGATGATGTTTCATGGTCACCACTCATCAGTATGAGCATACTGCTCGCGAGCCTTTGCTTACCATGTTACCCCCCGCCAGCACCATCCTCAATATCATCGGCGACACCAGTAGTTCTATCGTCAGGAATGAATGTGTTACAAACGACGGCCCCTGCCATTCAGCCTACGACGTACAGGGCACGGCAGATGCCATCCATGCAGGTAGTGCTGTCGGGCAACATAAAGGCTGAGGCTCATGAATACAGGACCTGCGGGGTAAGCGTTCATGTCCATACTGCGGGGGAGGAGGTTTAGGATTAGGTTTCGGAGATGACAGTACAAGCTTCTTATCCTTAGGGTTTAGGGTTCTGCAGAAACCAGGTGACCGAGCTAGCCGAGCTTGAGAAGCGAACCCACGCGAAGGGCAACGTGGAGAGCTGGGGGCAGATGGCGCAGGAAACATAGGGTATCAAACAGGTTCTGCCAGGCTTTCCGGTAAATGGATTGATGAGGGAGATGTGCATGTTTATATGCATCGAGTCGGAGACGGAGTGAGTGCTACTTTGAAGAGCCAATGCCAACATCAGAGATTCATTCATATACGACTAGTAGGGAGATGTGCTGAACACTTGCAACTTCTAACGTAAAAGCCAGAAAGTTGGAATATGATTATCCCAAACCCTTTATGGTAAATTAGAGGGTATCCTACCCTGAAACCATATTCCAACTTTCTGGAGTTCCCTGTACGTCAATTTCAGTGTGTTGCGGGCAGCACTCCAGTCGGCTGGCACTCTGCCCCGAGCTTCCGAGGTAGCTTTGTAATTAATTTTCGTTAGGGGCTACTCTTTCTTAAGAGGCTATACATATATATATATATATATAGCCTCTGAAGAGGCCATATTGAAGACTACTCCTTGCTTGCCACGGTTTTGCAAAGTTTCGGTTGTTATCGCATCCATTACGTGGCTGCATGCCTCCCTCGCGATACCCAGACGCAAGTTCGTAGGCACTGGGGTTTGATCTCGGGAGCCGAAAGACGTTTCAAAAACAAACGCTGACGAAGTCAGTTGAGAGCTTCCCTCCCAATATTTTTTAATACGCGGGTACATCAGATATAGTGCTATACACTACTATATATTTTTCGTGTTAGTAATATATCACAACTCGAACTTGATAGTAGCTTTTGTCGTGCTGGCTTGTCAAACCTCGAGGTGAAAGACCACTCCCAGATCATGTCGATGTGCTGTAATATGGTGGGCCCAATGAATTACCAGTACGATTCTAGGGTCCATACTCCAGTCTCCAATCCTGAAGCCCAAAGTAGAGCAAACTTCAACTGAGAAGATTCTTGCCAGGCCTTGGCGGGCCATGCACCTGACATGGGATTGTCTCCCGATGACACCTGTCTGTGACCTCGATTTAGTTCGAGTTTGGGGGGTTTGGGACTGTCTCTGTCGCCTACGGAGGTCGTAATTTTCTGCCTCAGTGATACCTGAACATGCGCCATCTGCTGCCAGGAATGGGATCAGATGCTGCAGGTTCTGCGAGCATTCTTCGTCAGATTAATCGAGGGCCCTCTCAGTGTCAACGACGAGGTCCAGAAGGCAGTAACTCCTGCAGACGACACATTCAAGAAAGAGCCTTGACTGAGTCGAAGTTGCCAGAGACTTGCTCGACATGAGGTCCCAAACTGGCAGCAATCATGCAAAGTCGCCGCAAGTTGCCTTCCTAGGAGAACACGTCGCGTGCCAAAATCCGCAACGAGCTGCTTGAGACTCACTGGATGAAGTTGCTGTCACATGGGTGCACTGAAGATGAGTCTGGCACCCAGCAACTTCCCAAGATTTCGCAAGTCAAACAGTGCTACATGCTGCTTTGCCCGCGGCAAAATGCCCAGGTCCAACGAGCTTTTCAAGAGATGCCCGGAAACTTGGCAATCTCTTCAGTGCCATGCTTCGGTTCATGCTGGTCATCTGGGGCTTCCTAGTGCTTTCGGAGCCTACACCCTCAGGAAGGCGAGAAAGTGAAGCTGGCGAGCAACCTCGTCCAGGAGTGGCATCAAAGGCACTCCGAAGAAACCACGCGGGAGACCAAGGCGGATTTGCAAGACTTCTAGCTAAACAAGTCTATTCAAACTTTATTGTAAGTATAATCATGTACCCGTAAATCCTATTCTAAGCATAGAGGCTCCTATATTACGGTTGGGACTTCAGACGTTGACCTTCAAAGCCTCAGGCTTCAAACCCTGAACGCTAAGATGAGAGTCTCTGAGAAGGAAGGAGGTTTAGGGTTTGAGGGTTTAGGGTTCAATAGGGTTGCAAAAACTGGGGTAGCCGTGTGGCACGAGTCCACAGCACAGTCGGAGCCTCGGTTCCTGGCATATGCATAGTCCAGCTGTAAAAATATAGGGCTGGATGCAGAAGGCTGTAGGGTTCAGGGGCTTGCACCGCAGTCCCTGCTCAAAAAAGGGGTTCAGGGAAGGAGGTTCCCACACTTTGTGCAGTCCTCGGTGCACACAGCAATAGGAAGGCAGCGCTGAATTCAGTTCAGAGCCTTGAGCCCATTTCCATAGGTACCTAGAGTCCCCATTGTATCCCTAAAGCCTTAAATCCTAAGGAGACTTTGCTGTTCTGATCTCGTGTTGCTACACGACTGCCCCTTATGCCTGGACCCATGAATCTCACAACCCATATTCCTGTGAGGCGGCAGCCTTCCAGCAAGAGCGCCCGGATGGAGGTTGGAAGCACACCGGTGGAAAGCCCGTCTCTCAAATCACGGTGGCCCGATCGCAGCCAGGTTTCGGGTCTAGGGTTGTTGATCTCAATCTTGTTGCTCCTCCTTCTTAGTGTGCTTGGGCTGATGAGTGTTCTGAGGCCGGCATAAGCGTTCAGGTCTTGCAGAGAACAGCAGCAGGCGGTGTGAAGAAGAGCCCAAGGCACTTGGAGACACAAGTCTCATTCACTTCTGTTGCAGCCACTGTCAGAGTCAGACTTGTCACGGAAAATTGAACTGATGTGGCCACCGGCTACAACCACGGAGGCACGGGCAACGACAACGCCGCCCCACCACCACCACCACCACCACCACCACCACCACCACCACCACCACCACCACCACCACCACCACCACCACGGCATCCACTAGCAACGACAACAACGAACACGGCCGGCACCACCAAATACCAAGAGCAGCAAGAGTAGCAGCACCAGCAGAGCAGCAGCATGATTTTGCAAGACAGTCTTCCGCAGCAACTGCCGAATCTTTGTGTTCCAAACTTACAGTCCGAACCTCCCAAACTCCCTAGACATTAGATTCTAGACTCTAAACCACTCTAAACCCTAGGTGGGCCAAACCCCCTTTCCTTCAAACGCCCTCAACAACCCCTGTCATGACCTTAAATCTCTGAGACCCTTAGGTCGGATCTATCGTCAGCGGCAACGTCACCAACTCCTCGAAAGAGTTTGGCGTGTACGTCAACTTCGGCTGCGAGAAAGACGGAAGGTTTCTAGGATCAGCTTTAAGCGGTTCAGGGCTGGGGGCCTTGTGGCGATCTTAGGTTGCAGGGCTGGTTTTTGATGGTTTGGCACGGGGAGAACCACAAGGGCACCAAGTCCTTTTACAAGACTTCCTTACCCTGGTTCCTGGATAAATTTGCAGCACCTGCTGCTTGAAAGCTCCTTCTCAGTTTCAGCCCGCAAGAACCCCAGACCGCCTGAAGAACAAAAGCGCCTACGTGTGAAGCCTCGCAGCCTGCCTCGGCTCGGCCAGGCGCGAAGGGCCAGTGTAAGTTTCAAAAACACATGGGGGGGGGGTCCGAAAATTAGGGCAACTTATTTTGGGTTCCTTATAGTCAGGATCCTACTATTTAAGGTACTATGTTAGGGTCCCCAATTTTCGGAAACTCTCATATAGTTCAAAAAGACCCGAGTACAGGCGACTGGTAAGGATGTGTTCCGAGAGGGAGTCCAGACCGGGAAACCAGCTTCAGGACTGATCCGTCATACTATAGTTATAGGGGCCTTTACAGTTGCCCAATACAGTTAATGGGCCCCAGTGTCCTTTTGTAATCATTAAAGCCCCTATATTAGATTGGTGCCGGATTTGGAAGGCAGCAACGCAGTCACCTGCAGCACGGGCCATGGTGGATGACCGAGATCGCGAGAGGGAAGAGACAGCTTTGCGGCAGGCCTACACCGCTGCCGCGATTCGCAAGAATGAGGAGATCATTGCGGCCGAGATCCAAGCTGAAGACGAGAGTCCGGAAGCTTCGAACCAGAGCCCGAAGATCGCGAAGGACCTTAGGGACCAAGAGGCCCTGCAGGTGACCGTGTGGTCCATGAGTGGGGCGAAGCTTTGTAGCTTGCGCCTTGCTGCCACTGCTGCTTGCAGTGATGTCATGCGGGAAGCGGCCAAGGCCAGTGCCATCCGGCAGTCGGAGTTGAAGCTCTTCTGCGAAGATCGGGAGCTGGCTTTGAAGACTCGGCTCTCCGACATAGCCTCCGACTGCTCCCTGGACCTGAACCTCCTTCGCATTGATCCGGAGTGGCAGACCTTCAGCGAGGTCGTCTCTTACGCTGGTTGCCAGCTCGCCGTAGCCCCCGCCAGGCTCCAGGCGGACAAGCAGCTGGTTTTGCGTGCAGTCAGACAGAATGGCCATGCCCTTGAGTACGCCTCGGAGTCTTTGAAAGCAGACAAGGAGGTAGTCCTGGCAGCCGTCCAGGACGCTGGGCTCGCCCTGCAATTTGCCGGCTCACGGATGCGAGACAATGCCGAGGTCGTTCATGCCGCTGTGATCCAGAATGGCAATGCCCTGAACTTTGCCTCCCCAAGACTGCAGGGAGACGCGGAGCTGGCTTTGGCCGCAGTAATTTCCCCTGGCGCCTTTCAGTTCGCATCAGAAGCTCTTCGCTGTGATCGCAAGGTCGTCTTGGCAGCCGTCGACTTGAATGGCCTTTGTTTGGAGTTCGCTTCAGGGCAACTCAAAGAAGATCGGGAAGTTGTGCTGAGAGCTGTGCGTCAGGATGGGCTTGCCCTGGAGTTTGCTTTTGAGGAGCTTCGTGCCGACCGTGAAATTGTCATGGAAGCTGTGCAGGTGAACGGCTTGGCTTTGTGGGATGCGCATGAGAGCTTGAAAGCCGACAGAGAGATCTTGGCGAATTGCCGTTGGGGCTGACGCTATACCGCCGCAAAGCCAGAAGTCTGGCGACAGTGACGGTCACCGTCGTAGCCAAAGGTGCCACCACAAACACCACCATCACCATCAGCAGCATCATCATCATCATCATGAACATGCCTCATATTGCAGGTATAGCTCTTGATGGTTGGCGGATGTAGGCGGTGTTCTGGAGGAATCACGCCGGTTTGTTTACTTGCGTTGAGGGTACTAGGCCTGGTTCTGCAAAGGTTTTCGGATGAGTTTTGAGAGTCGTCGGTGAGTAGCTGAAGTCCGCGGCCATCAGGACTTGGGCTGTACCGTTTGGGATTAAGGAACTGTAAACTATGGGGGCCTAAATAATAGTTACTTGCAACAAAGCTTGCCGACTTGCAAGACTTATGTCAGGAGACGTCTGCCAAAATGGCTCTGCCATTTTGGCCCAAGATCGTGGACCGTGGGTCCTTCAAAATTTGAAACCGCTCCCGCTTTCTCCCTTGCGACTTTCGACCATGGCACTCGCCCCCGTTGCTAATGTCGATGACGTCTTGGCCTCCAGCATGGAGACGGTTGAGAGTTTGATCCCCCCTCGCGACACAGGGGACAGTGATCAGGAATGGGAGAAGCCGGACGACGAGGTTGCTTTGGCCCGTGCTACCTTGGCCCACAATGTCCATGCCCACGAGGATGAGTCGGCCAATTCGGCATTGGCTTCCTTCACGACTTTGGAGGTGGATGACACCAGCATGGACTTGCGACTCCAGGAAATGGAAGCTGCCATGAAAAGGCTGTTGGCCAAGGGCAGCGAGATGGTGGCGGTCACGGAGGACACCACCATGGACACCACGGGATCGGAGGTGCCCACCACAGGTGACTTTGTCCCTGAGGGTGCTGCTACTGATGACCCCATGGACAAGCCGGCGGTGCCAACCACAGGTGACTTTGTCCCTGAGGGTGCTGCGGTGGACGACCCCATGGATAGGCCCGAGGTGCCAACCACAGGTGACTTTGTCCCTGAGGGCGGCGACACGGTGGCCAAGGATGATGCCACCAGGCCCCGGCCCTACTCGGCCCTGCCCGCCGGCTCCCTGGAGGAGAAGGTCTTCAAAATCGAGGGCTTCCCGGACAACTTCCCCGGCAAGAGTGCAGACTGGGCCCAGCAATTGACAAAGGAGGAGATCGCCTCCTTGTTCTCCGAGCTCAAGGCGGAGCAGTGGAGCCGCCCGGCTGTGGAACGAGTCCTTGAGGTGTACCAAATCTACAAACGACAGCTGGCACAGGAGAAGATGCTGGCCGCCCCCTACAACCGTGCTCGCAGAGGAGTGGGGCACAGCAGCATGGGCCAACTTGACCCGGGCAGCACGGGGGCTACCCTCATGTGCCCGAACTGCTTCTCCGACTGGCAGCGGCAGGACAACAAGGTGGAGGGGAAGTGTAAGCTCTGCCAGAAGTCGGTCATCGCCGTGGACAAGGGCCCGCCTTCGGCAGAGATCAAGCTAGGCCAGTCCTCCTGGCGAATGTTTTGTGGCCCCAAGGGTGTCACGTGGCACACGGATGCAGACGAGGCCCAGAAGGAAGCCGCCTCCGTGGACATTGGCTCCTGGGCCCAGCCGCCACCCAGGCCCACGGATCAGAAGGAGCTGAGCTTTGCCGACCAGGTGCCTATGGCCCTGAGGCTTAGCTTGGCTCACACGGTGGCAACACAGCCCTTCGACGAGGTGCAGTTTGCCGACAAGGAGGCAGGGGACAGACCCCACCTCCGGGGTGATTGGCAACCAAGCCAGGAGACCAGGGCTTTCCATCCCCAGCTGGCGGCGGCGATGGACATCACCAAGAAGAGCTCGGGCCCGGTGGACAAACAGCCCAAGAAGCCCACGGAAGAGGAGTTCTTGGATCACATCAACCCCCAGCTGGATGTGATCGTGGAGATGCAGGCGGGTGCACAGAGTGTCGAGGAGGCAAAGGGTGCGTCAATCCTCCGGCAGCTGGATACAGAGAAGCTTCGTTCCCTCCTTAAGCGAAATTACCTGCAGGGCCCTGGGAACCAGGGTGACGAGTTTTTCGCTGCGCAGACTAGCCTGGAAGAGGCCAAGGCCTCGAACAAGCGCATGCAGGATGAGGGATCCCAGCGCTCCCAGCTCCTTCGGCCGGTGGCGGACTCCATTGATGCCTGGGGCACCCAGCTGCGCGCGGCCCTGGAGATGAACGTGTTCAACCCGGAGTGCCCACTCAAGGATATGGAGCTTGACGACATCGAGGCCCTTAAGGAAAGGTACTTGAACACGAAGTTCCTGCTGAACCAGAGCAGGAATCCGTTCCCTGCCTCTCTTCTGCAAGAGCTTCCCACTTTGGCCGCTCTGCAGCGTGAGGGTGAGCGCGTCGCCCGGGACTCCGGCGAGGGGCTGTCTTCCACAGGTGCCTTTGGCCCTGAGGAGCAGTCCCCGGAGGCAGTTCTGGGAGTTCCGGTGAACTCGGTCGAGTTCCAGATGCTTCGCCTCAAACGTATCATCGAGCTGCACATGGGGGAGCAGCGCATGATCGGGGGCAGATGGAAGCAGCACCCGGGGCCCCTTGAGCCCCCTACGTGGGCAAAGCCCCTGCCCGAAGGGGAGAAGATCATGCTGGAGATGAGGACACACCCCAGCTCCTTCAGGCAGCCCTTCTTCGAGCCGATTGCCCTCACCATGGAGGAGATTGAGGCACAGGTTGCAATTGGCACGAGGCCCCCCCTGGATAAGATCATCGGCCCGTTCCATGCCGAGGGGGACGGGAACACCCACTGGAGAAAGGAGGTGCAGACGTGGGACTTGGTTAGCCTCTTCTCCTGCTTCGGCCACACCTACTCTGCCAGGCACCTCTACGCGGTGTGGAGCCACCTGCCGATCACCGTCAGGTCCCACAAGAGAGGGGCCAAGAACAAGCAGCAGAACCTGCAGCGACGAGAGGACCACCGGGATTTGATGAAGGAGGCCAAAGAGTTTGTGATTCTGCACGACCTCCCGGTGCCCACGACTAACCAGGAGTGGAAGCAGCTCTACCGCGAGATCGGATCATTTTTCGCTGCCAAGGTCTTCATCAACCGTACGCCTCAGGTGGTCTTGGATCTCCCTGTTGCTGACATCCATGACTCCAAGCAGCACATGCGACTGAGAGCCGTATGTGACGAAAGGATCACCCTTCCTTTGAAGGCCTTCCGCCACTTCCCGGAGATCTACAACATGCTCTCCAACTCGCTGGGTCAAGAGTCGGTGGTGGAGGTCAAGATGGCTTGGCGCTGCAACACCGTGCAGTGGTGGACAGCCCGCCTCAAGCCAGAGTACGCCGGCCCCATCTACCGTAAGCTTGGCTACTCGGAGAGCCACATCAAAGGCCTCGGCTTGGGGGAAAGGGACTCCTCAGCTGCCTTTGGCGCTGAAAGGATCCCCCTGGACCCGGCGTCGGAGCAGGAGCGCGCTCTCCCGCCCATCACCCCGGACAATGTCACGAGCGTGGCCTCGGACGACTACAAGAAGAAGAACACGGGGGATAAGACAGCCCACGTCTTCTGGGCCAAGATGGAGTGTGGCCTGGTCCTCAGCTCCGTTTCCCCGTGGGAAATCGTTGACAAGAAGAAGGGTGAGACTCGTGGGGGCTACGTTTGCCGCCACTGCAAAGGGTTCTGGCGAAGTGGCAGAGGGGCCAGCCGTTTCCTTCTCATCACGGGGGAACACAAAGGGAAGTCGGCCCAGCTCCAGCTCATCCTGGACGAGCCCCCCCAGAACCTCTACGAGTCCTGGGTCAAGGACCGGATCGAGTTCTACAAGAGGGTGGAGCCCACGGCGGCCCCCCGGGATCGCTCCCTCCGGGTCAACCCGAGCCTCAGCTCCAGGCTCCGGTTCAGCAAGACGAACCTCATGGGCCAGGTCTCCGACATGATCTGGTCGGTGGTGCTCTCCAACCCGGAGCGGGATGGCCTCAAGAAGATCCACGAGCTTGCGGCATCCCGAGTCCGCCCGGCCTGAGCCCTGTTTTCTTTTTGAACAAGGCATGTGGAGGGGGAACCCCTGCCAGGTGCCTATGGCCCTGAAGGGGGTCTCCTCTCCCTTCTGGCTGCTGTAGCTTTTCTTGAGGTCATGTGCCTTGGACCCTGAGGGGGAACTGTCTTAAGTGCAAGTACCTACACTACTCAGGACTTGGGCCATGTCACAGGCCTTTTCTTCGGCAACAGGAATGCCCTCAAGGGGGGGGTGGGACCTCCAGGCGCCTTTGGCCCTGATGGTCCCCCCTTTCCCCGACAAGGGACTACTTGCCAGACCGTCGGCCTACAGACCATCGCCCCGTGCGAAAACAAGTGCCCTTGGACTGCATTGGTTTTTCTTCTCTCTCTCTCTCTCTCTCTCTCTCTCCCTCTTCCCTTCCTCTCCTTCTCCCGTAGGCGCCGTGGCTCAGGATGACTACCTTTGTATTTTGTTGTCCATCCCCCTTTGGGAGGGCCCTTGTCAGGGCCCCTGACCCTCTCATCTCTGCTCTCTTTGAGCAAGGCATCGGCCCTCTTCAGTCGGATGGCGAGATTCTTGCAGGAGTGTTACTAGACCCGATCATCAGGGGGTCGGGTCGCTCCTTCGAGGAGGAACAAGTTGATGTGACACGTCCCTGGGGGCAAGAAATTGTGGATTTCATGGCCCGTTGTAGGCCTACCCAGGAACTGGATCGTGTACTAGGTGTCCCCGATGGGCCACCACGACCGGTGGTTCTTTCATACCGCCCTACACTGGTCTTCCAGCGTATTGTGGAACGAGCTCTCTCTCTCTTCTCAGGCCCCACGGGGGAGGAAGATGCTCAGGGGATCCTCACCTCTCTCTGGGACCTTTGCACTAAGGTCGCTGCAGGCACTCCCTCTCACATGTTTTCAGAGGTGATCCAACGAAGGGCGGAACTAGACCGCTGTGAGTGGCGCGTACTACGAGAAGGGATCTTGCTGGCCCCCTGCACGGTGAGCCGGTGGCGCCACTGGAAACCGGGGAATGTCTCCGAGCACCATT